AAATTTACCAAGTTAATGTTACAACATAAGTAAAATCTGTGACAAATCAAAGTACTTAGGATCATATTACAGCTCCACACTGCCTCGTTTAGTAGGACAACGTCATCAATGATGAACCTTACCTGGAAAACCAAGTCGTTCCATCTTGGGATGATGTTTCCGAGAGGACACCCAGTGTGAGACTGACAGAAAGGCACGCCACACTCCATACACCTATTAATAAAAGGGATAAAATGAATCCAAGAGTTAATTGGTCACATCAAAAAGACGCATGTAAATCTTCAAGCCATCATGTCTGCTTCCGATGATGAAAAAATTCGTTGTAAAGTGATAATACTGTTAGGGTTTTCTATCTTAAAGGGTCTTTTGGCTTGGCAATTCGAGGCTGAAACATTTTGGTTGACGCCCTTACCTGGCAGCTTGTACTTTTAGTTCCGATTTCCCTTTGTTGTAGTAAATCTCGTTCCAATCCTTCATTCGCTGTCTGGGGGAGCGGTACTTCACTTTGCTTCTGGAGTATTTCACGAACCCTCTGTCAACAGAAAGAAACGACAAAATGTTATCGTTTGCGACAAATACCAGGTGAACCTAAAATCTACTTTTACAGCTAAAGCATATGTGAATAAGCGACAGTTTAGGACTGTTCAAGATTAAAGAGATTATGACCCGAAACTATCTGTAACTTACTCTATGAAGAACTTTCAAAACTACGCACAGATTACGCTAGTAGAGCGGTTTTTTTTTTTTAACCCTTTGGTCCTGAGAGTGACTAACATCAAATATCTCCCTACAATATCGCCCCTAAATCACATGTTAAGGTCATGAGAATAAAGGAAATGATCACCAATGAAAGAACCTTGGAAAACAAATTCTCCTCGTCAGCTCCCTGGGAAACGTATAAAGAGCAGTACGGAGAATATGCATACTGATTTTAGGGTGTAAAGGGTTAACTCGAGTATGGTAAAACCAAAACTTAAATAATTACAACGGCCAATCAGAATGAAGGAAAATATCACCAGGAGCAGATGAGCCTGCGATGTAAAAACAAGCAAACTGTCTAAAGCTTGAAAAAACGCGCGTGACCAGAACGCGAGGTTGGTTTCAGTCTCAGTTGAGAGGGTAGCGCAAGCTTCCACAACCCATCACAAATTAATTGGGAGCATACTAGTTTACCTGGTTTTGTCCAGCACTCTGTCGATAATCTTCTGATCGTTGGTTGTATCAGAGATAGCCTCTTCTATATCAACTAAATTCTGCTCTGCTGATTTCTTCACTGGAGGAGGTGAATCTTCTTGCTTAACACCATTTGACAGATCTTCATTCATTTTTTCTCCATTTGTTTTCTCTCCGTTCGTTTTTTCTCCGTTTGTCTTCTCTCCATTTGTTTTTTCTCCGTTTGTCTTCTCTCCATTTGCATTCTCGCCGTTCTCTTCCATGCGATTTTCGTTCTTGAGTTTCTGCCAAAAGAAAACGCAGTTTCAAAATTACCTGCCACGTTTTTGGACATTCCTCTGCTCAAAGGGTCGCACAAAGGGAGGAAGGGAATACGAAAGGGGGAGAATTCGCGTACCAGAGGAAAAAATTACAAGGATCATCTTTCTGTTACTGAGGAGATTTAATGGCACGGTTAATTTTTACCATAATCTCGCTATTCTTGCAGTTCTCCCACAGACTCTCCGTATCATCATTAAAGCTGACAAAAAATGGGTTTAAGACCGACATGTCTCTATTGGTTTAATGAACTCTACGGTAAGTAATGATTACTTCGCCTACTTGTCAACTCGCCTCTGTCCTCCCAACTTCTTTGAAAACAAAATAATATCGGGGCTATTTCGAATGAAAGTTTGCGCCTAGTAAAAGGTAACTGCGCATGCAATGTTGAATAATATTTCTATTGTTTTTGCATACTTAAATTAGAATGTACTGCGTAATTTTATTTTGCTTTAGCACAAATTGCTTGTAGATGTACCTTTTTCACTGGTTTAAACTGTGAAGTTATAAGAATTCCACGAATAAACACGCTTCTACTTCTACTTTATTAATTGATAAAGCGTATCAACGCATCACATCAATTTCAGAATCTAGGGCAGACCACAACACCGGGAACTACGTTCCCTTATCTTTGCGATAAGTGTGTGGGTTCTTTAACGTCCCCTACTAACTAGTACCAAGAAGATGCAGGAGAAGATGCTGGTCCTTATCCGAGAAGATTAGAATGTCTAACCGCTGGCAGATGTCATAGCAAAGGCAGCACATTCTCCTCAGTTATTTTAAGACCCTGAGTGTGGGTCCGGTCTGAGTCTTAAGTTTTGACTCTCTTCTTTGTAAAAGGTCACTGCATGTTATCTGAAGGAAGGAACTTTATTACCGTTGCATTCCAAAAGATCTGATTTTTGAGTTACATGGCGATAGAAATATAAGGTTTTCAAGATTCTCTCCTCCACAAAGTCACCTTATAAGGAAATTGCACAAGGCATCTACGGAGGAGAGAGTTTTCGAGCAATAACGAAGACTTTAAGGATACCTCAGCTTCCTCCTCTTTTAATTGTTCCAGAGCTCTTTTGAAGTCACGAGGCATCACCTATACCCGTCGAAAAAAAAATGCAAAAAACAAAACATTAGCCTTCAGCGATGAAAACTGCAGTACTTCATGAAACAGATGACCATGATTCATATTCCTAATTCATGTTTTGACTAATAATGTCTATCAAAAATTAACTCACAAACTAAATGAGATTTCACTGCTTTTACTCTCTAGGACTATACCTTCACAAACATCTTCAACGAGCTTTCCCAGTCTTCCAGAAGACGTTCGGCCACCGACGAACCAGTCAGCTGATGATGCTCACGCACCAGTCCCCTGACCAGCTCGGCATCTGCTCCTACAACAGGCTCCAGGTCAACTATCTCCTGGTTACACAATGTGGAGAAGACCTTCTTTCTATAAATTCAAGAGGTTAGAATAAATTTATTGTTGCTGATAATAAATAACGAGGTCAAAGACGTTATTTTAAATATAACCCGGACAGATTGCGTGGCGGGCGCTCAAGTTTAAGAGAGATGTAGAACGCTTTGCACAAGCGATAAACCACACGCGCGCGTGTCTGTTTTCTCATGAGCGTTCCTTGCCTTCTTGCTAAGTGCCTGCCACTCAAGATAAATGTTTTAAAAGTCATTTTACCTGTCAAGTACAAAAGCAATTCCTCCTGACATTCCAGCAGCAAAGTTTCGACCAGTGTCACCAAGAATAACCGCAACACCTCCAGTCATGTACTCACAGCCATGATCACCAACACCCTTAGAAGAAAAGCAAAGGTAGGAGATAAGATAACCTTCGTAACTGTAATATTCTGAACTTTCTGCTTTTAAAGCATGTCAAGGTTTAGTTTCATGTGAAGCGAGAAACGAACTTTGAGAAAAGCTAGAGGTAAAATTAATTATGGACAAGATAAACAGAACTAGGTCAACAAACCATAGATATGAAATTAAACAAGGAAATTAACTACAAAACTGAACTCAAATCACCTCCACAACTGCTGTCACTCCAGAATTCCTGACACAAAATCGCTCGGCAGCAACACCCCTTATAAAGGCCTGAGCACAAAAAGGAAAAAATATAACTATATCAAAATAACTCACTTGGTCAATAAAATAGGGTCAAGTTTACTTTCCGACGATTTTATTTAACCAAAAGTTAAAATTATACTGTACCTTTCCGGCAGTGGCACCGTAGAAGCAAACGTTTCCCACAATAATGTTTTCTTCGGCTTTGAAGTTCTCAGGACGTTTACTGCTTGGATATACTATTATCTTGCCTCCAGCTAAACCCTAGAGAGCGAATTAATGTCAGTTTGATAAGTCGCACATTCATTCGGAGCACCAGACAGAGCCTGAAGAAAAAAACCTCAAGTACGCGAATAACATGAACAACGTCATTGAGAGCATTTTTTAAGAACATTAAAAGTAAATATTTTAAGTACATAATTACCTTGCCCACATAGTCATTTGAATCACCTTCATGTTCCAGTGTTAAACCAGGAGAAAGGAAAGCACCAAAACTTTGACCTAAAAAAAATTCAAACAGACCACATTGAAATCATAACTTCTCGTTTGGTACAAACAAACCAACATCTCTAAAATGGACACTAATAGGCCAAAGAAAACTGGACGATGGAATAGTTAGCTTTGATGTGATAGGCCTTCTTGAACATTTTAAGTATATGATTCTCAATCAAAGAATCTGAAAGCAATGGCTGCATAACAAAGATCTCACGAAGTAGTATACATTATTTACTTACCTGCAGAGCCTCGGGTTTTGATGTGTATCGTGCCATCAGGGAGACCTTTCTCGCCAAATTTCCTAGCAACAATAGTAACTTTTTAATTCAGTTCTTCCACAAAACCACGAAAGCCGGCATATTGTTATAAGCTAATGTGCAACATAGAAGAGGTTTCAAGCTCGCTAAGTGAAACTACCTTGCGCAGGTACATTTTAAAAGCCAAACCAACTCAGTAGAGCTAATTAGTTTTTTTTTGGGCAGTCTAACAACAACCAAGCTGACTATCAATTAAAAGTTAATGAATGTCGATAAAAAAGCTGGTGCCAATTTAGAAAGCTGACATTTCCAGCACTCGCCTTCCTCTGTCCGAATTGGGGATTGTGGGTGTTTGACATGCAATGGAAACTAGAGGATTATTATTGGAGTTAGTAGGTATTGGAAGACACCTGTGCAAAAACAAAATGACACGAGAATCGTTCGACGATAACAAAGGGAGCTAAGTGCCGATTAAAGAGACAAAATGAAGCTTTGTGACTTTCAGTGCAGCCTTGGTCGAGACAAAGTCTGCAAGCAACCACACTTACACCAGAGTGACTAGGATGAAAGTTTAGAAATGGGCATTAGACATCTTTGTTGCTCATTCATCACTATGATAATGTAAATATTCCTTGTGATAACACCTTGGTTTATGATGGTTAACAAGCACTCTTCAGGTGAGGGGAGTGATTTTTTGTACTGATTACTTACTTTGCAATGTGGTAACTGAGAGTGGTTCCAAAAGCTCGGTCCATGTTCATTACAGGAACATCAAGACGCAAATGTTTTGAAGCGCCATTTAGAATGTCTTTAGCAGCCTCAATGAGCTGGTTGTCCTGTAAAGTGAATTAAAGAATGGCCCATTAAACCTGAAAGTGTTTCACTTCAACAAAATCAAGTAACAGCAATCAATTACAATCCTACCACTCTCAAATTTTGTTTTTATCAAGTCAAATACCCAGGCAAGGTCAAAGCAGATTGAAACCCCACAAGACAGCTCTTGACCTGAGACAAAAGGAGGTATATGCCTGCAATACCTTCGGTATTTCAACTCTAACAACAAACTGTGAATTGCAAACTTGGCACTACACTTGATGTGGGAAGAAGCAGAAAGGTCTGATAACCCAATTGTTTTGGAAAGACAACTTGACTTCATGTACTCGACCTAGTCTTGTGGGTTCGTGTCCAATGCTTACCTTGCGTAGCTCCAGCTTATGATTTTGAGGCTCACTTCCTCCCAAGTGATCTCCAGGGTTCAACTCATTACCGGGCATAAGGATTGCACTAAAGTCCAGCAACTGTGAACAAAAAAAACAAACAAACAAACAAAATAGGATGATTACGATGATTACGATGATTATGATTTTTTTGCGTGAGATTAGACAAAGTAACACTGCCACAAAATGTACCTTGACTTTTTCATTGAGAGGGTCTGCAGGCTCTAGATAGTCGCATCGTCCGACCATCTCACTCAATTTGCGGAAGCCCATTTTAGCCATATACTCACGAACCTAAACACAGAATATTGATGAAGGTTCAAAACATTTCACCAACTTGTAATCAAGAACATCATTTTATATACTTTAAGGACAGAAAAATAAATTTTAACAGAGATTTAATCTGTACCAACGGAGAAATGTTCTCAACTAATCTTTATAAATCAAAGTAAGAAGATAAGAAAAACAGCTTTTCCAACAATAAGTAGTTCAAGGGTAACATAAACAAGAGATCATTCATTCCTCACCTCTTCAGCCAGCATGAAAAAGAAGTTGATAACATGCTCTGGTTTGCCTGCAAACTTCTTCCTCAGTACAGGGTCCTGCAAAAAATTGATAACAGTTTTATTATCATGACATTACTATTCTTTATCACTTACTCATACCTTGTGGTTACTTGGATGAAACATTTGAAACAAAGAACTAAAAAAAACAAAACAAAAACAAAAACAAAATCTCAAAAATTGTTAGAGATTGTCAGCAGGTTGCTGATGTTGACATAAAAAAGCCTGGGTAAAATCAAGCTAGAGGTGATATCTATGGCAAATATCAAAACGGAATGCCAAAGATGGCTAAAAAGATTCCCTCAAATCAGGGAGTTCTAGGCCTAATAAGGTGCCATGACAGCAAAATGGTCCAGATTGTCTTGTGGATTAATCTGGTGAGGTCTTTTCTTGCATTGCTGGTACCAGTTGGACAACACACTTCAGTGCTCATCACATTATTTCAGATGCAAGTTATCCACAGTTGACGTAGAGGAGCCATGTAGAAATCGAGTATCTTTTTCTAATATTTGAACAGTATTCTTTCACTTAATTTTAAGAAGCAGAGTTGAGTAAAGCAGTTTTTTCTATAACAGAAGCAGTAGTGCAATTACCTGAGTGGCAATTCCAACAGGACATGTATTCAAGTGGCACTTTCTCATCATGGTACAACCCATAGCAATGAGCGGAGCAGTAGAAAATCCAAACTCATCAGCACCCAACAGAGCACCGACTACCACATCACGCCCAGTCCTTAGCTGCCCATCAACTTGAATTATGACTCTTCGGCGCAGATTGTTCAGCACAAGTGTTTGATGGGTTTCAGAGAGGCCAAGTTCCCATGGCAACCCAGCATGCTTGATGCCTGACCATGTGCTTGCTCCAGTACCACCATCATGACCAGAAATAACAATGTGTTCAGAGTGGCCCTAGGGAAATAAACAGGTTAACTTAATAACCCTTTGATTACTAAAAGAGATGAAAATGTAACATCTCCATATAAACTTCCAACATAAAGTAATTCATGAATATTTCAAGGTGAAAAGAGGCACTGCACAACCAAAGTGCAACATTGTAGAACCTACATGGTTAACCTTGCCAAAGCTGGAACTTCAACCAGGAAGCAAAGACCATGCACAGGATGTTATAAAGATCAATGAATAAAGGGGGTAAGTTTCTAGAGAAGCTGTGATGCTGCATCAGTAGAAGAGTATAACAGGGTAACTTAGTGTAATCAACTGAGTTGATAACATAAATTGGCCACTATAAAAAGTTTAAAGGCCAATCTTTCAAGCATAAGCCCTTCGTTTGAGTGATTGATGAATGGCTAGGACTCAAAAGGTCAGCTTTTAAACTCTTTACTGTGGCCAATTTACATTATCAACTCAGTTGGTGATACAAAATTACCCTGTTATAAAGATCAGTTGATTAAGAGTTCACGAACCTTTGCAACTCCAGCAGCAATAACACCCACGCCCACTTCAGATACCAGTTTCACACTGACTCTAGCATGAGGATTGGAGCATTTTAGGTTGTAAATAAGCTACAAAACAACGACAAGAAATGTTTTCAAAATAATTTTTTGATAAGACATAAAAAGCATTAAAAGAAAAAAAAAATGTATTCAAAGCAAAGTAACCTCTGCCAAATCTTCAATAGAGTAGATATCATGGTGAGGTGGAGGGCTGATCAAACCAACTCCAGGGACAGACTTGCGAGTCTGAGCAATATGCTTGGAGACCTGCCAAGACACAATTAATCAGAAGTGTCACATTTTAGGTAAGAAAAACAAACTATGATATGCTTAATACCTCAATCAGTCGATTTGTGCCTTTAGATAATATTACAAAAATTCAAAAATTCAATCAATAACTTTAATTAAGTGTCTAAGTCTTCTGGCTAGCCACATGTAGCTAACTAATTGGGAACATTAACAAAAAATGGTTAAAACAAACTGAAACTAAGGGTGTATCTATTTAGTACAATAATGATAAAAATGATTGTAAAAAAATAATTGCGAGAATTGTAAAAACACTGTGAATATTATGTTATGATCTATATATTATATATGACGCTTACAATTGTACATTTCAAAAACCTACCCACCCACCCACCCACCAAATATAAGAAAATACAATGAATGCATCAAAACTGTACCTAATAAATAAAAGTTAGGTCTATGTTGTGAATTCTTGTGTACTAATATTGTATAAAATGAAATTCTGTATATTATGTACCTATGAAATTATGTGCGTGTACTATAAATGTTTTAAAACTATATGTAATAAGTTAATGTTAAATCCATTTTGTGGATTCTATATTAGTCTGTAGTACATCTATCTACATTAACTAATTGTGGTAAATAAGTAGTAGTATTGCAATTACTACATGTGTTTTAATAAATACCAGATCACAATAAATACTAGATCACAATTTACACAGATGAAAGTTGGAGCATGTCTTTGTCACTAAGGCGGTCAGGTCCCTTTTACTTATACTAGACTTAAATGCATTTAATGATACTATTGAACTGTCCTTAGTAAGTGATTTTGACCAGAGTTATGGCCCAAGAAATCTTAGCAAGTGTTTCCTAAATCTTACTGTATTGTATCTCTGGATGAAAAAGTCTGACTTCCTAAGATTGTAGTCTGAAGGAGAGTTCCTGAAAATGTTGATAATGTTTACTGGCAGCAGCCTGTATTTGACCTTGAACATTAGAATAGCTATGTCCTGCAGTCACCTGTTGTACAGGCTTGTAAGATGAGCCCTAGCAAGAAGTTCACTATAATAAAAAACACCTGTTTAGTGAAAGACTTAGACTGATAGGCCTTCACTTTAATTTTTTAAATTTCTTCGTTCAGGAGCTTTGTGTGAATGGAATCTGACAGATCCAAACCTTGAGGTCAAGGAGGGTGGGGGGAATGTGCCTCCACCTTGCTTCTCCAGCTGATTTATCTAGGTGAATGTCCCAGTTTGGCTTTTTTTTTGGGTATAAAAATTTGTTAAGTACTTATTTTTATCAGACAAGGTGCACACAAACCTTATGTCACACTGATCTTCATTTTGACCAGCATATGAGCAATATTTACCCACAAATTATACATAAAGTAAACGAAGTCATTCATACCTTGTATCCTGGCAATTCTCCACCTTCACCTGGCTTAGCTCCCTGAAAAAAGAAAAAAAATTCAAATTTGAACATTTGAGCACAGACAGACCAATGTACCAAAAGGAGAAGACAAAAAATGACTCAAATCATGCCAGGTGAACACCCAAGTCGATGAGCAAGATTTAAAATGACTGCATCCTTTGAAACATTTTTCAATTGGATCAGAAGACAGTTTTTGAAAGGTTAGATTACTCTAACTTGTGAATCTCAAAACACAATCATGGTCACAATTTCACTAATACTTTTAGAGAGAGATTTAAAGATTACCTGTGCCATCTTGATCTGCAGGTCTTCTGCCATTGCAAGATACCATGCATTCACTCCAAATCTTCCAGAAGCCACTTGCCTGATGGCAGATCTGGTGTTGTTGTCACTTCCTCTCACTGGATCCTCGCCACCTTCACCTGTGTTACTTTTACCACCCATTCTGATGGAAGAGGAAAGTAAAGTTCTGTCCACATGCTATTTCATATTATACATTTTCTTTCTTATAGGAAGGATTTTCCCTGTTCATGGTCAACAGAAGAATACAAATATAGGAACAAACGAGTCATTGTTGGCAAAATACATTGTAAAAAAACAAAAACAAAACAAGACAGAACTAAAAAAAAAAACAAGATAAGACAAAACTAAACAAAACAAAAGAAGTGCAGATCTGGGTTCACAACAGAAGACTAATATACCTATTCATAAACAGAAGTCCCTTTTTATGTCATGGGGCTCCAAGGAAAGTGAAGTTTGCTAAACATTGAGAGAGATCAGGAGTGCATGCACATATAGGGACTTTTGAAGAAAGAAGAAAGTTTGAACCAGTTTCTGATATATAGTGTTTGCTTATAAGTAGGGAAAGGTGTTCTCACCAGAATGTGTATATAGTGTTTGAGTGGGGGATTTGACAAGAGTTTGAAAGATGACTTTCCTCCAATAAGAATGGCTATTATAAGAAGGCTTCAATTGCATTCAATACATACCAATAAATCAACAAATCCTGACTGTCTGAGAAATTTAAAAGAATCAAAACAAACAACTACTCACTTGTTCATAGCTGTAGCAAGAGTTGTGTGGGTTTCATATGAAATGGAACCAAAACTCATGGCACCTAAAGAGAAAATCATTATGACAACTATCGTACAAACAACTAGTTCTTAAGTATTATTTCACTTATAGACATACTTTTGAGAAATAAATTAACTAAAGCAAAAGAGTGCTCTATAAACAAACTTCATAATTTACTATCTGCTAGTCAGCTGTTGTCACAGATAGTTTAATTTTGTGCCTACCTGTTGCAAATCTCTTGACAATCTCTGAAGCTGGTTCAACTTCTGAGATGTCCAGAGGTTTCTTGGCAAATTTAATCTGCAGCTGTCCTCGGAGGGTGCAAGAACGTACCTAGAGTATTAAAGACAAACATAAATGACAAGCCTAAACAAGACTACTTGCAAAAGTTTAAAATAAAGAACATTTTTCACTGCAACAGTAACCCACCACTTCAATGGATGTCTCACTGTACTTTTGATAGGCAGGTTGGCTTTTCATTCTTACAGCATCCTGTTCAAAACAATATATACCAAATACTTCAGAAAAAAACAAACCAAAAAAAAAACCAAAAAAAACCACACACACACACACAGACACCCTAACTCTTTTATTCCATAAATAATCTAGGCAATAACCTAATCTATGCCATATCCCCTGAATGACACTCCCCTTACATCTCATAACCAATCCCATTCACTTTTCACAATGAAATTCTAAGGAGAATTAAGATACTCATCATTCTTAAGATGGATGGTTCAGAAGAAATGTGTGGCAGAACCTTTGCAAGAGGAAGTTACACAGTGTCTATTCCCATAATACAAAGAACATTTTAAAACTCAAGGGAGGTGCTTCAATTGAGTAATAGTGTGTTTTACAAACTAACCTGTAGGTTTGCGATGCATCTAGGATCATTGATATGCTTTTCTCCTCCCAACCGCCAGTGGTACTCGCCCTAAACACAAACCAGTCAAAGCATGATTCACATCAATTTGACTATTAACACAATTGATATTGAAGAACCCTTTGATTCATGGTCTCTTGCCAATTGCACAAGTATTGGTATCATTGAAATCAACCAGGGAAGTATTATGAAGCATGACCTGGGTCTGCATAAAAGGTTAAATGACCAACTACATGTGAACACTCTCGAGTACCTTGTTGTTGACGAGGACGTTGTCACATTCTCGGTCAGAATATGCAATGCTATGCTTGTCCAATGCCTGTAAAATAGGGAGCCGAATATAATTATAATCTTACACTTAATATTAACTGATCACTGATTAGGCATATGTCATTGAGCACTAAAGGGGCTGTAAGTACACACCTCTTGTGCTAACATTTCAAATGTCACTCCACTCAATCTAGATGCAGTTCCTGCAAAGCACTTGTCCACCACCTGCAAGACAATAATTTTTTTCTTCAAGCAAACAGTAACAATGTGTTTATTACAAAATTGGGCACCTAAGTAAAGTTGAAGTGAATTTTAATTTCAATAGCATTTGAATGCTATCCCATTAAAAAAAAATGCCAAATATAAGTAACTTCTTTATTAACCAGACATATCAACAAGTGATATCCAAAGTAAGCTTTACAAAAATGCTAATGGATGAAGTTAACTTTTAAATAACATTAAAAATTTATAAAATATTCATAATACATAATTGTCATTATATCTTTTACCTCCTCTGCAAGCCCAACAGCTTCAAATATTTGCGCACCCTATTAAAAAAGAATCAATACCTAATGTTTATGTCTGACTGAATATTAATGTCATATCAAGAAAACTGTAAATATCTGAAAGTTTTGGAAATGTTTACCATGTTCACACAATGCATGAGAAAACACAGCATTCTTTCATACGTGATTTTGCATTTTTGTATTTCTTGTTTTCATATTTTTTAAGCTGGCTGAAAGTAGATATGAGCTGGTGTTGGCCTGCTTAGATACACATCCCTGCAAACTGTGACTGAGCTTGGAAGAAGAGTGTAAAAATACAAGTTTTCTCCAGCAAACTTATGAACACCTAACCATTTCCAGATGACAGAAAAAGAGAATCACATTCCTCCAACTTAAGATTACAACTGCAAATGTCTGTCCTCTCCTCCCTCCCATTATTTTTGTGTTGACAAAGTGAACAGGCAGTATTTTAAATTTTCATGTATAATACCAGACAAAGAATATTGAATACAATTTGAAGACATATTGTTGATGGATGGTTTTATGAACAAGCCACTTCCAGTGACATCTTTCCACCTTTGCAGAAATACATGAACTAACCTTGTAACTGTGTAAAGTGGAAATCCCCATTTTCGCCATGACCTTTGCTATACCTTTTTTCACAGCAAAAGTATAGTTCTCAACTATTTCCTTATCTGACAGAGGAGGATCCAGCATGCCTGAGAGAGTTTTTGGACAACACATTGAAAGTGAGTACATCAGAAAAACTACATTTGAACTAGTATTAAGAATAAGAAATGTGGTAAATAGTTTGAACCTGGCAGTAACAACTGCATCAGAAATAACCTTCAAAGTTATGTAGGGCACTTTATCATAAGACCTCTCCTGACCTGTGTGCACAATCTCATAGAAAACCATGATGAAAGTTGACATGTGGAGCTGGAGAGGTAGAAATGAGATGATCCCAAGAAAAATTTGTCCAGCCCCACAATGTCAGGGCTTTGTTGCATTTTGCAAGAAAAATTAATTTTAATTCTAAACTTGAACTTAAAATGAATTGCTGCATTCTTGTTTTCAATCAAAGAAATAAAGAAAAAGTTTTGATCATAAAATATTTATGCAGTTGTCCAGTTTGCCCTTCTTATGTATGTAACCAAGTCCTGTTCAGCTACAAAGTTAATTGAAAAACTTTTTAACATATTAGTTCTCATATGATTTAACACTTATTGACTGAGTAAGGCTGCACTTGATCAGTAATTCATGATCATTATTAGTGCCAAATATTTTGCAGTTCTGCCCTCCCACTCAGTAAATAAGTACATATTAAAAATGAGGACTTGCTCTCTGGCTGTTGAAATGTTAGTCAATAAGACCAACCTCACCTAGAAAATTACCATGAACAACTTGCTAACAAGAGTAAACACAGCTGACTGTTTTATAGTATACCTTGCTGTCGCTGATTTACAACAGTCTCAAAAACCAAGTATGGGGAAATTCCATCAGCACCATAACCCAGCAGAACACAAAAGTGATGGATTTCCCTACATAAAAAATAGCTGGTGAAATTGCCATCATATTATCTGACATACAAGTTAAAACAAACTGCATAAAACAACCAAACAATGCTATCAAAGTACTTGTTGAGGAAGGGAAAGGAAAGCAGAGTCATTCTGTTTTTGGACTGTGAAAATAAAAAAAAGAAAAAGCACAAGGAAAAAGACCCTACCTTATCTCTGCTGACTCAACAATCAGTCCAACCTGTGACCTTTGCTTCATTCTGATGAGATGATGATGAACTGCCCCCAATGACAGTAATGAACTACAATAGAAACAGTGAAAAAGGATTTAGTGATGCTGTATATAGTCAAAGGAACCATCTTTTCTTTCTGCAAAATGTATGGACACTCATGGTGAAACAGGCTGTTGATAGTCTTTCAATTCACTGACAACTCTGTTAAAATAAACAAAGAGCCTGGATAGCCTGGAAAAGAACATGGTTATGCATATTTGAAAAACAAGATAGCCTTTCAAGCATGCAGCAGTTAATAATGGTTCCCTAGGCAAGTTGAAAAAAGATTCCATGACTGAAATTGCAGAGAAAGTCACCATTTTGATAACTTGTCTTCATACATCACATAGCCAGCCATAATGTTTTCACTACATAGTTTCCTTCTTAGTTAAACTGAGAAAAACATGTCAATAAAATATTGCTTTTGCACCATTTTCTTTTCTAAGTTTGTCCTTTAATTACACCAAGACTGTTTGAGTTAAGGCAAATGAGCAGACATATTGCTTGTATCAAAGACAACCCAAGGAACTAGCAGTTAAGTGTGTCCACTAATAATTTACTGCATCCTTCTTTTAGTTTTTACCACCTCTTTTTATTTTTTAAATCCAGTACAAACAGTTTAACATCACCTCATAGGTACATGTTCCCTTCCAGCAGCTCTATCAGATAACACAAGAAAAGCACATCCATTTTCCACAGCTTCAGATGCCTTGGGGCAAAAAGAGGGAAAAACAAGATTAATGTATGTTAAAAGAAAAAGATGATACCTTACAATCATTACAAGAAAAGTGGCCAATTAAATTTTCTAGATATGCCACCAGTCTTCCATTACCTTAAACCCTTTTATTCCCTTGATATGGGGGGTATTTTATCAACTGTTCACCATACACTGTTTATTAGCATAGAACATATATTTCAAGGGTACCAGAATTTGTAATGACAATTGAAGTCCAGTAACAGTAAAGTAACACTTGTAAGTTAAGTAACACTTAAAATTCTACCAAATAGTCTAATTACACAGTGGGCTTACCTCTTTGCAAATTCTATCAAGTGATGGAACAAGACCATTCACTCCATCTTTTACAGGGTACACCATGTCAATAGTCTGTGTCTGAAATAGAGACCTGTTATTAGAACACTGTGGTGTTGATTGCTAATAGGCCAAATACAACTTAGTGTTGATTGCGTATTGTTAACTTGCAAATAATTTATTGTGATCACCATATATATATGTTATTTAGGTTAATGTAAATTAAATAAGTTAGTAGTTGTGAATCTACAATCAAAGTTTTTCATGTTCTTTTAAAACCTTGTTCTTTGCTTGAACACAACAAACATAACCCTCTACGACTCAAATAAATTTGCAATTTATAAATTGTGTGTACAAACCTTACACCAGGATAGACCACTTTCTTTGATTGCCTGTACATCAGCATTAGAAAGTATTGGGTGTTCTAAATACACACGTGGACAGTCTGAAACATCAGGGTCAAGGAGATTTGGCTCAGGTCCAACTGGGCATGCCTTGAAATGAATGATACAAATTATGATAATTTATTCCTGGAAGTTGACAACACAACACATGAAAAATGGACTTTCCCATTGTCTTAAAACACTATAGTAGTAGTGAACTTTACAACAAAGGTGAGTCTGGATGGTACAGTCATGAGACTGGTTACTGTCAATCACCACTGCCAGGATTTATTTCTAGACTTGAAATCACATTTGGGTTGAAGTTTTTGTTGGTTCTCATCCCTATTCCCAGAGTTTTATTCTAGCACCTTTAATTTTCCTCCTTACTCAAGAGTTAATGCTAAAGATTCAAATGTGACCCTGGAAACAATGGAAGAGTCACCCCATAAAGGTGCCCTTGCTGAGGAGCATTTTCACTGTAAAACTCTTACATAAACTTCAAACTGAAATTTGAAAAAGCTGCCAAAGACTCACCAGTGACATGACAATTTTCTCACGAATTGGATCAATTGGAGGATTTGTCACCTAAACCAAAATGAAGCCATCATCACACATACACACAACACTATATTATTATCATGGCTATTCACTAAAAACCCTGACATGTCAGGGGGTTTAAGAAGTATCTTAAGCATCAGAAAAAGCAAAGATAAAAGGGTGAAGTTTACGTTGAAGGCTGATAGAAAAAAAATTTGGAACAAGTCTATATTCATGCCAATATGCCACTAACTAGCTTCAATCACATTTGCACACTTCAAATAACATGATGATTGAAAATTCTGCTAACACACTCCTAATATATTTTCATCTCCCCCAACAAATGTTATATGACCATGGAGTAAAGATAGAGAACCTTTAAACAGGCCTCACAACAAATTGGACAGTTCCAGTCTAAAACAAATCTTAACAGAAAATCTGCAATCCATTTGTTGTGCATCAATGTACTTAAAAACCCTGATTTTCTTATGTACAGTAAGACAAACTGTTGTGGAAAAAGGGTAGCATAACTTTGCCATGACAAAAACATAGATGTTGGCATGCTTTCTCTGAGAGCTTAGAGAAGATATAATGACTTCAGATAAGAAAATCTCAAATTTGTTACAACATACCTGCGCAAAGAGCTGTTTAAAGTAATCAAATACCAACTGTGGGTGCATTGTCAAGCAGGACAAGGGTGCATCATTACCCATGGAACCAAGAGCCTCTTTCCTAATCAACAATCAGAGCACTAAATAAAAGAAACTCTTTGCCAAATACCAATTAGCTGGTAAGACCAAAGACTGCTAGCAAGAGCTATCTATAACCTGAATGTAGTACTTTAAACTGCCACCATTTTGGTTTATAAGAAAGATACAGAAAAGAAAAAATTTTCTCTGATAAAAATTCACCATCTTATCCACAGTTGTCTAAGTCTTGAGTCTAGAGATGTCACTTGAACCTCTTAAAACAATAACCTGTGAGTTTCTCTTTCCTTTTTCCAGGGACAGATATTTAATTTCTGGTGCCCATATTTTATTTTAGGTTGCCAAATAGCAACTTAGAAAAGAAGTTGACATTGGAGCCCCATCTGGTATGCAACCCTATCATGGGTTGCACACTAGTCTAACATTCTTAACCATTTAACTCTCAGAAGTGATTAAGAAGTAACTTCTCCCTATAATATCCATACACTATCTAGCAAACAGGTATTGAGAATACTTAAACTTATCACATAGAAGTTGTTTTTCTTGATGTAAGACCAAATTCTCCAAACTAATTTAGAAGAGACTGATTAGCAACTAGAATTAATAATCAGATCTTGGGAGTTAAAGCGCCACTCTGACTTTACATTACCTGAAAAACTACCTCTTTAAAAATCATAATGCATGGCTTTATGCATTAATTAATCATTCCTATTGCCTCCACTTCAATTGAGGAATGAAACATTTACATGACTGTCTAATTATTTTCCACTCGTGCATAAATTTGTGGCCAACTAAAATTTCTCTCAATACATAGTTGATGAAGAAAGGCTTGAAATTCCACTTACTTGTTTTTAACCATTGGCAGAATTAGGATGTTCAGATCCTCCAAGGAATAACCAAACATTGGCAGTCTTTTGTCTCTGTGGATTAACTCATTCTGTGAGGATGGCTGGATCAAAGGCACTTTGTCTGCAGAAAGATTCTTTGAAGCTTGGTAGGCTTGGTGAATATCTTCCAAAGTTCGCACATTCTTTTTCAGCAGCTCACCACAAGGTCGCAGACTGGCCATTCTGTGTTTCACCTCACGATCCTCCACAATAGACCCCAACTCTGTGTCCACTAGAAGCATTCTTCCAGGTTGCAAACGACCCTTGGAAAAGAAAAAGATTCTATAGTCTAAGGCCTTTCCAACTATCAAGCTTCTGCAATTGTTGTAAAATTATATTTGATTTGAGCATAGCAAAGCTTGAAACCATCCCATTGGCATGATTGAATCAAGGCACATTGACAAGTTGTCTAGCAGGATCCAAACATGCTTTGAAATGGCATGTTCTAGTCATGCCTGATTTAATTATCTTGATGTATTCATATTGAGGGATTGATAGTTTCATTTGAGTCTAGCACAGCAGTAGCAGAAGCTTTGGAAAAGACCTCAGTCACCTTGATTTACATTCAGTGAACTTTTGTCTCTGTCAGCAAGCATAGATGGAGTCAGTTTTTGAGCTGAAACCAGACAAACTGCTTGTGGTAACTTTTGATGGACTAGCTTCCTAACAAGCCAAAGACAATTGGACAATACTTCTCCCGATTGAGGAGCACTCTAGACGGTGTAATGGAAACAACAGTAGAATCATACTGGTTGCGCCTGGGTTTGATTCCCAGACCTGGCATCCATTGTAGGTTGAGTTTGCTGTTTGGTTCCAAGTCTTTTTCAAGGTTCTCAAATTTTTCCCCTCCATGAAAAATCCCCTAAAAACCAAGTGAAGTGAAGTGGAAGTAAAGTGAAGTGGAGTGAATGATTAAGAGCCAAACCCAGGGTTGTAGATAAGAGCTGGCAGCTGGTGAAGTAAGCTGGCTTCTCTGCAAGGTTTTGCCTGCTATTTTCATTGCTTTGAGAGCCCGTACAGAGATGATGTTTATCAGGTCTAAACTTTGGCTCAATAAAAATATCAATTTGCACTGCCTATCTTTTCTGAAAACATAAAAAGACTTCTGACTCAAGGTTAGTTAATGATGGGAACTATCTTTTTGACAAATCTTGCTGCCATGGCAGGAAAGTACAAACGATATGATGTTTTGTCTGCCATATTGGATTTCAAGATATGAATACCATTTACCTTTAAAAAAGTTCTGGCTACTTAAAACTTTAAAGAAAACCCTGCAAACCATAAATGTAATGTACCACTGATGAATTTTATGAATTAATTAACTTAATATTCTGCAATTTACTTAATATCCATCTTGAACATTTCATGTGTTACCTTCTGTACAATATCTTGATCAGGGAATGTACTGACTCCAACTTCACTTGCCATGACCATGAAGCCTTGTTTAGTCACATAGTATCTTGATGGGCGCAGTCCATTCCTGTCCAGGATAGCTCCAATGTATCGTCCATCAGAAAATGTAAACAAAGCTGTAATTAAGCAATGAAATAAATGATGTAACTACACAGTATTAGCAGTGTTGATTTATGTCAAGACCGATCTGCTATCAAACTGGCAGAGGTTGGCTTGATGATTCAATACAAACCAAGTTATTAGACTATGAAGAAGCTGGAAGCACCACTATTAATAAAGGTAGTTAAATAATAGTATAACTCCTACATGTCTTCAGAAATTAAAAGCTTCATGACATTTCTGGTTTTGCTCAGACTATATCACATACCAGGTCCATCCCATGCCTCCATCATACAGGAAATCCAACGATAAAAATCCTGTTTTTCTGTATTCATTAAACTGTTGCCTTGCCATGCTTCAGGAACCATAGTCATAACAGCCTAAGAGATAACAACAATAGCACTGAATACATACAGAACATATATTTATGGATCAGTATAATTTAGGGCAAAAGTGCTGTACCTTCAAATACAGAAAAAGATACCCTTGTCAATAATTATTAACTTTTCTCTTTCCTTCCATTTTTCAACTCCAAGATCTCAAAACAAATTCTCTTTACAGCATGCCATGCATTTCTTATAGTTGTGCATGAAGCTGTAAGAATTACACGTTAGATCATGCACTGTTCCTCTGTTTCTCATCACCCCCCCCCCCCCCTTCTAACTTTACAAATTTCACTCAAAATAGTACATGAAGGTGGGCGATTTTAAAGTAGTGCATTATACCTCTGGGAGGGAACGTCCTCCAGCCATGACAAGAAGTTCCAAAACGTTATCCACATTTCCTGAGTCTGACAAGTCTGCTTCTATTACAGGAAATAGCCTAAGGAAGTCGAGGAACAGAAATCAATTAATAAAAACTTTTAAGTTCATTAACCCTTACTACAGCCATGTGTCTTTCAGCCACTAGCCCACAAATTTACTGGCCAATTTATTTATTCTTGAAATTTTTTTTTTAAATGGATGCCTTTAGCTGTTAGCGCTAAGTGCTGTTTCAGTCTTCTTACTTTTGGGTGTTGCTGCCAAAGTACTTGCTAACCATGGTTCCTTCTCTTGTGTTCATGTTGTTGATGTTTCCTCTTATTGTGTTGATCTCTCCATTGTGAGCTAGATATCTGTAATAGCAAAAGAGTAATGATCACCATCACCATTATTTTTCCTTCTCTCAGTAGAGGGAAGGAGAAAGATACTTTTAAAACTCACTTTCAAATCACAGAGAGAGAGAAGTTTTTTTCAAAGTTATTTTCTACCTGTCTATAGCCTTTCCTGACAGTGCTCTTTCACAACAAGATTTAACAAAACACCAGCAGTGATCAGTAAAATCTCTGATAATAATCATGTCTCTCTCACCATCAGTATTACTATCATAATCTCTATTACCATCAACATTATCTACTTCATCATCATAATCATCACTGCAGTTCCTCCAGTACAAATGCAACAACCATAACACTTGCCACTAGCACAACATATAAATTTCATTATCCCTTGAACTAAGAGTAATAAGCATCACCCCTGAATCAAATACCAAGGTCATAAGAATAAAGTAAACAATAACAAACTCAACAAGCTCTTGATTTTTAGACAAATTCTCCTTGCATGTACCAAAAGAAATGTATAGAAAAAAGTATGACGACTCTATATACAGATGTTAGAGTGTAATGGATTAATTTATAAATAGAAATTTTAAAAATAAATTTTAAAAAATTTTGACAAAACAAAGTTGAAAGACACAAACCTGTTTGGATGAGCCCTCTCCCAGCTGGGGAATGTGTTTGTGGAAAATCTTCCATGAACCAAAGCAAAATGGGTCCTATCCGAAGACAAACAAAATCAAAATTCAAAACAAAAGGAGTATTACAACATGCTACTATTTTGCTTTTTCCCCTGAAAGGCATCCTCCTTTCTATGAAAATCTAATTGGGAAACTTCAAGGAATTAAATCAATTAAAGATAATTAAAAATGAAAAGATTAATTTGAAAGTCCTAATTGGATGCTCTTTACATCAACATGCAACATGTACACAAATCAATAACAAGTAGTGAAGAAGTTAATGATCTATCATGGGCTGTTGTAATATTGTAAAACAATGTTCTCACCGATAATCTTTACACTGCAGATCTAAATAGAATTCTTGGAGTTGGTCTGGCTTTAACATTCCCTGAGATCATAATCCCAAAAAATCATTGTTATTTTCTAATAATAATAATAATAATAATAATAATATATATATAATATAATATATATATATAATATATACAATCATAATAATAATATTATTTTAAATTTATTATTTAAATAGTGTTACTTCCATCACTATCCAATAGCACTTTACAATGACTGAAATAAACATTAAATGCTTGAAAATCCCAACTTGCAGCAGGCAGTCCAGTTTGGCTGCAACACAGTGCAGATGAGGAGTTGAACTCAAAGTGACCAAGAACAAATCCAGTGAATGGCAACCTAGCACACTAGTTAACAAGTCAAGCACCCTAACCACTCCCCCATGCCACCTCCTGATAATCCTAAAAATTTCATTAAGCAATATATTATCCAATTCAATAAACATAGTAAATACCTTGTAAACAATGGTGTCACAGGATAAACTACAGATGTAGAACCGCCGGTTTTTTGTGCCAATTCTATTTGTAGCCATTTTTCTCAAGAGATAAACCTGAAAATTCAAGAAAGGATCAAAATAATATTTATCAATAAGTAAAGATGAGCTCCACATTGTCTGAGACCTTCTTCCCAACTTCCAAGCACAATTACCCCTGCTTGTGATTGAAGCAGCCACAAAAGGAGAAAGCAGGAACCATGGTTTGGCAATCCTAATGTGAGAGGCATGATGTGTGTGTGGATCAAGATGGATGAAAATGTAATTTGTATAGAGTTATTATAGGGAACTGTAAAATCCAAAAAAAGAGTGATACCAATACCCCCAACCACCCACCCCCCTCCTCCACAGTGAAAAAACATGGATTGATCAATGGCAAAGTGCTTTTCTTGAATACAACCAGAGTAATCATTAAGACAGGAACAAAGAAGGAAGCCCTAAGTGGGCATTAAGACATTAGGAACAATCTTTCAAGTAGCCAGAGCCAATCAAAACACAGGATTTCTTTTCACAATAACCATTGATTGATTTTTCATTGTTTCTTGAATAAATGTTTCCATACCTGCTTTTTAAATGTTTCTTGGTCAAGTGAACTTGTCACAAACACCTAAAAGTAATTAAAAAAGAGATTTACATTCTTCAAGTAAGCCCTATATGCAGTCATATTTCAAATGGCTCCAGTTTCCAAGTTACTTAAAGTTGTACCTGTCTGATTAGTGGCTGGCTTTCAACTGCAGTTTTTCCAATCATGCTGTTGTCAAATGGCACATCCCGCCAACCGAGGACCTATCCATTTAAATCAGAAAGAAATATTAGAAACTTCAGAAAGATACCTTATAAACTAGTGTACAACAGAGAAAATATAAGATATGAAAAACAGAGGAAATAATCCATGCCAAAATATTTCAAGAAAACTAAATGTTGTAAGTTTCACTTATACCTCAATTTTGCATTCCTTAGCAAGTCCTGAAAACATGTCTTCACATACTTTGGCCTGATGCAGAAATAAACATGAGAGATTCAAATTAAACTGATTGCTGATTCAATTTCATGGATATTCTTCATTACCTTAATTCATTTTCAGTTTTTAAGTGTCCACTGCATTTGTACAAACTATTATCACAAGTGTCCATCATAAGGTGACTGTCTTAGAGTAGGTTGCATACGAGGGCTTGAAGCTCAATATTTCAAAGTTAGCTTCATGTCATTTGAATCTATTGTTGCTAGAAATAAAATGTCAGTTTCCAGGAAAGGGTTACATGAAAATGCAAGTAAAAATTTGTGGTTTACTCAAAAGTGAGCCACAAGTTCATGTTTAGCACTTAGACTTGTTCTAAGTTTAAAAAAAAGAGGATTTCACAAAAATATCTGGCATTCCCATTGAACACAAATACTTAAAAAAGTCAAGATATCCAGAATGACTCGCATATGTCACAACTGATACAAATTTCATCAGTGACACAATTCAGAGTCATCCAATCTTGATTCTTTATTTCCCAAACTTGATTCTTAGACACAGATCATTCAGGAAGCAAGAAACAAAGACTCTGATGCAAATATCTTAACCCTTTAACTCCCATGAGTGACCAAGACAGAATTTCTCTTCACAATACCAATACAATATCAACCAGATAAGTAATAAAAAAAAAAGAAAAATATCAATTTAGGGATAATTACTTGATCCAATACTAAATTCTCTGAACTAACATTATAAGAATTGTATGGTTGACAGTTGATCTAGGAGTTAAAGGGGTTAACAAGCTTTTTTGCCATTATTAAAATCAGCTTACCATGTTAGGATCTGTATCAATAAAGAAAATTCCAGTTGCATAATCACCAGCTATGGGCAATGTGAATCCAAGTTTGTTTTCTCTGAAAGTTGACATAAATTATCAAGTCTAAGGGTGAAAAAATGTATCCAAATAAAATATCACCTAATTGTAAACAATTTATGACATCATGGAGAGATAAAAATACAGCTTGATCCTAATAAAGTGTGTTTCCTCTTACATTTTCTAGCAATTTATTTCAGTCTTTCAATATTTTATCATATTCCTTTACAACTTCCCAATTAATTCAAACACAGAAGGTCCCACAAGTACATATTTCAGTAATACACAATGTAACTATAGGAACGAGTCTAGACATGTACGTAACAAACAGTATGATTTTCCCACAGGCAGATCAGCATCACTGTGCAAAGACAGAGTTTCTTTTTTCTTAACAAAGTACTGCAAAACAGTTTGCCAAATGTGTCACAAAAACCTCTGTTCTCTTTTATTGAATATAGGCCAAAGCAATTTTCCTTCCCTAAACCATAGCACAAATACCATGTACATTGCTTTTTTTATTTACCCAGCTTTCTTGTATAGAAGGGAGCAGCAGTTCATGTGCATAGACTTCTGAGGTCTTTGATGAAAACCTTGTAACTGAATAATCTGCCAGATCAAGTCTACAGTTTGTTACATCCACTGCACTAGAAACAATCACAAAGTTTATAAACAAAATTCTTACTGTATAACTTGTTCATAGAAAGCATGTGGAATTCCTGTCATGACACCGGCACCATCTCCACAGCTCTCTTCACACCCAACAGCTCCTCTGTGTTTCATCCGTTCCAGCACTGTAAGTGCTTCAGACAAAACCTTTAAGACAATAATTAAAAATTGACAGTCAAAGACTGAATGTGGGTATTGATATGGCACAAATTTCGTAGTACTGAAAAGAACGAGGGGTTTGTATAATGATGCTAGAAGGTGAGTGCTGCGGCATATTTTTCTCACATGAAAACAGAAAACCAGCTGCATACCACATATTTATGAGTACCCTGTTTCACAAGACAAAGATCAGTAGCACGCTTGTCACGTTCAAATTGAAAAATCACGGATTTGCTTGAATCTTTTAAGAATTTCTCGGCGCACAATGATCAGATCTGCTTGAGACTTCCCACAATTGTTACACGTGTTAAAGATGGTTTTGGACTAAACAGAGGTAGAATAAAGGATCTCTGAAATATTGAATTGGAGCCGAATTGTAAAGTAAGCGACAAAAACATGGCGTCACATGTAACATGCATCGGCTTCACTATTCACTGTTTTCCTGTTTTTGCCCACTAAAACCTCGTATATAACCGTAAGACTTAACAGATAATGAAAATAGTTCCTTTTTAAGCAAAGTGGCAACCGAAATCCTGAAAATTTGAGCTAAATCTTTCTTAAAATCAACGAAAGTGTTCACCACTTGATGCGTCACGCTTTAAAGCTTAGGAGAGACAGATAATTTTAAATTCATTTTGCGAGTCATAATTCCTGAGTTACAGAACAATTTAACCTCAAAATGCAATGCTCATAAGTTTATTTTCAATTACTTTTCGTTTTTTTGTGTTTTTGTTGAAACGTTGTTGAGATATGAATTTTTTTCTGTGTCCGAAACAGTTGGCGAGCGCTGTGATCTGCTGCGCGCCATTTTCAAAGACAAACAAAATCTTTCTTTACGCTGTCAGCGTTCTAGATAGGCCCTCCAAAATTAAGTTAGGGAAAACATCTTTAATGTGCTACAAAGTGGACACTAGGATGGATGATATACAGCGTTCAGGCTTATCTAAATCCAAGATGGCGTCTAGTTATGTGCTACATTTTGGAAACAAACTTAACGAGGAAGTTTGCCGCGGATTAATCTTAGAAAATTTTTTAAATTCTCTATATCTCTTGGTAAGGTTATAATGAAACGTTCTAGTCGCCAATTTGGCGACTAACTTTCAGGATTTGGTCGCTAAAGTGAAAAATTTAGTTGCATTGGCGCCTGTATTAGGTGCAATTTCACACCCTGAATGAAGCAGATGTTGACAGAAGTTGTCGCCTGTGGATGGAAGTTGTATTCTATAGATGGACGTTGCATTGTGGACCATGAATGGAAGTAGTCTCACATGCTACCTTTCCCCACTTAGTGAAAGTCCAAATTAACTTTGATGAAGCTCAGAAACTCATGTGGAAAGAAATAAAATGTTTGTATGGTTTTATAAATATAATAACCTAAAATCACATTTCTGAACTTCTGAAAATGCAACTTGAATCAAGAAGCCAAAATGTTCACACCTAGGGGACTGGTAGGGGGTTCATTTCAACTCATGCTGAGACCACGCAAAAGAGCATCAAAGGCAGCCTTCTTAGTAAGCTGTGCATTCATGTTTGTCTTCAGTTGGTATAAAGTAATCATTGCATTATCATTGCACTTGTCCTTAGGAGCTCTTCAATATAAATTCCACATTTCAATCATAGCGACCAAGATAGTCTCAATAAAATTTTTTTTAACTTCAATATTTTGGTTCGGACTTGAGGCTCACTTGAACAAAAACAGCACTTCCAATGTGGTCAGTACAAAATGCAGACTGATGATTTTTGTCTGATACATGATAACATGTCATCTTACAACTAACCGTGCGTCACGCAATCACTTTTTTGCAATCATCTTTCATGATTATTTGCACTGTTGTGGAATATGCCTTGCCACTTTCTTGATCATTTTCTTGAAACATAATTTCAAGCCTTCATATAGTATGCATAAGTTTTCTTATCACACAACAGTCCAAAAATAAAAGAAATTTATTCCATAGGTCTTGAAAGTTCACATAAACTGAAGTCAACTGTACCTATTTTCAATGAGTCCAGAAATCAATACCAACCTAAGCCTTAATATGAATGAGCTGGCTCCAAGAGCTCTTTGATTAATAAATTCTGGCTGGGACTCATGCAAAAGTCTTCAATGTTTTCTTATCATGAAACTAAGCACACAAATTTTTCATTATCACTTTCTTTCAAATTTTGTGTTACTAGCCTCTAGGATATATGCCAAACATGACTCCTGTTAACACTGTATAACTTAAATACTTATGACTCCTTCTTGACAGTATCTATCAACATGCAGAAGAAAAATTAATCTGTGTAATTTCAAGACTACAGACAGTGAAACTATTATAATGAGAAACTGACTTCAGTTCAGCTTAACAAAAAACTAATCTTAAAATTTTCCTATCACTTTTGAAAATATGTTTATTGGATGTGTTGGGGAGCACTTTATTATATTTTAATCTTTATTTGACAATTATGATTAATTTATAAGTTTTCATCTTTTGCAAAATGAGACATCAAGAATTTGAAAAACATTTTAAATATGCACAATAAAGTGAATTATGTATTGCAGTCTGTTCCCTTACTGATAAGATTCTGTCAAAAATACTAACCAGTCAGAGTTATTTCTGTATTACATTAACCAGTCGCTCTCATAAAAATAACACCTTCACAAAGCCATCACAGTTGGAAATTAATAATTAAATGAAATGTGTCTATATTTGGGGACTTTTTTTTAAAAAAAGAGTAATTTTTTGGACAAGAAACAATGCTTCACAGTTTCCAAACAGAAGAACTTTTCAGCAAGAATTCATCTACTATATTTGCCTTGTGCTTACAAAAGGTTTAAAACAATTCTGTTAACCTTTTTGACTTTAAAACAATTCTATCAGCTTGATACCAATGATAGGTTGCACTTTAAAACTAGCACGCTTCAAACAAAATACATATTCAGTTCATCTGATCTCAAAAACCCAAAATTCACCAAAGTTTTAATTGATCAAATTATTTTACTCTCTAACTTGTAAAAAAACATTAAAAACAAGATACAAAACATTGCATAATCAGTAGCTCATGGATAAAAATACTCAATTTCACAATCATCAACAAAAAAATAGCTTATAGAGCCAAAAAATAATGTACGCTCTGCATTATTAATAGTGCAGATACCATCTACTCTAAAAATAGAATTACATTCAAACATTGAAGCAGGCGAGAATTGGGTATAGATGTTGATGAAACATTTTCCAACGGGACACCCTTCTGATAAATTTCACGGTAAACACAAATTAAATTTATATCTACGGTGACAAAAGTAATATGATCCTACGTTTCAAAACAAGATTATCTTCCAAAGGGAGAAAACAAAAAAGGAGCAAAACAGGTTGCAAATAAAATCTGTGGGGTGTGGTTTTTTCCGGGCGTGTGCCAAAAACAGTTCCAACAAGACAAGTTATGACAACACTTCCAACCATCAGGTGGATTATTTTACAAGAAAGAATATAAAAAATTCCAAAATCCGTTCAAGGATATCTTTCAAAATAAAAACACACAGACTAATGTAATCAACCGAATGATAAATAATTTAAGACTGGATCTAACAACACAACTGTTTAATGACAAAAGGATAAAAATTGAATAAAAATTGAATAAAAATTGAATAAAAATTGAATAAAAATTGAATAAAAATTGAATAAAAATTGAATAAAAATTGAATAAAAATTGAATAAAAATTGAATAAAAATTTACTTGAGCAATAACAAAAGAAATTCACAGTATTATCTTAACTGACATGCAATGATACTAAAATAAATTTCAAATTTGCGAGCGTCTCGTTTAGGGTGAAAATTCACCTTCGTTTCAGGAGTTACCCGGGCTACCTGTGTTTCTATAGCTAAAGACTTGAAAATTAACATGCACACCTCCGAAATAAATAAGGGTTTCTGGGTGCAAGTAAGGAATGTAAATTCTAATGAAACACGACCAGATGATGGCTAGACAAGGGCCCGAGTGAAACAGGTATTGTTAAAAGCGAACAACGAGCCCACACAACCAGGGTCAACAGTGTCTTGCGTGATAACAACACGAAAACAAAGTCACCTTGATATTTTTTTCTAGCATATTTAATATTTAATACATAAAGGAAAACCTTCAACGCAAGCATCTTGAAACGAAGTCAAAAGACAAGGTAAACAACCTAAAAAATGGCCCTGCACTTTGCCAAAAATTCTCACTGAGGGTCGTGGACCAAAGAAAAACCCGGGAAAATACTTAATGAATGTGAAACTACTCCTCGAGCCAGACACATGACGGCGAGTTGAAGCAAAATTCGCTCGAATGAAAACCGTTGTTTAAGTGATACTAGAATTCTACATAACGATCGACAAGGCTAGCAACGTTTTCAATAGTAAACTACGATTTCTAAGCGGTTATATATATAAAAGAAATAAGTGAATTTGCGAAATCGTTCTGTTTCATAACCTTACTATTCGTTCCGCTTCTACGATAAACCGTGTAATTTAAGGATTCAATTCACTTTCAAGCCAACTCTCAGCACAACTAACAAGTTGCATAACAACAGAACACCTCTCTTTACCTGGTAACTTCTTTCTCCATTTATCTTTGCCACAAATCCAACACCACAAGCTTCTTTTTCGAGATCCGGAGAGTATAACCCCTGTTTACTCGGGTAGCCATGCTTGGACCGAACCATGTCTCTTGACTTGAGTTCACGTTTTCAGTTAGACATAGACTTTAATTAGTACGCAGGGCTAAAGTAATTGAGAAACTTGGGAATACACTCTGTACTGTACAGTCTCGCACGAGCTAACAGGCAGAGTATTGGACCCGATAGAGAAACGTGCACTTGTAATTGTTTGAATAAAAAAGCGGACTTTGGCGCTACACACGTGAACGACATGCTGTGGTGTTACCGGAAATGTGACCAATAAAAAAACACTTCCGGTCCGGCTTACGGTGTCATTGGTACAGATCCAGACTTAACCTCACCAAAACAAAAAAAATTATAAATATTTCACCACAGCTAAAATGTTAATCGTGTTGCCTCAATATCGAAATTTCCAAATAAATTTGCAAGGCTGTAAATTTTTTCAAGGAGAATTGCCAAAGATGTATGCGTTATGTAAATATGTTCCAATAGTAAATGGCTTCAATTTCAGTTATGAATCAATCTAGCAACGATCATCATTATTATTTTTTCATGCTATTCGTAAATCCGCTCTAGTGATAAAAACAAAAAATTTGACCTGGAAGTACCATGAATAAATGTTAAGCAGAGGTCTCTTTGTCGCTTGAGCGTCGGTGATGCCGGATGGCATACTCTGCAGGTGAAGGGTACTTTCTTTGAGCAAAATTAGTCTTTAAGGGATATTCTTGAATACTTAATGACAAGGAGTCCACCAGCGGAATGACTGAGAAATCTGAGCAAAAATTCAGAGATTTTCCTCCCCTGAATCGTGTTTTACTGGCATCAAGCTGAGCGTTAGAGTATAAAGGCATTTCACGTGGCATTTGTCTGTATTTCTCAAAATTAGAACGGAAATCTTAACAGAAATCTCTTTTAGTTCAAGATAATTAGTTGATTTTTAGTGCAGCATTCGTGCGCTTTTTCACTGGACCGGCATTCTGTAAATTAAGTAATTTCCGTGACGCTTTCTCGTTTGTCATCACTCTTGTCCAGTTCGTGAGTTATGATGGAGTACATGACTAAGGCCTAATAGTTTGCTTGCAGGCAGGAACGTGACTTAAGTAATCAGCAGCAGATGATCATTTTAACGCTACAGGGGTTCTCTCTCGTGATAAAATGTATCGGCTAGATTCTGTTATCCGGCATTTTTTTTTTTTTTGAAGGTAACTTGCCACACTCTAAAGAAATTATGTGGCTCTTAGAACCTCTGTTTACCAGTTGTTGATGAGGGAGATTTTAAAAAAAGTTTGTCCCTCTTTTTCTTGCCTAGAATGAGCTCGGCACGATTAATATGACACGTGATTTACTAGTGCACCATACAAAATTGTTTTTCATGCAGAAAAGTCATGCTTAAATGCTTAAACTAGCCATTCCTTTCGTCATTTTCATAAAATAAGCTTCTTTACGTCCAAAGTCCATTGTCTCATGTCAGACAAAATATTCCTCCTTCAAATACAATGAGTAGTTTTCGAATCAACCACAGAAGCAGGCTTAAGGCGACACCTTTTCTTTTAATGGTACTTCATTCGCGTGTTTCACGACTCCAACCTCATGTCTGCATTGCGTGCTTCCTTGCGCTCCATCTGGAAGTTTTGCCCCGACAAATCGGCAACTCTCGCCGTGATACCTGTTGAGTTCTAGCCGACAAGATAGTTCTCCCGGGGTAAGTTCGCACCCTGCGGGATAGCTCATCCGAGAGTTTAGGAGTAGGGCATTTTCAAAGTCCCCTAAGTCTATGTAGATTAATTTGTTTTATTTTACCTAAGACTTTTGAAGCCGCCCCTAAGGAATACATAACAATGTCCATGAAAAGGATTAGAAGTCAAACAAAGACATTTAAAGTCATTCAAAAAAGGACATTGCGAAACTTTTCAAAACGCTGGAGTTACGAAACATTTTGAAATGAACCGTCCTATGGTCTGGTAGACGCGTCACGCACCGCCGGCGTTGACACGCGTTGACACGCGTTGACACGCCTACACAGTCGAGGGGAACACCAGTACTACTCATTAGAACATAGCGAACGATCTCTGGTTCGACTTCTAGAGGGACTTGGTGCGCGTAGAGATTTCATAAAAGAAATTAAACAAAGACGAGAAATAATATTTTTTAAACCTCTCTCGACAGTAAGAAGACTAAGAAAGCCTCAGGAAAAAAAACCCGCAGTGAAATATTTTCACGTACTCGTGCGAGTTTCCATGGTTGAAAAGGCTGAAAAAGCAGCTTGAAAAAAACTATCTATGGTTAAAACACATAAGGTTACATAACAGTCCAATATTTTGAGAAAAAAGAAACGCTTTATAGGTACAGGAAACATTTTTTACTGTTAACTTTTTTTAAGGCCAATGGTTTAAATTTGTCAATTCTTACGCTTTAAGCCTAAATGTTTTTGTCCTTTTATGGCTAGCTTCATTGAGATCCCCTTTTTGAGTGAGAAGATGAAAATAAAAGATTTCTGAAATGTTAGAGGCTAATCTCGCTGATCAACATAAATGCAAGACTTGGTTCCTAGATTTATAGTAAGGAAATGTTGAACGGTTTTTTGAATGAGTTCCTTCCCGCGGTGTTTCTATTTACAGGAGCGTTTATGCTCCCGGCCTTGATATGTTAGCAAAGATGGCAGGTTGTGGAGCCAAATAATTTACTTCGGACGAGGAACATTATACGGTCGATCCTCAGGCGGCCCCCTGTGTGGAGCGGCCACCTGTGGTGAGCAGTCGGTTGTCAAAGTCCCGAAATTTTCCGCACTACTGAAGTTTTTCATTTTCACCCCTTTAAACACCCTTAACCCTCTTCCACCTGTATTGAACGGTGACTTAAAGCGGAACCACCCAAAATGCACTAAGAATAATTTCCCGAGTCAAATATATCCCATTTTTATCTCCCTAAATTAATGTTAGCTTCGCTCTTTGAGTTCAAAATTTCTTCAACGTATTGCATATTAACTTTATTCTTAGAAATGTTACAAGAAAATGGCATTTTTTTTAATTGCGTTTTACCATATTCTTAACCTTTTCTAAATCCTTTAACTCCCAGAAGTGATTCACATGTAACTTCTCCCGAGAGTATAATACATTATCTAGCAAACAGGTGGTGAGAATACTCAAATTTATCGGGTAAATGATTTTATCTTGATTGAACCTCAAATTCTCATAACCAATTGATAAGGAAATGTGTAGCAGCTAAAGGGAAGAATTAACAATCACATCTTGGGAGTTAAAGGGTTAAACCCCGCCATTCCCCGTGCGTGATCACTTAATACCGGTTCGACTGTAATTCATTTACAGAGCACTTTTGGTTCACCTTGAGGGAAGCTTTGTCTATGCCATAATTTTTGGGTTTCCTGAGATTTTCCTGATTGCAAAGACAGGTACGTCTAATTTTCTTACCAATTTTGGTAAGTTACACCGTAACCCTTTATTTGACCCAAAGGTGAGCAGACACGAGGGGTCTACTTGCACGGACATCTTGCAGCGATATGTTGCAGCGACAAAAACTTGTGTAGTACACACTGAGGCGACATGTAGCAGGGACGTGTAGCGGTGACATGTAGCAGGGACAAAATCACAATATTACACACATATGAAAATGTTGTGGGTACATGTCCCAGGGATATGTTGTAGCGACATGTCTCCCTGTGTGAACTGATACTTTTTTTTTTCAATTTGGGGGATATTTTGTCCTCGCGACATGTCGCACAAAGTTCAACTTGTTGAACTTCATGGGACGCGTCGCAAGGACAAAACGTCACAAGGATGCCATGAAACTTAGTCCCTGCTACATATCGCCTCAGTGTGTACTACACAAACTTCTGTTGCTGCAACATGTCGCTGCAAGATATCCTTGCAACTTGACCCTCGTATCTGCCTACCTTAAGAGTGGCTAGCATCTAATTTCATCATCTCAAGGCCGGTTAGGCAACACACTAACCACTTACAAAATTCAAAAGTAAACATTAAAAGCTACAATAAATACATTACAGAATAAAAAGTCAACTATAAAAATTGAAACGCTCTTATTAAGCTAATGAACTAAGGTAATTCTTAAATTCGGCAAGAGACGTAATATCAGGCTTATCAAGGAGGAGCTGATTGCAGTCTCCAGCAGTTCTTGGAAAAAAGAAAATTTGAACACATCTTTCTTACAGTGAGGTCTAAGAAGCTTAAGCCTACGGCTGCTCCTGGTACGGATCTCATTCCTAAAATTAAAAAAGTGCTAATCTTAATGTCAACTAAACCATGAATAATTTTTTACATGAAGATCAAACGAGATCTTTTTCTCCTTTCTACAAGGGTGCAAAGTTCTAATTTTTCTAGCATGGACGTGACGCTTGACGACCAGTCATAATCGTTCGTACAAAAACGGGCTGCTGCTCTTTGCACTCCCTCTGGTCTAACAAAGTCGCATTTGAAATGTGGGTCCCAAGCAATGGACGCGTAGTCGAGCTTGGGCCGGACTAAAGTAACATATAACGTCTTTTTGATGCTCTCCGTGCAGAACCACACATTTCTCCTAACCAAGCCTAACATCCTGTTGGCGGTATTACAAATATGATTTATATGTTCCTTACATCTAAAAGTCTTTTATCTATTTCAACTCCTAAGTATGGATGTATATTAACGTTTTCTAAAATTTTTTACCACAGAAGTAAAATTTTGCCAGGGGTGGTTCGCGCTTCAGTGAGACTTAATTTCTCCCTAAAATATCACCCCTCAATCACACTTCAGGCTAAAGAATAAAGTAATTGATCACCACCTTAATACGCTCGAGATTGCTTTACAGTTTCTCCTTGTCAGCGCTTAAGGAAATGTATCAAAAACAGTATGGAGAATATGCACACTGATGTTAGGGTCTGGAGGGTTAAAAAGTTACACAGTCAAAGGCTAACCGGTGTTGTGAGTAATTTGGTATAAGCACAAATTAATACTGAATGCCGTTCGTACCAAAAGAAACGAAAAGATGGTCATGTTAAGTGTTAGGGATGATTGGATATTTTCTTTCATGTCACTAGATGCTTTCATTCATCACTTTACGGGTTTATTGCGAACCAAAATAATTACCAGCTCCCAGTTGGCTTGTTAGCTCAGTTGATAGAGCAATGTACCGGTATCGCAGAGGTCATGGGTTCAAATCCTGTACAGGTCTAAACTTTTATCAGGCCATATTCTCATTACTGCTTAAGTTGTGTTCATTATTGCGAAGATCACTTTCAAAATCACTAACTACTTTCCTTTTACATTTTATAAGGCAACTGGGATCAGGCAGTAGCACTGATCCATTTGAGCTCTAAAGCGTGATTATGTAACCGAGGTTATAATCACTGGTAGCTAATTTTCAAGTTTGCAGGTTCTCTAACCCTTTAACTCTCAAGATTTGATTGTTAATTCTCCCCTCTAGCTCCTGCACACTTCCTTGTAAATTGTTAGATCACGATAACAACTTCTACCTGATGAGTTTGAGTATTCTCTTTACCTGTGCACTGGATAATGTATGAATATCATAGGGAGAAGATACATGTTAATCACTTCTGGGGATTTGAGAGCTAAACTCTCTCCTCTACTGTGCCATTGCAACCTTTCTTTGGGGAATGTTAGGCGATAGTGCATCTTAGCGTGACATAAAGTTTGCGTGACGTTTTCTAACGCTGATGGACGGTTTCTGAGTGTTCACCCGGCAAGCCAACCATTTGGTGAGTACTGTTTTGTATTGCCTCCACTCCATTTACGCCCTTAAAACAACACGGGAAGAACTTTTCTAAGATAAGCCTTGCTCCATGGCGAAATTTGTCATTGAAAATGAAATAAATCCAGGGATTGAGGGTGCTATTAGTTAGAGTCAAAAACCACGTTATAAACATGAGGTCAATCTTACCGCAAAGATAATGAAAGCGGCTAAAACAAAGTATCAGTCCAATAACTAGAGGCAAACGAAGCAAAATCAACGCTGTAACAATAGCGATAAGCATTGCCAAAACCTTGTGTGTTATCCGTTCCCTCCTTTCCTGAGTCGATGGCAGTTGGTTTCCGGGCGGTGCAGCCCGACTGATTTTAAATCCAATGGCAACGTAGAGAGCGATGATGATGACAAGTGGTATAGCTATTATGGTGGTGTAGCAAAACAAGAAATATGAGACTGCCAAGCCTAGCTTCTTAAATTCAATGGTGCAGTGACGAATTCCCGGGGAAACCTCCACTACCGCGATCAAGGCGAATAAAGGGGCAGTAAACACTGCAGTGAAACTCCACACGGTGATAATTATACGACGGGCGATTTGAATCGTGATTATTCTTTTCATCGGATAAAACACCAGAAAATAGCGATCCAACGCCACTATAAGAAGACTTCCGGTAGAAACCAAGATTGGCAGTTGAGTAACGAAGAAGGAAAAGCGACAGAGGATCTGACCAGCTACTCCTCCGACAAGCCATCGAAAGTTATAAACAGTCAAGACAATATTCTGAGGAACCGCATAAGCAACCACTAATATGTCGGCCAAGGCCATGTTCACGATGAAGTAATTACTCGGAGTTCGCATTCGCTTGTTGGCGTTCTTGTACACTATTGCAACCAGCAAGGAGTTTCCGATAAGACTGAAAATTAAGACGACAAGGTAGGCTGCGATTTTAACGCCAGTTGTCATGGGATTTAAGCTGGTACTGTTGTTGTCTGAAGAAGGGAGTGTTGTGCTGATGGTCGAAGAAGACATTTCTGTCAGACGCCCAAGAGTTATTTCGTTTCTGCCAACCTCGTTATGTTCTCTTTGGTTTTATGTCTTTAGAAGAACAAAAGATGATGTCTTCCGGGCTTGTTTTGGCGTCAAGACCTTTTTTTCCAAAGAGAAAATTTCAATGCCTTTGAAGAGTTCTCTGCCCTATCTAACTGTCGTTGTGGTTATTAGTTTAACGACGTTGAATCACCTGTTTCGCACGGAGAGTTCATTTTAAAAGTCATCATCAAAATCTTTATTTAATTAGAAATACGACATTTCGTTGCTTTGTTTTGAAGATAACTATTTACGAAACACTTAGAATATATACTGGTATATTTAATGATCTTAACATTTCTGGCACCTGAGAACAAATTTTGAAGTAAAGAAAATTTATTAAAAACAATTTTTGTTGACTGTTCGGTTCTGATAATCTTTAATTGAATGCAAATGACAGGTTCGTTAATAGCTTTTCTTTAACGGAAACAGCAAGACTCTGTTTGAAATTACCTTCACAACTAGTACTCCAATAATTGACACCAGTGCAATTTTAATTTTCAATCATTTGATCTTATCGAATCTTTTCAATCCTGCACTCCTACACTGGCGCATAATTCAGGTGACTTAACCGTCAGAAGAGGAAATTAAATTATTAGAGTTAGAACGAATTGACTAACTCGATTTTTTTTGTGTACATTAAAACTCTCAATATCCCTTCCCAAAGGGAAAAACGCCGGGCTTTCGTGCAGGATGACTGTGATTAAAATTAGCATTTTTAATAATACTTTTATCTCAATAAAAATCATTAGCAATCGCAAGGACAATGTAAAAACAAACCCGAAGATTTGCACATGTCGTGAAAACACCATGATCTTGGGTGACTGAATTTTTTTTCTCTCAAAAACACTTAGAAACGGCAGGCAAGCTCAAGTTTCGGTTGAGGAGGCGGTAAACAAAAGCATCTTGAATAAATAGTTTCTACTATGTGCCTCGTTAGTTGAGGCTTCACAGGACAATATACCATACATCCCTAAAATTTTTTTTTGCAATCATAGTTTCGCTTATCCATAACTAATAAAACAGTTGTCGTGCAAAACTACGTTCTAAGCCATCTCTAATTTAGCCAACTGTTTTATCATCTTTTGTCGTTGATTTGCATGAACTGGGTCTAAGACCGAAGCTTAGGTGAGATTGCTGTAAGTCGTTAAAGCACGAGGATAATTTCCGACAAGAAATAAAGAGATCGAGAAAACTTATCAAGCACTAAGATTATTTGAGAGACACATGAGGAACCACTCACCTGTATGCATGTGTGATGTGTTGCATGTTGGTTGTACTGTTTACCACTTACCAACGATATTGCAAGGCATGGTCATCTCTAAGACGGCTGGGCTTAAGCGACCCTACCCTGACCGTCTCCTGACCCCAGGCCTCACCGCGTACGCGTGATCAAGTCCAAAGCCCAGGGAAACAAGCGGTCCTAGCGATGCTTTGAGATGCCTTTCATTGTCCTCATATGATATTAATCAAAAATATAATAAAATTCTCGAACGTGATTGGCTATCACCAGCCCGATTTGAGCACTAATAGGAAAGCGTGCGCGTCATGCTTATAATTGGACATTGTGGTAGGAAAGTTAAAGGGACACTTAACACCTTGCGGTCGTCCGATTTTGTTAATTACTCGTGTTACTACCGACCGAATTGGACTCCACACGGTCCTATTACCTTTATAAATCTTAACTGTATTTTTTCAATCACTCGAATAAACAACCAAGCTTGAAAAATTTGTCTACTTTTAAAAACAAAAGAAGTTATGAAATTGCCATATTTCCAAACAAACATCTGATACTCTCACTAAGTTTGAAAAAACATTTCAAGGGAAATTCTGTAGAAATCTCTGACTACCGGACAAAAAGTATTTTCAGAAACCTGTCCGGCGGCCTGACATTTTAGGAGAAATAGATATGAGTATTCATTAAAGTTTGACTCCGAATATTGCTTTTCCAGAGTTCTGATTGGTTCACTCAACTCCGGTTATCAGCTCGTATTTCGAGTCATTGCGCCAACTGTTGCGGAGCTGAATTGAAAAAGGCCCCAAATATCCAAACGTTGAAATTCGATAAAATAATTATTTCATTCGCGCATGGTGGACACGAGACTGGTTATAGCCAACTCAGCGCTGCGTGCCTCGTTGCTATTTACCCTCACATATCCAACGTGCGTTCACTTCACACAACTTATTTTAAAGTGCGCGCGAGTAATTCCCAGACTTCTCTCTATTGTTAAGTCTGAAATGAATGAATGACGTCACTAATGCACACTTTTCACAACATGGCGGAGAAAGGTTCCGGGTTGGAACTGTCATCAGAAGCCCCATGGCAGCGTGTTAAACATCCTACGGCCAATTTTTCTGCACTTTGTCTTTTCAGAATCAAGAGGTAAGAGCTGTAAATATTTGGCAATGAGATTCGACTTTCCTCCCTTCTGATCCTCTAAAGATCATCTGGAGTTTCACTTTAACTAGCACCTCGGCACTGAAAGACAGCTAGCTAGCGGCTGTGCATACGACAGATTGTCGAGAGATCAATGATTCACTCTTGTGGGAGCTCAAACAGCTATTTCCATTTTAAGTTTTGACTGTCTGACATAAGCTGTGCCCGTTACGAGCTTCAATAAAGCGGCCAGCTGATAGAAGAATGATTTATTGTAAATACTAATATTTGTTATGCAGAGCGGTAAGTTTTGACAAGTATTTTAGGAAACAACCCTTTATAGCTTTCAGTGAAAAGGAAGAGCGACATGTTTCTGTTTGTGGTGAAAAGTATTTTAAAAAAATTTCCTTTGAACTTAGTGTTATACAGAAGGTTTTAAATATTTGCATAGGCAACAAAAAAGCTGGTCTCAATATTGTAGAGAATAGTGTCGTCTTTACTTGAGAAAATCGATTATTCAAAAATTTATTCAAATACACCTGTTTCATGAACACAATTTTCTTTCCGTCAACCGGTTGTACACAGGAAAGTAAGTTAAGCTAAATCAAAGAAGGAAATATTCTTGAAATAATTTAAGTGTTCTTTGATGGTCTTGCAAGGAAGAATAAAAAACTGAAACCTGTGAAACTGCACAACCAAATTCAAATTTCTCCTGGTCAAACCCCCTCCTTGTGGGAGATGCTGTGGTGTAACAGGCAGCATGCTGGACTTCAGGCAAAAGGTCCAGGTCTGAAACCTGGCTGGGTCAATGTGGTGGGTTCTTCTGAAACATACTTTACTCTCATTGTCTCTCTCCACCCAGGGCCAAGTTGTTCAAATCACAAATAATTAATCCTTTAAATCCCACAAGTGATTAGCATGTAATTTCTCCCTATAATATCCATACATTATCCAGCAAGCAGATGACGAGAATACGTGAACCCATCAATCACAAGTTGTTATCTTAATCTAACACCAAATTCTCACAAATATTTTACTAGGGAAATGTGTACCAGCTAGAGGGCAGAATTAACAGTCACATCTTGGGAGTTAAAGGTTAATCTAACTGAGGTTCAGCCAATAATTTTTGATTTAGTTCATAACTTTGCAGACAGTTTTAATTGTTGATGTTTTTTCCTTCAGCTTTGTTTTACAATGAGGTAACAGCCCTTGACATCTGAACCCTATAATATGCTTTATTTCAAGAGACAGCTCAGCACCTGACTGCAGGATTAAATATTAAAATTACAAGAAGTTACAAGTTTACGCTTCTAATATTAAAGGGTAAACATGTCAATGAAATCCAAACAATCTCACCTTTGTTCATTTGATGTTTTTTTTCTGCCTAGAGATATTACAAGTATGTACAAAGAGCCACCTCCTGGTCTTTACGTAGTAGCAGATGAAAACGACATCACAAAGGTTGGTGAAAAATCAAACAGGATATTAGAGTCAGAAATTTGACTGTTTTTCAGGGAAAGTGTGTGTTATTACAATGTTGGGATCCAAAAACTCCAACAAGAATATCCAACCCAAGTGTTTTAATCAGCATTATTTTGTTGAGTGATCTGTGCCTAGAAAGAATTCCTTTGTGGTTCAGGATATTAATGAATAATATTTTTATTTAATATTATTTTTTTCAGGTTCATGCTTTGGTCATTGGTCCTCGTGGCACACCATATGAGGGGGGGTTTTATTATTTCCTTATCGCCTTTACCCCTGATTACCCAATCAAACCTCCCAAAGTACGTCTATTGACAACAGGAAATGGGAGAGTCAGATTTAACCCCAATCTGTACAAAAATGGCTTAGTTTGTCTTAGTATTTTAGGGTAAGCATGTTCTTTTAACTTTTTTGTTGTTGTTGTTCTTTTGCCTTTAAATTGTTAATTTGTTCTGTTTGTACAAATAGTGATACTGGTAATGGTTATACAAGAAAGAATGTAATGGGTGAATTTCATGGTAGGGCAAAAAAACCATAATTTCATAACTTCAGCCCAGGTTACAGAAAGAGAGACAAAGTCTACCTAACAAGGCTGACTCATCTATGTCAGCAATTACCAGAGAGGTCAAAAGTCTTTCAAGAGCTAATTTGCTCTGCAGGAATTTTTTTTCAAAGGCTACTGGTGTTGAAAATTCATGCAAATCACATTTGACTGTCATATGATTTTGATTGCTTATGTTGTTGTCTAAAAACTATTTTTCTTACACAGAACATGGCCTGGCCCTGCATGGAGTCCTGCCCAGACCCTCTCTAGTCTACTGATATCAATCCAGTCTCTTATGAATGAAAAACCATATCACAATGAACCAGGATATGAAGGCAAGGTTGGTTAAAGTCCTTCAGAGTCACACTGCTTCTTAAGCCAAATAATTGTTTTATTCCAGTTCTGTATTGATGCAATAGTTACTGATGGGAAGGAATTTTGTGTGCAGCTCTCACTTTTGAAAAAATTATATAAGACAAACTACCTATATCCAAATTCCAAGTTAAAAATATTACTGCCTGGATGGATGAGACACTTATCCCTGAAACAGTGCACTTAAACATAGTGATGCAAGGATAGTTTGTTTAAGTTTTAGTTAATTTTCAGGAGGCCTACAAAGATGACAGCAAAAGATATAATGAATGCATTCAGCATGAAAACCTTAGAGTTGCTGTCTGTGATATGTTAGAAGGAAAACTAAATTTTCCTCCAGCTCTCAGGTGTGTGCTTTTGATCAAATATCAGTGATTTCTTCTTATTACAATCAATTTTAGTCGTACTTTTATTAGGTATTAATAATTACTTTTGTTGAGAAAGAAATGGCTCACCAACCGTAGAGAATTATGGTGACCCCTTTACTCCCAAACTCTCACTAATTCACTTCTTCTCAGTGTCTGCCCTGCATTTTTTATAATTTTTTGCTCTAAGAATTCAGCATGAGAGCAAAAAAATTGTGCCCCCATTGACATTCCCTTTTTTTGTCATTAAAGGAAGGCTTATATTCTGTTATACAGTGTATTGAATGTAGGGAAAACTACAAATTGGCCATTGCTGGGAGTGAAATGGTTGAAGTTAAGGTCTCAGACTCCATTAGAAAGCAGCCCCCTCCTGTGAAAATAATTGGAAATTTTATTTTCAAGGGGAAGAGTAAATGGTCAATGGTTGTGTCCTGGGGGTGTAGGAAGGCATTTTCAACAGGGGTGTCCTAAACCAGTACCATACTAGACCTAAGAACATACAGGGATGGGTTAATTAGTTTTTCTTCCAGAAGAGGTCATATACACCCCCTAGAACTTGCTCCTCATGAGCCACACCTCTGGGTCCATCTCAAAAGCACAAGAAAAAATGAATTGTGTGGTTCTTCATTGGTTTGAAAAGGTGATGTCACCTGAATATTAGTAACCTGATCAGGTGTTGGTTTGAATGGGCTTTGAAAATTTAAGGAATTAATTTTGAGGTATAATATTTGAATGGGTGAGGGTTGAGAGGTCACAGGTCTTGTAATTTAAAAAGCAATACAATTTTCAAGGTTATGCTTGTCCTGGCAAGAAAATAACAAAACTGACACAAACTACTCAACTACCAGCAGAAATGGGATTGTGCAAAAGATGTTCCAAGGGGAATGTGGAAAGAGAATGAAGCATCCAGAAGGGAGGGAAGGAAAAGGGTTATAGGTAGTCATGCAGTCATTCTCATATCACCTTGGTACAAACCCAGCAATGCATATCATACAATTCATTCAAACAGAAGCAGGGAATAAATCTTATCTATGAATATAATTACTTTTTCAGAAAACGAATGGAGAAGTTATTCCTTGGGTTTTATGACAGATATTCATCAGTTGTTAAGGAAAATATGCTCTCTAATGGAAAAAGGATGAAGGTAAGTAAGTCTTTGCCCCTTTCTTCTCTCCATGTGGTGACTGTGTTGAAGACGTCACATGCACTTTGTTGAGGTAAGTAGTACATGTATATGATTGCTGGAAGAAAGTTAGGTTTTGCAGGGGTGGGAAGGGGGGTTGTCTGTCATCTAATTCACTTTCTGTTCCATGTGAGGGTATTCCATTAAGAACTGCAAGATTATTGCAATAGACTGTGATATTTTGCAACACGCTGTGCATCAGTCATCATCAGATTGAAGTCAGGTAGAGCAGTGAAATGTTTACCCTGGTTTACACCAAGTGAATTATCAGTTTATGGATTGTGTCAGCCACCTGGTGATGAATGGTGCCCACTCTTAAGTATAGTGATGTAAAAATTTAATTCTGACATAATCAAACATGTTGTACTTCTAATTTATTTCTTGTGTCCCTGGTTTAAGAAAAAATAACATTGACAAAATTCATGTGGTTCCCATCATGGTTTGACTTCTAGGGAGGGGGAAGGGTTCTCCCTAGAAATAGGTTAATGGGGATATGTTGCTGGTGGGGTCGTATTTTAATGACTGGATGGACCATAATTTTCTATAGAGCTACGAGATTGAGGGTGCACATTTTTGAGATTTTGGGTGTAAGAAAAGTCAGGTAAGAAGGAATTTAAAAAAGGGGAAGATTTGCAGTTAAAAAGCTGTTACTATATTTAATGTGTCAAGTCATTTTTGAGATGACGCACTTAAAAGGCTCTGGAAGTTAGATGCATAACCAAAAAGTGACTTAGTTGGGAACAGGAAAATTACATTTGCCCAAAAAAGTGACCAAGGTGGGGTCTATGATTGGCCACAGAAAAGACTCTAATGGGGTAAGGGTTTAGATTTGATAGACCAGTGCCATATACCCAGCAAAGACTGACCCAATTACCTCAACCCCCCGGTTTGATTCTTTAGTCTTGTTGCAAAACATTTCAGAATGAAGGTGCAAAGAATGATATTGCATTTTTACATACCATGGAATTGCAATCTGATACGATAGATACGACATTCATTTGCTCACAGGATCCCTTCGGGGAGAATGAGGGAAAGTTGGATTATGCGTCGATAAAATACAGACTAGACGCAATTAAGAGCCGCCTTGATGAGAAGAAGGCTATGGGGCATGAATTGGATGACTCATCGAGTGAAGAAGAAGAACAACAACAGACAAGAGAGGAGAATGCTCCAGAAATAGATGACTGGGACGCCTTTCTATATGACGACGACTGATTTTAATTCAGGAAAAGAATTTTTTTTTTCGATTACATTGTTCAGGACACAAAAGGATGTGTCAAGCCGATGACCATTTCATAAGCTATTTATACTGTTACTGTTTTACAGGTTTCATAAAAACGCAAGGTGAATTATATTGTAAAGTAAGACACAAAAGAATAATTGTACGCACATCGAGTTCCAGATTTCTAAGCCTTACTAGTTTGTTTAACGTTAGTGTTATACTTTCAAGATTTCTTTAGCAATGCGTTTTTTCGGAGAACTTTGCCACTGTTTAAATTAACCCAACCAAAAGCTCTACTCGAGGAATATTAATGTTAGAATATTTCTTAGCAGTTCCAGTACATTATCTTTGATGAAAAGAAGGCTAAGAAGTTGTTAATGATGTGTTAAAATGTAAGTGTAAGTATTTGTTTGTATATATTATGCATAAACGAAAGTACTGAAAATTTTATCGAAGCGATGTGTAAATAAAACATTATTAAATTTGCGTACAATGTATGTGCGTTTAAGGTAGACGGATGCCATTTTGTTCAACTTCCCGAGAGTTTACAATGGAGATTCTGAAAAGTCTAAATTTCGTTTTGGCTTGGTACCTTTGAGGTTACTGTCAACAAAACAGGGTGCCTTCCGGAAAAATCGTCATGGAAAATTATAAATAATTGTAAAAGACTTAATTAAAAGTGTAGATTCGAAAAATAACAAAAGTTCTTGTGTACAGTTTCTGTTTTAGAAGGCAAGCAGAACCCTTTTTTCAAAACAAAAAACTAACAGTGTTTGCTTAACCGAATTTACCAGCCTCCGCTTTACTGTGGACATCTATCAAACTGGACTTTACCATACAGCAGATAATGGCTGAGCCATTTTTGCAACAAGATTGGTTCCTGAGAAAATCTGTTTTGAAGTTGGACAAAAGGAAATATTTCGGTTGTTGTCACATTTTTGACCATTTCCTGGCTGTGGTCCTGAATGACTCTACCTCTGTCAGTGATTGTGTCTTTTCGGTTGATCAAGATCGCTTAATCTCTGTTCTAGCCCGCGAACTTTCGCCCACTGCTCTAAGCATGTGACGAAAGGAATCCCGCACTCAGTTGTCAGGGACCCATTCATCAGCTTCTTATCCCTGAATTCATAAATTAGCAAACACCTAACGCATCCTCTGGAAATTTGAAAAAAAAATTACCCATGAAATTTGCCGCTGCGTTTTGTGGTTCAAGATCGCGTTAAAGGTGTAGTTGACTTCTACACGTGATGGCACTGGTAACGAGTCGCTTGCTCATAACCAGGCCTCCCGCGCTATCTGCCATCTTTGTTTTGAGAGAGAGGATTAATCCGTTACAACTTCCTTCGTTGCCCCTTGTCAAGTGAGGAAGTAGTGGGGCAACATGCCAAAATTTTTACGTCTAGTTGTTGTTGGAGGTAGTTGTGTCGGCAAAACGGCAGTGATCGAGCAAGCTGTGTTTGGAAATCACTCTCCGGGCCAAGTAAGAGAGCATTTTAAAATTTTTAACAAGCTCTGCAGCTGTTGGTCAAAATGATTTATTTTATAGCGCGCAGTAGAAATGAGAACACCTGCTATAGAGCTAAGACACTAGAGGAAGATGTTAATCCTTTCAGTGGGCGTTAAAGTGGGGAGGGAGTGAGGGATATGTGTACGTATTATTCAGCACCAAGGGAACAAGGAGTGATATATGTTTTAGATGAAGGATCAAACGCTGTCTTTTTACTCTTCCTCTTAGGGGCTAAGTATTTTCTCTTGAATTACCTTTGTCATTATTGAATATACTGGGGCTGCTGAGTAGTGAGGCTACTTAACTGCACCTCATGATCTAGACACCCCATGAATGTCCAAGAATATTATAGTAATGTGTTATTTTTAATTAGATCAATACAGAGGAATTTGATTGTAAATGAAGATGAAAAACCAACGAGCTGCACCTCTGCAAAGAGTAACCTTTTCTTAAATGTTCAACAAATTAGGGTGATAATTAGCTATTTCCCCTTTGTTATGCATAAATTAAAAATCTATGCTAAAAAAAGTACAACTTGACATATTGTCAGAACTTTAAAATAGAGCGGTTTTCCGCGGAGATGTTTTGTTCAATTTCTCTTGTTATTGTTCTCATTAAATATGAAGCCAATGTTTCATACTATTGAAGACATTTATGAAGTACAGTTGGATACTGAGCGAGGAGTAAAAGAAAGAGTACGAATTTTTGATACTGCTGGTGTGGTGAGTTATAAGTATGAATTTTTCAGTATATATGTAGTGTTACTTTTCTTGGTTCAATGAGTTCACCCTTTAACTCCCACGAGTAACCAAGACAGAATTTCTCCTTACAGTACCAATACAATATCAACCAGATAAGTAATGTGAATAAAGAAAAATATCAATTTGGGGATAATTAGTCAATCCAATATTAAATTCTCTGAACTAATATTATAAGAATTGTATGGTTGACAGTAAGAAGAATTAAAAATTTGATCTGGGACTTAAGGGTTAAAAGAAAGGATGGAAACTTCACTCCTAGGCACATTTGTTGCACTACTTTTTTTTTATTATTATATCTCTCCATCCATAATATAAAAGATTTCTTGGAATTGCAAGTATGATTTTCATTAGAAGAAATATATATACCAGAAAAAGAGAAAATACAATACAAAACATAATAAGAATGAAGAAGGGCTTGGTATAGTTAAAACTAATTAGTGCCTTTTTCAAGTGTAATTAACAGAGTTTATTTACTCATTTTAATATTAAAAAAGATTATGTGTATATATATATATATATAAATTACTTATAGAAAAAAAAACAAATGCACAAATGACACATGCACACATAATTTATGATGACTGCAATCAAGTGAGGTTGTTAATATTGAACAAATAATATTTATAAAGTGCCTTTTTGAAAAAAGTTTTGGAAAGAAGATTTGAATGTAAAGGGACACTTACTGCCTCTCCTGCCCCTTTCAGCGTTGGTCTGCAAGGCGGCACAGAAAAATTGACAATTTTATTTGTCAATTTGTGAAAACAACAATTTGTTAAAACAACAGTGGAAGGGGGGGGTGGTGGGGGAAGAACATCATAAACAATGTGTTGGAAAAAGGTGCTAACTAATTATATCCAGGAGTGCAGCTCTTGTCCAATTCCTGAATTCTTTAGACCTGGATATAAAGATGACAGGGATGTGTCCAATACGTAAGAATTATACTCTCAGGGAAATAATTTTGTTGTCTTGACTGTTATTTTATCAGTTTTGGTCTGAATTGGAGATGCCTTGTTACCTCCCTCAAATTAAAACTATTATTTGATTGTATAACTGATCAAGAAATATTAGCATTTGTAAGTTTATCCCTTTCTATAAAACTCAAAACTTGCCTGAACTAGAGTCAGTTTGTTGCCCATACCCGTAAAAAATGGAGCTTTTGGTGATCTCTGAGTAATTCAGTTGACCACCAGAGCTGATTAAAAGGAGTATCCTCTGTTATGAAATTATAGGAGTTTTGCAGTACAACATTTTTCCCATAAATATACATATGCATGTATAGTGTGTACCAAAAATAATGGTATTTGCTTACTTTGTTATGTGTTCATTAATTCTTTGACAGGATTCAAGCAATGGGGAGCTTTCTAAACACTACTTCAGTTTAGCAGATGTAAGCATGTGTACATAATGATCAAAGCTCTTTTTGACACCCTTTTTGTTTGAATTATACAATATTTGCAAAACAAAAACTTTCTGTTTTGCAGGGATTTCTTCTTGTCTTTAGTGTAACTTCAAAGAAGTCATTTCAGCAGGTCCAAGCCATCAAGAAAGAAATTGAGAAAAGTAGAGGAAAAGATGTAGGTTAACATATTTCATCATGTCCAAAATGAGAATGATTATCATATGAACTTACCGCCTTAACATGTGGTGGCATAAGCATGGCTTGAAAAAAGCAGCATTGTCAAGCCCATTGAACTGTGCTTGGTTAGCTCATGTTGTAGAGTGCTGGAAAGCCTTGGGGGAGGGTGAGGGTTCAATTCCCTGATAGGACCAATACTCAGGGTCTTTAAATAACTGAAGAGAACATGCTGCCTTTACCGTGACATCTGCAAATGATTAGATATTCTAGTCTTGTCGGATGAGGATGATAAACCGTAGGCCTTGTCTCCTGCATCTTCTCTGTACTGGTTAGCATGGGATGTTATAGAGAGTAAAGAATGTAGCTCTCTGCATTGAGATCTGGCCTTGTTATTGTTTATACATTTTAAAGATCCTCCATAAGTATTTTCTAGATAGAAAGAGGTGGAACAGTAAAGGAAAGAAGAACAAAAAGAAAAACTGCATTTTGTTTTTACAGTGGTCAATTGTCAAGACATTGTACATTGTATTTCTGACCAGATGATTACTAATGTACTAAGATCTTTGTTTACAGTTTCCAGTGATTGTAATAGCAACAAAAACTGATGTAAAGGGTGAACGAGAGTGTGAATTTGCGGCCATGAAAAAGTGGGCTGAGGCAGAAAGAGGTAATCTAAACTGATTGTTGTTTCCTGCTTTGTTCTTACTTATTTTTTGTAAGTTGTTTAAGTGTAATAATAATTGTTCTTTGCAGAAGGCTGACTTTGAATTCTTTCAGCATCAGTGTTTATCTTTCTTTCAGTACGTCTAACAGAAGTTTGTGTTGGTGACAGGAAAGCACTACAGGATCCCTTTGTGCAAATAACTACAAGAATGGTATCTAGTCTTGGTAGGCCAGCAATACATGTAGATTTCTAGTTTAGTAGGATAAGTTTACTGGTATATTGAATTTTTTACACTTGATTGATTGGCTTAATGGCAAGCATAAATAAATGGGGGTTTTGTAGCTTTCTAAAATGCCTAGCTGTAGGGAAAGGCCTAGACTGCTATAAGTTACCTGGAGTGGTTAGTGAGATTGAAGTGTCCATAAACTGGGTAACTTTGGGTCAGGTTTGAGCTTTGGCCATGGTCATTGTGGTGTGATTTTGGGAAAGACACTTTGCTCTTACTCCTCTGTCTGCTCAAAAGCAATTAATGTAGGTACCAAGGAATTTGGTCAGAAAATCCTGGTGAATTTAATGGAGGAATGGGTTGGATACAGTGGTGGTTCAGTTGGTTCCGTTGAGCTCTCCATATCATCCCTCAAAGCACTGGAAATCATGTTGCCAAAGACCTAATTTTCAAAATCTCCTTGAGGGGTTTGCACCCAAACTCCTCTCTGAATCCTACTTGACTAAATCCTAGATCCACCCTAGGAGTTAGTCTGTAATGGCTAGCATCCTCACATTGGGGTGTTGCAAAAGTCATTGTTGTTTCCTGGTGTAGAAACAGCAGTCATTTCATTGGTTATTTTGCCATTTTGATTATGTAAGTATATTTTAGACTTGCCAGACTACTTTAACAGTACATTTAGATTATGTTTAATGTCTCATTTTAGGAAAGGGTTATCTTCAGTCTGGTCACTCTGAGGTAAAGAGATTTCTCTCCATGCGGAAAACCAGTAAAACAATGTCAGTATCCAAAGACTCTGGTTTGGATTTCACAAAGGAGTAGCAGCACACTGCAATACAGCTGTACAATAAATTGTAAGTAATGAGATACACATATACAGACATTGAGTAAAACGGAGAATTTATAAAAGATGAAGTTATAATATATCACCAAATCTTTGCAGACTTTAGTGAGTTTGACTTTTTGGACTTAATGTCAGATTTGTTGAATTTGATGTCGTTTCTTGGAGTAAGAATGCTTTGGGAACCTTGGGTTTCAACAACGACAATGATCCAAGTCGAGTTTCCAGTTCAACCGTGTGGGCTTATTGCTGGAATTTCCCTGCATTATATAGCAGGCTGTACGGTTGTAGTTCCTTCACTCAGCAAACTCAATCACGTCTACAAGTTAGTCACTTCAACAGAGTAAAAGTTGCTCATTGTTCAGTCAGTGGCCACTGTAGTAGGTGTGGAAGTGATGAAAGAAACTGAAGTCTTGATTGCTAAGAAGACACAGACCTGTGTGGCTGAGTATGGAGAAGAATAGTTGAAACACTAGCTACAGATTCTAGAACCTCTTCCTTTTGTCATCCTCTTTCACAATCACATTTCACACTTCCTTTTGCGTTGTCACTTAAACTCCCTTGCTGTCTTTTGCAGCACATAATTAATGTGTGATGATGACCTTTCCCATAGCTGCTAAAAGTTGCATTTTTTACCCATACTTTATGATATTTCTCAGTAAGTAGTTGTGCTATTGTAGGGCAATTTAGCGGCCTGCAAAATCCTAAGTTTGTTTGAATTGATGTGTTCCCCCTCTATTTAAACCCAGAGATACATGTATGATGAATATCTTACTAACCTCGTTTTCTGTAACTGTAAGTTACATAACCTCGAAAAACTCGGTCCGTAACTTATGGAACGAACCTCGAGCTCGGTTAGTTAGAGGTATCATAATGACGTTATTCTGGGGTAGTAACAGCTGCGATTACATTTTGCAGGGTACAACGTCCATAACTCCTAAAGCTGGGCGTTAAAACATGAACGGACAGAGTTTATATTCCTCTTCACCGAGGACCTAACTCTTGGATACCCATTGAACAGTGAGCGATACAGTAAGCATGGTTTATGATCAGGAAATTGGATTGTTTTTCGATAAGTTGAGTCATCGATGGAAAAAAAGATTTTAAGGAAGGTCCGAGCTCAAGTATCCAAGCAACAAACCAAGATTCGGAATTTTTGAAGTATTTGGCGATTTCGATGTTTTTTTTATGGCGAACCTTAAGCTTGAAGATTTTTTTAATTTTGGCTAAGTGCTCTGAAAATGTCAGCACATTTTTGGACAGCTTATTTTCCTAAATAGTGAGCTAGACTGACTAAAAATGAATTCTAGTCGTGCTAAAGAGATGAATGTAATTAAATGATAAAATGTAGACGACATGAAAACATAAAACGACGACTCGAAAGCTTTCGAATTCGCCTCATGTAATGGAACTTAATTAGTGTTGTTGTGAAGCGGTAAATCCAAGGCAATTATTAAATCCACTGAAAAGCAATTTGACTCAATTGATTTTCGATTGGTAAAGTTAAACACGAACCTTTTTGGATTGACTATTACGTCATTTCTGTTCTTAACGTAATTGACATTACAGAATCGTGCAACTAGGTGATGCAAACGTCTGTCGACGAAAACTTTTTGGCTAGAAAGGAAATTTCCGCGACATGTACGCGAATTTTCGAGGTGGTCCGAACTTTCGCGGAATAATTCATTTGAGCCATAAGTGACTCCCGAATTCCGAGAGAAAGTTCGCCGCTCCCGGAAATTTGCGGTTCCAATTGAGCTGCACAGACAGAGAATCATAACAACTGGCAAATTAGCAAGTTATATCGCTCCAATTAAGCGGTAATTAGCCAAAACAATGCACAGCTTAAGTTGTTTTGATGCTCAAGTTTCAAAAGAGTGTGCTTGGCTTAAAATCTCGACACAAATTGCGACATCAGATACAGATACAGATCTGTCGACATTCTCCTGGCTGTGAATTCAGTATCAGCAACATGCCATTTTGTCGCATCGGCCACTCAAGAAAAGTGCATCATCGCTTGTTTTTTGATCGTAAGGAATCGAATTCAGGCTGGAAATCTTTTGAACAAACAGCAATGTTCCAGGCAAAGCGAGTTGATTCAACATCACGTTTCCCTGACGAGAACATGAGAAAGGCACTCGACAGCGTCTCACCGAATGGCCTGTGTTTTTATTCTGGAAAGGACAGCGTGATTAGTAGAGAAAAAATGCAGCAGGCGACTCGCCAAAAAAGCAGCGTTGACTACGACGGGAAATGGCAGAGAAAACAGCGCACCCCCGAAGAGCTGGAAATCCGAAAAAGGAACATTGAACAGATTTTGAAACGCAGGCGAAATGGAATATGTAGTGAAGTAGAGAGAAGCTGGTTTATACAAGGAGCGTATTTGGAAAAACATCGTCATAATCTGAAAGTGACTCAGGACTTGATAAGTAGGGGCTTTTTGTATCCGTGATGTTGATCTGTATATTTGCTCCATTTGTTTGCCGTATTATTTCGCCATGTTTTTTATGGTTAAAAAAATTCTTTACAAAAAAATTGAAGTTTTAGCATTGAAAACTGAAATATTTCTTGATGAATTATTAAGTAGCAATTACTCAGTTTGTAAATAGAGTGTTATTATTATTATTATTATTATTGTTATTGTTATTGCATTATCGTAGTCAGTGATGGCTACGAAAAAACATGGCGAGGCTTTTTAGTTAATACATCTGGAAAAAAAATTTCTAAATTTTCAGGTTGTAATTTCTTTATACGAGTGAAGTAGGCTGCCGATGAAGTATTTTGAGTTCACTTTTTCCATTTGTCCAGCTGAAGTTTGTTATATAAAGTTAACTAGGGGCACGTTATTAAGGTTTGTTTCAATAAATGTCGCTATGTAAAATTTGCAAGGAAGGTGTTATTCGTTGAATTACAAGCTAAGTGTTGGACAGAGGAAAAAATCGGAGTCCTTCATAAGAAATCCAACCCCAGACCTTTGAATTCAGGAAGCAAACCGCCATCGTCACGATTTAAAGGAGCGTGGGCGGAGTTAATATGCCAAGCCTCCAAACGAAGGCGCTGATGGTAACGCCGATTAGTGGTGATAATTTTAGAATTATCCCACCCAATTGTATGGTTGGTTAGGCATGTATGCTCCAATAAAGCTGAATTTTCCTTTTTGCAAAGAAAAACCGCTTTTTGGTGCTCTTTTAACCGTGTACCAAACTAACGTTTGGTCTGTCCGATGTATTCGTTGTCACAGTCATTGCAAGGAATAGAATAAATGGCGTCGGTTCGTTGTTCTTTCGTGACAGGATCCTTAGGTTTAGCGAAAATATGCCCCAAAGTCTGAAAAGGTTTTTGAGCAACTTTAACGTTGTGGCTATTCAAAATTCTCTTGATGGGTTCCGTAACACCCTGTATGTAAGGAATAACAGCAAAACCAGTCACTGGTTCCCTTTCATCAAGAGCGTTACTATTTGTAACTGGTTTTTAGCAGTTACGGAGAAAGGTTTTTGTATAGCCATTTGCCTTTAGGACATTGGCAACATATTTCCTCTCCTCAGCCTTCGAATCGAGTGAAGATGGTAGACAGTCAGCCCTCCTAAGTAAAGTTTTGGCTACAGACTTTTTATGGCAAATAGGGTGGTGAGAATCGAAAGCGAGGTATTTGTCGGTGTGGGTAAGTTTACGGTATACACTTGTCTCTAAATTATCTTGAACCCCTCTGGACACATTTAAATCAAGAAAGGGCAAATGTCTATCCTTTTCACGCTGAAGGGTGAATTGGATCGACGGCTCTACTGAATTCAAATGCGACAAGAGGCGCTCCGCTTCATTTCCGGATTTAAATGACCAATCTTGGCATTCGCACCGGAGACTTTTATTTTACTATCACTCACTTTTCACTTTTCAAGCTCTGGTTGATCTGGATAATTTTAGAGAAGGTAGTGGGTCTGTGAACAGATTTTAAAAGTTTCCTCAGTGGCCCAAACTTCGTGCACTTTATACTTTCGTTCATACAAAAAACACAGACCCTTGTGGGTGGTACTGGTCTTCCGGCCAACTTTGTCATAGTTTTCTCGAAGACAGGAAAAAACAAAGAAAATTAGGGAAGGGCCTATTGCTTTATTTTAAAACAAAGCGGAATTCTATTGGATCGAAAAAGCTACCACCTACGGATCGGCTATGAAGGCTGAATGAAAAGTTCACCTTCTTTTACATACCTGTTAGCATCGAGTTGGCGTTGATCCATGAAAACGAGATAAAGAAATATGAATAGTTGGCCTCTTTCCAGCCCAACTGTACTCACTCTTAATCAAAAAATCCAATTTTGTGAAATTAGAGAGCAATATTTCGCGCGCGTCACAACATGACAACCTTTCCTTTCTGTTTCTGGTGGAGTTTTATTAATTCCCAAATAAGCCTTCCGAGTGGATATTAGCCTATACGCCCAAGAACGGATTGATAAAAAATCTTTTCATGAAGACGTAATAATCAACTGTTCTTTTTCTCGCGAGGTGATATCAAATCATCATTAATCCGACGTTCCTTAAAGCGAAAACCACAGTCTCGGCTGCAATCTTACCTACTCTCCTACTCTGTTATCTGGGTTAGAAAAGATTCAATTTCGCGATGGTAACGTCATCATTTCTGTATCAGCATCTGTGTCATCATTTCATTTCTGTATACTTATTTTTACTCGGCGGTTCGTCCATTTGTTAAATAAATTATCCATTGCGTAGGTTCAAATCTTGAGACAGATAATCAAAGAATGGAAATACCGTATGTAGATTTAGCTGGTCTACGACGAAAGAAAATAGATATATTTGTCTGCTTGTCTTTTGATGTGTTCTATTGCATAAAATTTTCAAAAATAGCGTGGCTTGTTTATGATATATTTATATTTTTCTTTCTAATGTTGATCGCTGCTATTTTTGTGACTTGACACGCGAGAAATACACCCACGTCTGACAGACATCGTGACCAGCTTTAACTTGAATTTTCCTCTCCCTTGGATATCGAACCTTGAACATTCAGCTTGAAGAGCTGAAAAATCCTTGTTTAAAATGTATGGTACTCACTCCAAGTTTTCCTCCTTTGGAATATCCTCATTATGCGGACTTCTTGTGACTGAAATATTCCTGTTCGTGACAACTTCCTGCAACCAGATATGGCATGTGTCACTACAGAACAATCGCTGCTTGATGAAAATTTGCATATTTGTGATCTTGTACTTGAAGAAACAGCAAGGTTGTCGTTACGTATCGATGTTCTCTGAGTGAAAAGATCGGAAAACCGCCTTGCAATCACCAGGATTTGTCTCAAAAACCAATATATTGTTAAGGTTTGTTTCCTCTATGATTTTTTTTCACAGACTTCTTTTAATAAGAGTAGGATCCTTTCTGAGTCCACAGAAACCTCGGTGTATTTGTGTCTATACGAAAACTTGATACCTTTAGTTTCTCTAGGTAGCTTTGCAAACGTCTTTTTGACGTCTGTTTTGCCGTAATTGTTTCGTCTCCTAGAAAACTAGATTTGAGTTTGCTACATCTGTCAATTCACGCCGTCGACGAGGCACGATTTGTTGTTATCGTCGTGATAATCTGCTCGGCATGAAATTCCCACTCAGTAGTAGCGTTTTACTACTCAAATTTTGTCTGAATAGAATTTTGATTGAAGTTTTGTGTTCAATAACAGTTAGCACATCGTGCTGGCCCTAAATGGCAGTATCGTCGTATCCTATGCTTGAAGCGAAACACTCCAACAAAGGGGATACTTATAGCGGAGACTTATATTTCATTTTCATGAATTAAACAAAAATTCATTCTATGTGAGGACTAAGTTGGTGGTTCTTGCGGTTCGCGTTCTGGGGTATGGTGAATCGTTTATATAAGATCACAAACGCTATCTCGAACGAAAGTCTTCCTGTTGGAACTAATCTTGCTCAAAAATGCTCGCAAGGAAAATTATGCGACTGCTCTCTACGTGCAAAGACAAGTCAAACAAAACGTTGAATTAGCCATGTAAAATTGATTAGAGTCTGCGTGTCTGCGTATTTCCCCCTCGTTTGCCTTTCTGAGATGAAATCAAGATTTCAAGTTTGTTACTAATAACCCAAGAAACTGCGACAGAAATTGCGTAAAAGACAAAAACTGAGACAGTTCTGACAGACCTGTCTGTGAACGAGAAAAATAAACACCGTTTCCTTAGAGACTAGCTTATGTAAATTGTCCTCAGAAACTCCTTTGAAGTACCTTTGTTGCCGCCTTTTATGCAGATAAAAGCGGTTTCTACGTTTTTCATTGTCAGTTTTTCTTCAAAAGAGCTATATTTGAAAAAAAATAGGGCAGCCATAGAAACAATATTTCATGACGACATACTCCGAAATTTCCTGTCCAGACGGTCGGCCATATAAGTTTGTGATCGATCTACGTCAAAGTTATCGCAAGCGAAAGAAGCTGGAACTGGAAACTACAAATATATTGCACGAAACTGACAGTCACTTCACAACAGTCTAAATATTGCCGGTTCGAGTGACGTCAAGGTGTTATGAAAAAAAAACTTGTCTTTCAAAAGTTATTTTCGCATCTCAGTACGGATGAAAACTATCTCGTATCTTAATTAGGTTTCGTATTTGCTACATGAAACAGACAGAAACTTTTAGCCCAGACATGAATTAACAATAAGCAATTTTTAGTTTCTTTTTCGAAACGTCAATTTCAGTGGGTTTTTCGTTCGAGAAAACCTGGCAAATCAATGTCCCACTACCCCTCCCCTACACACGCCTGGGACCCGTTCCTCGAAAGTCTTGTCAATTTTCATTTTAGGTAGGGGTTTAAAAAGTTTTGAAAATGATACAAAAAAAAAAAAAAAAAAATCAGCTAACGAAAATATGGACTGGTTAGGGTGCCAGGAGCTGCTTATCCGTTGTTTAAATTTTGATTTTACAATATGGTTTCGCGCTAGTTTAGTTACCGGGACTTTCGAGAAACAGGCCTTAGGCCTTAATGGGCTATAGTAAACGTTTATGTAATAAGTAATGATCCATTATTTAAATTAAGTAGTGTGATCAACTCTCTCCACATACATAGAGTGAAACAACAGGAAAAAAAATGCAGACCATAGACAAGCTCGTTCGCTGTCAGCTGTCTGGTAGGTTATGGGTAGTTCAGCAAGTGTAAAATTATGAAAGTAACATGTTTGATTTCTCAACAGGTGATGTGGTACCAGTCTTCTTGCCAAATTGGATAGAAGAAGAGTGCGCCCCGTAGCTTTCGCATCGAATGCCGCAGAAATGGCAAACGACGATGAAGAGTCAACTTGGTGCGTGTCTTTGACATCGAAGTTTTCCTCTGTTTACTACTTCACTTAAACTACAGTGCAATGTAATATGTCTGCAAGCAAACTTACTAGGGCACACCAACTGACCCCTAAAGTCTCTACATGTACGGAATAATGGTATTGTTAGTCCGTCTGGATGAATTGTTAGTCTATTGCACCTTACCCCATCGGTATCTCGTCATTCTAGCAGGTTTTCCCCAACTCTCAAGTTTTCTAGTAGAAAACGAGTGTTCTCTTCTTCTCGGCGGAGTTCGTTACGCGAGTCAAAAAAAATCTGTGAAAAAAAAAAAAAAAAAAAAAAAAGCCTGATGTTGGCACGCTGTGTAGAACTCTATTTTTCGTGCGCCTCACCCACAGAGTCTAGCGCGGCGCGCTAACATCAATTTTTTTTTTGTTTTCGCTGATTTTTTTTTAAGTCGCCCAACGGACTTCTCCGAAAAAGAGGGATTGCTCGTTGTCTATTTTTCTGGTAACCATTTTACCGATGAAGAGAGAGAGAGGTAGTATTAGAGTTAAGTGTCTTGTCAAAAAGCTCAATACAAATGAGTCAGGGAACACAAACCATGTAGGCACTGCATCTCCCACAGAAACTAGGCCACTTTCTGTACCGGGCTACTCTTTTAAAATATTCCTCTCTCTTTTAGTTGTTGTTGTGAACACCGCTACAGTCCGTGTGTGCTGTGGTCGTCGTTTTGCAGCTGGTTTGTACGTCGCCTGGAGATCTTTTTCGGTTGTTTTGGCGAAGGAATTGCCAAGTATCCTCTTTTTGTTATCCCAGTATGCCTCGTTTTCGTCAGTATTTGTTCCGTGGGATTTGTTTGGCTGAACGTGGAAATTAGAACGGTGAAACTGTTTATTCCTCAAGACAGCCAGGCTGTGAAAGACTTGGACCTAGCCGAGGAGTATTTTAGACTAAAGGTTCGCGAGGAAATCGTACTTTTAGTGAGCGCACCTGATTCGCGAAATGTTCTCAATAGAGATTGCCTAAAACAGGCTCTACAGGCCCATGAGGAAATTGTGAAGTTAACATCGTATTCAAAACTTTGCGCAACCTTGTCTGGCGATGTGGCTGAATCGGCAGAAGAATGCATGATGATAAACCCCTTAGAGGTGTTTCAGTTCAATGAAAGTGAACTGAACGTTTCAGACTCACAAATTCAAGCTAACATAACGAATCCTAACCTTACTGTCATGCGCAATGGCCGTCCTTATCAGTACAACTTCGGTCGGATGTTTGGTGACGTCACTAAAGAAAGTGGCAACGTCACTGGTGCAAAGGCTCTGCAGATGGTTTACTTTCTTCGCGATCCGAGCAAGGAAGAGGCGAACACAGAAGTTCTTGAATGGGAGAAAACGTTTATTGATAAAATGACCTCATTAGCGGATACTCTATCGTGCTTTAAAGTTTATTATTCGAGCGAGCGGAGTCTGGATGATGCCATTTCTGAGAGTTCCGGTTCTGACATCACTCTTGTGTCAATCACGTTCACGCTCATGATAACGTTTGCTTGTGTCATGCTGGGAAAATTCTTAAATCCGCTGACCGGTCATTCTCTGCTCGCCAACGCAGGTGTTTTCGCTGTGGCTCTCGGGATACTAGCTGGATTTGGCTTAGCTATGTGGTGCCGAGTGCCCTTCGTGAGTATGGTCGGAGTACTTCCGTTCTTGATCCTCGGTATCGGAATCGACGATATGTTCATACTGGTGGACGAACTCGATCGGCAGCAGAAATCTCTTACAGTTATTGAGACGGTTAAAGAGGTCATGGCCCGATCTGGTGCTACTATTACCATGACAACGGTGACAGATTTGGTAGCATTTGCAGTCAGTACTTCTACTTCCTTTCCGGCGATTAGGTAAGATGAGTAAGAAGTAGATGTGCTTTAAGTCTTTTCATGATGGAGTGCTTTTAGAATCAAAACAGCCAATCAGAAGAAAGCAAAATACCTTAAATACCTAATTAGGACTGAAAGTAAAACAAGCAAACTGCCTGAAGCGCAGGAAAATGGAAGCGACCAAATGGTGATTGGTTTTTCATCTGATTGGTTTAAAGAGTGGTGCGAGTTTCTAGAGCAATCACAGAACAAAATAAAACAAAAACAAAGCAATCCCAGATTTTTTGACACCCAGTTGAAGACATCAGCCATTATGCTATCTGAAATTTTCCAATCTTATTCTGAATTTCGGCCTGAAAAGTTTCTTTTTATTTTTGCGATCTCTAAATGCTTAGGAAGACCAGAGAAGCAATTAATAGGCATTGTCGTCCATCAAGTAGATCTTGTTTCTCAAATAACACATCAAAACATAATTAACGCAATTGCTGACCTCCTAAAAAAGGGCAACAAGTAAATATCCTCGTTACAGTAGCATAAGGGAACACGTTTGAAAAAAAATGCGAAGACCAATGAGAATATTTGTGGTGATGTGTTGCCTGTTCTCGTTGATCAACAGGTACTTCTGCGTGTACGCGGCACTAACGGTAACTTTCTCTTACTTGATGATTGTCACGTATTTTGTCGCCATTATGTCATATGATGTCAGGAGAATCAAAGCAGGTCGCCGCGACTGTTTACCATTCTGCCGGGCACCTCCGCCAAAAGAGAACGAGCCAGCGTGGGACGAGCCTCGTCCCCAGGTTTCAAACAAGTTGATGAACGCTTGGGCAAAGTTTTTGACCCATCCGGCGACTAAAGTTGTGGTGATCATCTTTTCGCTTGCGTCTCTCGCTGCTGGAATATACGGAACCACAGTGATAGATGAAAACTTTGACAGACGGATCTTAGCCAAAGATGATTCATACCTGAAGAAGTTTCTGAGTGCACAGGAACAGTACTTCAAATCAACTATTCCTGTCAGCGTTGTTGTAACAGGCGATGTTGATTATGGAGAAAGTTCAGTCCAGGATGACCTAAAGAACTTGGCAAACATTGTCACCTCTAATAAATATTACGAGAACACCAATTTGTCCTGGATCGATACCTTTTCCAAATACGCTCAAGCTTACAAGAAGAACATCGAGGGGTCGAATTTTACACGAGAGTTAAAGAAATTCCTTAACATTGGACAATTTTCTTACTTTAAACAAGATTTGAATTTTTCTGATGATAACACGATTAAAGCGTCGCGCATTATAGGTGTCATGAAGGACACAACTAGTTCAACAGATCAAAAGAATGCTATGCTAACCCTTCGCCAAGATCTCTCGGACAAATCAAAGCTGGATACTTTCCCAATCGCCCGACCCTTTATCTTCTTCGAACAATACGTTAAAATCTCAAGGGAGACCTTGACGAATCTTTTGATCGCGGCCTTAGCTGTTTTAATTGTCACGAGCCCCTTCTTGTTGGACTGCACTGTGACTATCCTTGTGGTGTTCAATTTTGTGGCACTGGTCCTTGAGCTGTTCGGTTTGATGGTCCTCTGGGATGTTTCCTTGAATTCTGTTTCGATGATCAATCTTGTTATGGCTATTGGTTTCGCAGTGGATTACAGCGCCCACATAGCGCATGCGTATGTTATGTCCGACAAGGAAACAGCCAATGAACGTGTCGTGGACGCTTTGAGCACACTGGGTGCAAGTGTATTCATGGGAGGTCAGTCTGGTTCGATACTTACTGTGCTATCTCTTTAAAACTTGATAGCACGCTTTTCGATTGAGTTTCTCATGGCCAAAACAAACATAATCACAGCGGCCGATTCCGAAATCAAGTTCACATGAAAAGGAATCAATTAGAACTCTAAGTTAGTACAAGTAACTGACCTCAAGCGCGTGAAGATTGCGACTGGTTTTTGGTTGTATTTGATATGACAGTTAGGCGGTGTAAGTTATCAAATTCAAGCACGGCGAGATAAGTAGCACAATACAACGACAATTCCAGATTAATCTCGAATCTTTAATTGCTCTCTTTAGTTTAAAGCTCACTAACAAAACATAGAATTCGTTTTACACGGTTTGTCTCAGTCACATTATGAAGGAAAGTAACTCCATGTATGCACAAAAAAATTGCTCTCTTTAGTATAGAGTTCAGTAACATAACATAGGATACGTTTAGCAAGGGTTTTCTTAGTCATGATATGAAGGAAAGTAACTTTATCTATGCACAGAGATACCATTATTCCAACGCACAAAGTAATTCTAATGAAGACAGAAATTTTAATACTTTCTCTACTTGCGATAATTTGCAGACAATTTTTTCACTCTCAAGATTAGATTCATCAGTCCAAAAGTTGAGTTTAATCTTTCACTATTTGGGCTATATAAATGCTCCAAATTATCAGAGAATATGAAGCTAAGTTTAGAAGATCAATAGCGAAATTGTATTGCGCCGACATTTCATAACTCGCTTAATCATCTGTTTCTCTGTTAAATTAAATATAAGCCCTCAAGGGTTTAGAGGAAAACAACAAAAGTGTTTCTTATAAATACTTTTTTTTCCCCCGTAGGTTTCAGCACTTTCCTTGGTATGATAGTCCTGGCGTTTGCGGCGTCGGAAATTTTCCGAATATTCTTTCGGATGTTCCTTGGGATCGTCTTGTTCGGTCTTCTCCACGGTTTGTGCATTCTTCCTGTCTATCTGTCTCTCTTCTGTTGGAGGCCAGCTGTTACCAGGCCACTCGGGACGCGTGTGAGCGTGGAGAGCTTACCGGAGGGCGTCGCCCCTGAAAACGAGGCTGTTGACGGGGAGAGCTGCGGCAAAGGGGTGGCGGAAGGACCTAACAGAAGTGCGTCTTCCAACGAAGGTTTCGAGCTCACCGAGCAAGAAAAGGTACTGGATGGCAAGGTTGACGAGCAACAACCGCTCAAAGCAAACGACGAAAGTGGGAAAGAGGGAACAGGTGAAGCAGGGAAGCATGGCAGCGAAAGTACAGAGACTGGAGAGTCGTCAGCGCATGTGCAAGTAGAGAGGGATCCAAGTGCAGAGCAAGATCCCGTTATAGAGGTGCAGGAGAGCAAGAAAGACACATCTGAGACATTTTTGAGCGAGGAAACCATGTCTGAGGCTGTTGACGGGGAGAGCTGCAGAAAAGGGGTGGCGGAAGGACCTAACAGAAGCAGAGATTTGGGAAGTGCGTCTTCCAACGAAGGTTTCGAGCTCACCGAGCAAGAAAAGGTACTGGATGGCAAGGTTGACGAGCAACAACCGCTCAAAGCAAACGACGAAAGTGGGAAAGAGGGAACAGGTGAAGCAGGGAAGCATGGCAGCGAAAGTACAGAGACTGGAGAGTCGTCAGCGCATGTGCAAGTAGAGAGGGATCCAAGTGCAGAGCAAGATCCCGTTATAGAGGTGCAGGAGAGCAAGAAAGACACATCTGATACTTTTTTGAGCGAGGAAACCATGTCTGAAACTTCCACAAAGTTCTAAGGTTATTTGTTTATGGAGTATTTTTAGAAAAATGGAAAGTGCTCGCTTCCTAGTGATTTTTATCTCGTGTTGATCGCGTAGTGAATTTGCTGTAAATTCGTGAGGAGTTTATTTTTATAACAAACACTCAGTAAGGTGTTCATTGTGGCTCTTCCTTTTATTTGGCTGATCAGAAATCACGTTAATCACGGGTTTAAAGGCCAGTAAATCAGTTGAAATTGAAGATCAGTTGTCAAGTTTATAAGTTGTAACAGTCGTTATAAATATTATAGGCTACATCATCGAATTTTAAAAACGAGATATCCTTTGTGTAAAAGAAAATTAGCCTAAGTGTACATTTGTATAAGTTTAAATCCAAGTTCCTATTAAGATAGTAAATGAAACATTAACATGCTTCTGCCAATTGTTCTAAATTTAAATTAGCGGCAATCGATCTTAGAACCTTCTCTTCGGCTTTTTATGTCGTAAAGCATGACAAATGGTTTTTCTTGCCGATTCGTTCTGATTTTTCATTTTCATTAATTTCGAGCTACACTAATTTTCAACTGGAAGGCTTAAATACTTGATTTTAAAACTCATTATCAAATGAATGATCAAGCGTTCTTCGATTCTGAGCCCTGCTTTTGCATTGTGATTTCACGTGATTTAACATAAGTTAAGTATGTGTGTATTTTTGTAACATAAAAGGTACGCTTAGCAAGTTCACAGTGACTATCCTTTTTCAGGAAACAAATAAAGAATTTTATTGTGATGTGGACTGACAATCGTTTCACTGTCAAAAGAACACGCTGACTTTCCTTGAAAGTCCAGAATTGTGTTATTTTCGAGGGTACTAATACATTTTGATTTCCAACTCATAATGGTTGTAGGTCTCAGTCTCATGGCCTGCGTAGCCAGCGGTTGTCGTTGTTTTTTCTCTGGGGGGGGAGGTAGGGGGAGCAGGCTTCTTATTCGAGTGATTATTTATTGTTCTGATATCGTTATGATGTCTTAGTTCACTACTTCCATGTGTTCATTTACGAATCTGGTTCCTTATAAATGTACGGGTAGGGATTCCAACGAGTTTAAGGCACGAAACCAGCGAATAAAACTTAAAAAAGTGGCGCTTTTGCAGGAACTGAGCTGATTGCTTCCATAGCGCTTTAGGTATCTTGCGTGACTATCTAAATAACTCGTGTCACGATTTCGTGACATGTTCGAACAGACAGACAAAGGACACCGCGAAAGAATGTAACATGGCGGTCGCTATGTCGATTTTTCATCGTAGAAGTACTGACTTGTTTAAAGCTCTTGTAATTCGCTTCCCAAAACAGTACTTTTGTTCCATAGCTGGTGGTGACGTGGATGAAGGGAAAGAAAGAAGTTCTGATCGTTTAGGATCTGATTCACACGGAAAAGAACTTGATTTGGTTCTTGCATGTTTACGAGTGGATCGTGTTGCAGCTAGTGGCTTTGGTATTGGAAGAAAGTAAGGTGATATTTAGCGTGACATTCACATTTGTGTTAAGGAAATTTTATTTGATTATGATTTAAAGCTAAGTTACTCCTTCTCATTCACTCGTGATGTGCCATTGAAATAAATGCATAATACCGTGCATAGCTAGTAGATTACAGTACAATGCACAGAAGAATAAACTTAATTATAAATATTGTTTAGACAAAAAGAATTATCTTTCCTCTTATTTGAATCATCTGCAGCAAAATAAAAAACCTCATTGCTTCCAAAGACGTTTTTGTCAATAAACTCAACACAAGCCAGTCTGACTTAGTAAGTACATTTTAACATTGTCCAACACGTCACCACATATTTCTCATATTAACTGTGTGGATAGTGTTTTAGGACCGGACTAGTGGTCTTGGTTGGGTCATTGTGCTGTGTAAGACATCTCACACCCCTAGTTGCTGTGTGAATTGAAATGGGGCAGGAGGGGGGGGGGACAAACCTCTCATTCAGGTGGATGGAGTACTACTCCTAGTTGCTTCATACCACAGAAAATAAGATGTGGTCGAGAAGTTATGGGAAACTAGGTTTGCACAATCTTTGCTGACTCATAACCACAGTGTATGTAATTGTTCCCATCAAAATTGATAATAAACCTTAAAGTACAAATTTTTTGGCTTAAACTGGAATGAAGTTTTAAATATGACTAAAAAGCCAAACAGATATTGGTTGTTTTGAAACTGGAATTTTTTGTGCATTGTCATGTTGCATCTTCCAATGCTTTGGGGTTACTACTATTATCTTCATGATCTCCTTGGGACTCCTTAGGTCTTGCAATTGAAAATGGCAACTACCAGGAAATTCAAACATCAACATTGCTTTTTTTTTGTTCCATTGCTTGTTTTTGTTCCAGATCTTATACACTAGGTTCTTTTTTTCACCAGTTTAATGGAGCTTGTTTTACATATGGAGGCTTTGTTACCTTAGATCCAATCTTCCCTAGATGTAAAAGATTGAAGGAAATATTTCGTTGAGTTGATCAAGCAACTTTCTATTTTCATTACATGTGAATTATTTTTCATAATGAAACCTGTGTTGAGCAGAACCCTGTTTATTAGGCACCTTTTAATTATGAAAATTAATATAGCTGTTTATTAAAATGGACAGTCGTGAGGGTCCCTTGGGTTTCTACTTAGAACCAGGTGGCAAGGGATATGAGCTGGAGGATCACATATTTTAAGCTTTTACACCCTGACATCAGTATGCATATTCTCCTTACTGTTCTCTATACATTTCCTGTGGTGCTGGCGAGGAGAATTTGTTTGACAATCAGAAGCTTTTTTAGTTAGTGATCATTTTCTTTATTCTCATTACTTGAATGATTGATTCAGGGGTGATATTGTAAGGAGAATTTAAATGCAAGTCACTCTTAGGGGTCAAATTACTTAAGATGCATTTCCCCAATAGGTTAATGAGGGAGATGAAATTGATCTCACAAGATCAAAAGAAAAGGACAAAGTGGTTATGTCACGATTCAAGGTGTTGACAATCTATAAAGATCTTACCAAGAAAGCAAAACGACGCCTTGTTGGAGTGCGGTATGGCAGTATGATCATATCAAGAGAGGAGTTTGACAAAGATTATGCTCACCCTTCAAAGTGAGAAGCTTTGTGATGCAAATATACATTTAGATGCCATCAAAATGGATACAAGTGAACTTGGAAGCAAATGACTTTGTGGTCTTGTGTCCTTTTTACTCTGGCTTGCAGCTCTTGGCATAAATTGTTGGCAGAGGAATGTGAAGAGAGATTAAAACATTCTGTTAATTTAATGACCATCATCAGCTATTCACAGCCACGGAAATACACGTGTTTCACAAAAGGTTGTTGGAAAAAAGGACAAAAGTGCGTGCAATATGGGTATCCAGTCATCAATGAATTTTAATAGTTAAATATATTCATCAAACTGGCTATTCCTTGCACTCACAGTGACGTTTACTAGAAACAGCTATATATATATATATATATATATATATATATATATATATGTAGTGGTGTTGAACTTTGTGATGCAAGAGTCACTGTAAGTACTGACTATCAACTGTGTTATGACTAGCACAAAGTTAAGAGAACCATTGAGATATCAGTCCTTTGCTGAGAGGTGTTAGGGGGGTCCTGCTTGTGTATTATGCACATTGAAAAACAGAAATTATGCATCACAAAAAAATCAGATAAAACAACTTTAAGGTTCACATATTATGAAAAGCAAAAACTGTGCAGTTTCAGGGTTTTAATTTCGTATTTCCATTGGTCATGAAAGTTAAAAACTCTAAATCCTGTCTCACACATTCCCCTTTTGCTTTTATGAAATTTTAGGTTTCCTCTCAACTTTATGTGAAGGTTGCAAGTTGCTAAATTTCTCATGAAGCCTACAAGTGCATAAGTCATCTTTGGGGAGCTTTGTTCCATTCAGTTTTTGGAGTATTCTTGGATAGGAGCATTTCTGTCTTTCCCAAGGGAGTGCAAAATGTCTTCCTGTAAGTTTGAAATCCAGTCCAATAGATAAAAACATGAAAAAAGAAGGGAACAGTAAGAAGAGGAGAGACTGTAAAGGGTTTTGTAGCCCTCTTTACCATCCCAAACAATGTGTAAATGGAATGGACTTTATTTGGTAACTGATCAAGTAAAATGGTGTTTTCGCATTGAATTGTCCTGATCTCTTCTCCAAATTTCTTCCGTGACAGATGATTAAAGTTTCAAAATATTCTGGTGATGTGTTTCAAATCCTTAATATTTCCTAGAATTCAATAAGTTGTGGAGAATGGACACCACCTTTGACATAACAGAGATACAGACGTCATACATAATTCATGCCCCAAAAACAATTATAGTGACAATATACACAAACATAAGTACTTGGTATGTGGAAAATATAACACTGTCTAGTAACCATGCTTTCAAAATTTGACTGATTTTAATATTTAACTGGTAATGACTCTAAAAGATAATGGTATCTATAATGTTGAGCATCATTTTCTTGTGTCAAATCTGAAGTTTTGACAGAGTAACCAAGGGAATAAGTGAGCTACAAATACATCAAGGGCTAAAACAGCATGTTTACAATTACCCATCTGAAAATCTTCAAAAATTATTCTCAAATTAATCATTAATAACCAGTTATTAGGATAAATATTAAAAAATAGCAACCATAGTGTGACTTGAACAGCATTTGCAGGAAGGAAATTGAAATTTCTAGTCTTTTTTTTTAAGGGGGGGAAGGGAATCTGACAGGGACTTCTTTGGGGTTGATACCCTTAATGTCTGATCAATACTTTCTAAAATCCCTTTACAATGTGTAGTTCTCTGAATTATCAGCATCAAACTGGCATCTCACTCAAATAATTATACGAGTTGATGGGTGGGAAGGATTGCCAGTTACTGCTCTATGGAGTTAAGTGGGGTTTTGTGAGGGAGTGATGGAAATTTCCCACCTCAAATTTCCCTTCATGCTCCTAGAATGCAAGTACCTGGAAGAAGATCGTACATTTATTGCATTGAAATTAAAAGCTGTAGAGCGACATGGTTGTAGATTATCACAATAAAAGTAATTCTAACTCCTTTGCTGTGCCAGCCCATCATTACTATTATTTTATTACCCTTCTTATTATATGGGCACAACCCGTAAATATATTGCACTGCATTGCAAGGGGAAAGTGTCAATTGGTTCCATATGTAATGTGAAATTTGTGTGCAGTATAAGAAAGCAAAAGTATGAAAATGTAAAAAAATTAGACTACTGAAAGGAATGGTTAGGGTCAAAATTAGGGTGTGATTGAAAAGAAGAAAAAGTAAATGTAAAATACAAGTAAAGGAAAACTTAAATTGTTAGAAAACCACAAGCACCTACATATAGTGTTGTGCTTTTGCCAAAGCCTATTTTCTTTATCTTTAGTACAGACCCAAGTTTCCAAAATATTTCTGTTTGTCAAAAAGATTTGTGTGCTGCTGCATGTATCCACATTCTTATGCTTTTGCTTAGAACCTCTGATCAAATTTGATGCAGATGAAGGATTTGTGGTTGTATTGGTGAATATCTAATAGTTTGCAGCCTCACACAATAAACTTTGACCATTTAACCATAGCAAGGAACTTGAAAAAGAAATAATGAAACCAAAGAAAAAAAAATTGAACAATCACCTGTAAAAGAAATGGGTAACTTGTAGATTTACACCATGAACAGTTGAATAGCTGGGAACACAACTGCTGTTGTTAAGTTTAGGAGGCCATGCATATCTGCTTGATATCCCTCATGTTCTAAACTAGTGTTAATAACTTTCCAGTGATCTTACCATTGTTTTCAGGAAATATGATCTCCCCTCCAACATAAAAATTCAGTGTACCCAGTGATGCTTGAAGAGGTTTTTTCCTAAATTTATGCACCAAAAGAGAGCCAATTTCTTTCCAAAATTATTTGGAAAAACAAAAACAAAACCTCAAGCAACACTGAGTAAATAGTGTACTTACAAAAATTTTAGTTTCTGTCAATTCAGATGTCTGAACACCTAGTATTTACAATGAAAAATTATATTTCTTTCTTTAACTTTTCAACTGGATTAATAAGAGAATTAAGAGTAGAAGTTGACAACATCACAGTTTCTTGACATTACTTACTTATAAGGTTGTTTCTTAATGAGTTAATTTATCCATTATAAATGAGTAAAAGTTGTACAGCACTCCTTTGCAATTTTTTAGTGAGTTACTTTGTCAGAGGACTGTAATTCTACCTACTTTCAACCCTCAAGTGCTGGAAGTCATTGAAAAGATCTCCAGATATACAAATCATGCAAATATTATTAGCTCTACAAAAACTTGGAAAAATTTAAACTACTTTGTACATGTGCTGTTCCTATTTTCAAATTCTGAGTATGCCATTTAAAGGTGTAAGTATACTCCAGAAACCACTCTGCCATTCAAAAGCATATGAAAGGCATTTTTTTAGTTCACTGGCTATTTCAATTTCAAGTCTATCCACCACCATAAACTTCACAAAGAATTGTTTTAAAATAAAAATTAAATGCTAGGGAGAGCTAAAGAAACCATACGGCTTACATTAAAAGGTGCCCTCGATGACTTCTAAATTACCAATGAAATATAAATCATGTTTGGTTGTTGTCCTTTTTATGTTTGAATTTTTACACTTTGATTAACAACAGAAAAAAAATCATGAAACTTTCTTTTGAAGGAAGACAAACTGGGAGAAGAGGTAACTGAAGGTGGTAATACATCAAATTAAAAATGTCTCTCAAAGCTGAAGCCATGAATATTGATATGATTTGATAATGATGCAATTCTCAGTGGCAGAGGTAATACTGTATGGTTTCTAGAGAATACTTCTCCATTAAATTTAAAAATGTTTCTAGAGAATACTTCTCCATTACATTTTAAAAGATATTAGCTTTAACTATCTATTCTGCATTTTTCCTATAACAGGGAGTGGGTGGGCCTCTGTGTTGAACACCCATTGGTCCAGAGGTAAAAGGCTGTCATCAGAAAATATCAAATACAAATACTTCAGAGTTTCTGCCAAGAAAAAACTCTGTTGGACATCATCATGTGACACTGCTGTAGAGGCTACATCTCGTATGCCACTATACCCTGCTTCAACACGACAGAACTTTTCAATGTTCTAGAAAATGATAACAACAAAGTAATATAAAATTACCAGGTGTCTTTGTTTTTAACAATCAAATGCAGATGTTAAATTACCGACAACTGATGGATGACTTGTCCACAAACCTATTGAACAAATCTATTGGTTTTTCATGGATATCAAGGCTACTTAGAATGGAATTAAGAAAAACCACTTTATACATCTTTCCGGCAAGTTGCCACCTGTTAAAATAGCAGTTTTATTTACAATTTCCTAAATTTTAACTGATTTCAAAACATATTTTGGACTTTGAACCAACTGGATGAGAAAAAGAGGAAAAATAAAATGTGAAAAAGACAAAAAAAGAGTTGACAAAACAGTCCTTCTGAATCAATCTGTTGATTGAAGGAACACAAACTAAAAGCATATTTAATCTACACAGGCAATTGGCAAAGTATTAAAACCAATCATTGCTTTTTCACGACAAGTCTCTGGCCCTTTTAAGATTCCTAACTTTTCCCTGACAATGAAAAAAAATTTCTCCAACATTCCCTTAGCTATCCTGGTAATTCTGGTGAGATGAACAATATTTAAAAAAATTAATTATTAACCTGAGCAGCCTCCCAGGCCCATTCACGATACTTAGGCTCATGAGTAAACCGCCACATGTAGAAGTATCCTTCAATCACTTCTGGTCGAAGAATGTAGTATCTCTCATTCACGCGAATACCAACTGCCTCATGAGGTCCCTCAAACCTGAAGGCTTCTGGGCCAATACCAGTAGCTATACAAATGAATTAGAAGGTTTACACCATGTTCTAAATTTGACTAGAATTTTCTGGCCTCTATTTATCACTACAGAAAAAAACATTTAAAGTTATCCTTCAGTAACATGTTGATTCAATGGACAATTTGATTGAGGGCTTGAGCTACTGTATTTCTTTTTTTATTTTAAGTTAAAGGATATGATAACATAGTTTGGGTGAAAGCTTGTAATAAAAAAATAGAGTGCCTTGAGGCCTCATCATCCACTACAGAAAATGTTTTGACATGGCTCACACCCTTGACAGTTACAGATAAACTGCAGAAGTGAGAGAAATTGCATTCCCAACTGTGATCTGGGTTTCATTGCTGAAAATGGCACAATATGGGGCTGATTTTCTTGTTGATTTGCCCTCTTTCTCTGACCAGAATTCTTCCACTCTCATGCTACAAAATTCCATGACTCTCTATTACCTCCTCTGGGACTATCAAAATATTTCCAGTGACTTACAATACAAAATTTGTTTTAAAAATAATGTCAAAATGATCATTTGATTCTGTTACTTCTTGTTACATGGTTTAAGGAAAGTTTTAAGAAATGCTATAGATTGTTTTTTATGACCTTCCATAACCTACTGATGTATGAGCTACTCCTTAACTTGAATTTGTCAGTACAATTACTTACTATGATAAAATGGTAACACTGTTGAAAATAATTCAAGAATAAAAAATTTTCTTTCTTCGCTTTCAAAATATGATTTAAGATCAAATTTTTTACCTCTTTGCTTAGGAAATGCTCTATTTTAACAAGGCATACCTTAAGCCAATAGCAGCATTACTGGATTACCTGTTTTGCGGTAAGATTCATGACATGTGTTAGCAAGTTCTGCACCAAGGTTGATGAAATGTTTCTCACTTCTAGAACCTTTAGCTCCAAGAGCAAACATCCCAGCAGTAAAACAAGCCTTAAATCAAATGAAAAATCATGATGTTATGCTAATTGTCAAAACCTTACTTAAGCTTGATCACTATGATGGAACAATATGGTAAAAGGTAACTGTTTAAACCTGAGAATAAGTGTCCCTTGTGTAATATGATTGTGCAAGCAAGTAGTAGTAGTAGTCCTGACATGCACCACTATTGGTGGTAGTGAAAGATATTTTGACAAGCTGAGTAGAAGTTATCACTTGGATTAAGTTGAGAACTCCCACTCTGGTTCTCCAAAAAGGCCTAGAAAGGACTTCTGTCACCTGGACAATCTCATTACTAAATGACTACTGAGGAAACAATGTTCAGCTTTTTATTTAAAAATAAACAACAACGAAGATGACTCTTGGAGAGCTTTAATCTGACTCTCACCAAGTGATCCATTTTGTGTTCCAGCCTGCCATACTTGTACTCTGCAATGTATGTAAGGTTGGAAGGCTGTGACTTTTGAACCAACATTCTTTCTATGGCCTAAAAAAGTAAAAAAGGACAAAATAGACATCGTCAAAACTATTTTGTCTAGGAGAATTTTTAGCCTCGCTGTTATGGGGCACTTTCAAACACAAGGTCTGGCACAGTCAGAACATTATGTTAACCATTCAATCCCTACTGAAAAGTGACAAGCATCTAATTTCTCCTTACAATATCACTTCTGAATCAAATGTTACAGTCAAGAGGATAAAGGAAATGATCTCCAACTGAAAAAGCTCATGATTGTTCTACAAATTCTCCTCTTCAGGACCATTAGAAATGTCTAGAAAACAGTGTTGGGGAATATGCACTCTGATCTTAGAGTGTAGAGAGTGAATGGATAGAACACTTTACTGTGACAGAGCCTCTCTCTCCTTCCACAGGTATAAGTGGGTACAAAAAACTGCCAGGGGTAAAAGATTCTGGGATAAAATCTGCAAGTGACTGGCTATCTGGCTTGAAACATGTGACCCTTTACTGGGGGTTTCAATATGAGCAAGTTACCAATAAAATTTGCCCTCTGAGTCAAGAGAAATTGCTTCCTTTTTTTTTCAATATTGGAGCAAAAAACAATATTCCATTTAATTTAGCTGCCTCCTTTGCAGTTTTTACAGTCTGCTTCAAAATTTATTGATAGCCCTGCTTTGCCAATGAACTTAAGCATAAAGGATGAAGGAGGAATTGGTGACCTATACATGTACACTGGATACATTGTAGGTGAGGTAGATTGTACCATAAAATTAACTGTAAAACAAGATGCAAAATATAGGTTACCAACCTCCACAGCTTTGTCATACATCCGCCTAGCCACATTGTCTGTTTTTCCACTCATCACCCATGACTTGATTAAGTATTCATAGAAACTGTCTCCCAATGCACCCAATGAAACATGCTCTGTTGTTTAAAAGGGAATGTGGCATATTCAATAAAATTCTGTGGCTGGAAATAACCCAGTATTATAATCCAACTGTACAAAGAAGATTACATATAATGTGTGAATAGGGTACAAATATCCTGCGATATTGTACAGTTGGTTATTTTGTACTGTAAAAAACCTATTAAACCAATAGGCTGCATGCATCACGCTTCTCTGTCCACTTTGCTTTTCCATACTTATGAGAAGTGAGCAGAAAGACTTTGCAGAAAAAAGCAGTTAAATAATAAAAAATTTAAAACTTATTAGTAGTTTGGTGTGTAGTATTGTTGAGTATTTTCACTCACTGTTTGTATTTGACTTGTCCTACAAGCTCATCAAAATACAACACAACTTGTAAAAATACTCAGCAGTACTACACACCAAAACGTCTACTAAGATATACATAGAGAAGTTGTTTAAAGCAAATGGTTTGATGCTGCCTCAGTCCTGGACTCTGTCTTACTACCCTACTCTAAAATCTTTTTCAAGGTGGTTCTCCTTAAAGACTAGTGAACTAGTTTCTTGTTCCTTGAGAGACATAAGAAAGACATAATTGATTACAACTGGTCCTCTAAAATAATGTTCATAATTATTTTTAGCAAATTGAAAATGGGGTTAAAAAAACAGTGTTAAAAAAAAATACAAAACAGCTTACGTGAGCCCCAAACTCCACTTCTGGGGTTTAAGTAGTTGGGATACAATCCATTGGGCTTGTTTATTTGATCAAGGACTTCTCGTACTCTGTAAACCTGGACCAGAAACACAGGCCAGCTGTAAACTATTTCCACTAGTTAACAATTATATTTACAAGTAAAATGGATGTTGTAAAGGAGAGACAAGGTTTTACCATTGAGGACTTATGGTTTAAATAAACTGATTCCTAAATATACAACAAGTACATGAGTGATATAAAAAATGAATAGATAAGCTATAAAGATGTACACAAAACCATTTATACTAAAATTGTACAGATTCCAAGTTTGTGGCATTTTACTAAAAGAGTTCTTTGCACAAAGTATTTTAGACACATGGAGTATTTTAATTAAGGCAGTCAACAACGGATAAATTTTGGATATGCTTTATAGTTTCTTTCTGGTCTCCTCAAAGTGTGTTCTCTTTTTCTGCTACTAATGTATATGGTTTCATTATAGACCAATTTCAATCAAGACATATTTTATTTGGCTATTCATTCAATTGTTTTTGTTTTTTTGTTTTTTTGTTTTTTACTCTCTCCATTTGTTTATTTGTTCATTGATGTACTTCCCAAAACTTCATTCTCACCTTTTTGGCATAGATTGGGTCCCCTGTGATCTTTGACAAATAAACAAATTCCAGATGCAGGGTGCCAAACTCTGCTAAAATGGAACATCCCCCAGATGCCCAACCCCAATTGTGTCCACTGCCACTGTGGAAAGAACAAATAAAGAAATAATCTAACAGAGAGCATTAGAGGACCTTATTTCCAAAGAGCAATAGAAACCTGATTGCACTTTAAAATGAATAAAATTTGGAGGACAGGTTTTTTTTTAAAAATTTTTTCTTTGAAGAACACTCTAAGCAGATGATGCTGCAAAGTACACAGTGTTGAGCACTGAACCACTTTTCACATTACAACAGATAAGTTTGAAAACAAAATGAACACATTCCATCGAGACTGGATAATAAAGAAAAGGTTTTCCATCATTTTCAATGATCACAGTATCAGAAATGCTTGATTGCATCCTTGGCTATGTGCTTTTAACGAGTCTGATTATTCTGCCAAAAAAAATCACATACCTGGCAAAATTAACCATGGCCCAAGGTATTCCAGTTGGAGTATTGAATGCAGGTAACAATTTGTCCCCTACTTCCTTAGCTTTTACCTTAAAAACCTGAGGAAAGAAATCAATTATTACAGTCAGGTAATGAGAGAAAAAAAAAAGATCAGAAAGGTAATAAATAGAGATACAATGTATTAAGAATTTTTGTTATAACTCAACCAACCTCTTCTCCACTGAATGCGTAAGCAGAGAGTAGTCCTCCAAGAAAGCGAATTGTAGTTTCAAACACAGATACATCTGACGCCTATGAAGAATAATATAGAATGCATGTCTCATACAATTTATAAGAATCTCTTCTATTTATGATTTATTACACATGTACACATAAGGATAATACAGTGAATGTAAAATAGCACACACACAACTTTAGATGAACATTTGGAAGGGCAGGATCATTATCTGTACATTTAAGCATTCACTTGATACATTTACATTAATGAGTTAACCATGATACAAACAGCACTAGAAAACTGCCAAAATAAATTGTGCTTTTCTGCACTTTTTGCAGTTTAAATCTGGTGTATAAAAAGAGCCACAAATCTCTTTTTCAGAGTTAACCCTTAAACTCCCATGAGTGACCCTAACAGAATTTCTCGTACCATATCAATACAACATCAAGCAGACCAGTGATGAGTATAGAGAAAAGTATCACTTAGGGTTTACTAGTTGATCCAATACCAAATTCTCTGAACTAACATCATAAGAATTGTACCACAGACTATAAACTAAGAGAATTACTAATGAAATATTGGAAGTGGACATGTAAATAGGTGATCACACATGTTTCAACTTTAGTATAAAAACAACTGAAAGCATACTGCCATTTGCTGTTTGCCATGAATGTCAAGGTTAACCTCTATTAACCCTTTGACACTCAAGAGTGACTAGCATCTAATTTCTCCTTACAATGCCAACCCTGAATCACACATTAAGGTCATGAGAATAAAGGAAATGATCACCAACTAAAGAAGCTTGTGATTGTTAAACAAATTCTCCTTGTCGGTACTTTAGGAAATGTATAGAGAACAGTGTGGAGAAAATGCATAGTCATGTTAAGGTAAAAAGGCATAATAGCCATTTTTAAATTAAACCCTTTGCTTGGACACTTTCATCGTTGCATGAACTTGATTATACTCACATGATTAAAACTTAGAGACATTGCCACCCATTTTCTAGCACGTTCAAATTCATCTTTCATGCCCATAATGTACAATGTGTCCAAAGCATCCACGACTGTTGCACCAGACGAGGAAGCTCCAAATATACTTGCTGCATGGCTTGACTTGCTAATTGGTCGCAACTCATTACTGCCCCAAGCATACTTTACATAACCATTCCATGCATGTTCCATCATCTAATGGGGAAAAATGCATTAGAATTATCTGACACTAAAATTATTGTGACTGTGTAGTCTGATGGTCCAGGTGGGTGTGGCCCTTAGAAGGACTGTTGTCTGCAGTTGTCACTGACATTGTGACAGCCTGAGTGGAAGTCATCATCAGAGTCAAACCTCAATATCCACACTCCTGAGGACTAAGCTGAGTAGCTGGGATAATTGAATCCATATAATCAAAACTAAGAATATTATAGAGCCAAAAATAAAATGAATAAATGGTGCGACAATTGAAGCACATTCTCAAATCATTGTGTATGAACTGTTAATATTAGCCAAAAGTATTTTGAACCCAGAAATAACAACTATAAATACCTATGACCAGAGAAGCAAATCTGAATAATACAAAAATCTGGATAATCTGGGTTTTTATGTAGTAACAAATTATTTACAATAGTCATTCTTAGAGTTGAATGAATACTGTATGGCTTTTGAAACAAACATGCTCTCTGAAACTGTATATTGTGATTAAGGTAATGCACAGAAATGAGGTATGGAAGGAAAAAAAATAACACCTTTGATCTCTTTTTTGGGTGATCAGTAGTTTGCAAATGGTGTAAATCAGGTTGTCAAAGTTGACTGACACTAAACACAGGAAGCTTTTAATTACATCATTTTCTCTCTCTCTCTTTATTTTTTAAATTTTTTTCTTTCGTAGAGGATGTAAACCAGTGAATTGCTTATGAAACATATACTGTTGACAAAAAGGTGTATTACGATGCAATTGCTTAGTCTTGAGCTTTCAAACAGTACTATAGCATAAAAAGTATACATCTATTGAGGCCCTCTTACAATCAGTTATTTGAGTAAAAGTGGAACAATGATTGCTTCTCATTTTCCAAATGAACAAAAACACTCAATTGACTAGTACAAATTGACTTGAACAAAAGAAATAACACAGCTCCAAAAAAACTCTTAAAACTAAATTCACCCATTTGGCCAATCAATCAGAAAACAATCAGAAAAGTAACCTTCTGTGAACAAATTCTGATACACTTCATTTAAAGTAGACAGATAGAATGTGTTGGCTAATCCAAATATAGCCTGACAACTACATTTAGTCTGAGTTATTAAAGTTCTCTTAACCTTGAACTGGGGATATTTTGACAAACAGAAAGCTTGGATTGATCTCTTTCCCTTTTTCCCTTAACTAAGAAACAAAACAGCTGATCAAATTTTCCCTATAAGTTAACTAAAGCTATCTAAACAAAGCACTGAATATAATTAACATGACACTCCACGCTTTACATAACGCGTAACGACACGAATATATTAAACACGAAATGCTGTAAGTTGGAAACATAACAAATCCAAAGGAAAAAGACATAAAAAACAGTGGTTAGAGCATCGGAGCGCGGAATTCGAAGGTCTGAGGTTCGATTCCTCATGGGGACTTAGAATTATTTTCTTTGTCCCACGCTCGTGACAAGACGAAAAAACATCTTTCTCGACATAAAAAACAGTTTTTAAACAGTGCTGAATTCTTCGCGAATTGGAATTTCAAAATAGCCTTAAGTCACGAAATCTTAATCAATCTGACTTGTTTCAATAGTTAAACGGATTAAGTAGGTTTCTTCATAACTGTGAAATATACAAAAAAAACGAATCTCCTAAATATAATAAAATTAAAAACAAAATTAGTGAGGAGAATAATCAATCAAGCGCAGATTCAAGGAAGTCTGCATCAAACTGATCCATTGTAAAATACGACAAAGAATTCTATTTTTTAGAGGCTGCAATGAAAAATTAGAGCCGCAGTTGAATGTGTTCATTGTTGACAACAATTGAATGAGGATCTAAAAAAAGATGTCACTTTAACCACCATTCAGTATCGTAACATTGTGTGATAAAATGTTCACAAAGTAGGCGGTATTTCATTAACTCACCCTCTTGATAAAATTTCTTCTCTCTCTAGTCCTTTCATCGGCAGGTTCCCCTCCAGTGATTCCCTTAGCACCAGTGTCATCCACCTTGGAATTGTTAACTAATTGCTCGATTCTAGCGTCCCTTACCGCAACTTCCTCAGCCTTTTGATCTTTGATGAATTTCTCTTTGTCCTTCCTTATCATCTCTATCAATTCCTTGTGTGTTAAAGATAACTTTGAAGTTGTCATCTCTGATAATTGACCTGTTTCTCCTCGGTTAGTATCGGAAGTCTCTGGTTTGCTAAATTCACTGACTTGCGGAGTAAAGTCATCTATCAGCATGCAAATTAAAGAATTACTATGATTAATAAATTTCACTGTAAAATACCACAAGAACTATTCAATGGCTCCTTGTTCACATACTCTTTACCCGAAAATAAGGGATAAACATTCACCTGCTATTTTAACAATCGGTGTCTTTGGGGCCTTTATTGGCACAATGTCCCCTCCGCCACCAACAAACCTCCTGTATGCGTCCTCAAGATATGTTCTATCTCTTAGGTCTGGTACGAAGAAAAATGCTCCAAAACATAGAAAGAGGAAAGCTATAAATATTAACATTAATACATATTTTTCCCTAAGCCTAAGACCCGATCTATTGACGGGAATAGGATGAAAATTTCTACTATGGTGAGTTGGCAGTATCGCCATGATAGAACAAGTTATACCGCCATATTGGGTAATACCGCTGATAAGCATTGTCCAAGGGCGCTTCGAAGTTATTATGATCGTTTTTGATTGGATGAATAACTCGTGCGGAACGCTGCGAAAATTTTAGTATAAGCTCACTATGTAATTATTTCATAGGATAGGCTTTTACTGAGATAAAGCAAATCAGGAAAGAAAGACAAAAGGAGAAGAGCAAATGGTGAATTCTCCATGATCAAGGTCTTTACAAACCCTTACAAGGCATGCTAAAAGGTTGTTGTTGACAAGACAAAGTGTAATGCCTTAGAAAAATAAACACAATAACTACTAATTGTGATCAAGATTACCCGTTTCATTTGGAGTTATTGATAAAGAGTGACACCAGGTTGATCATGCGACAACAACAATAATAGGTAGCAGGATTACATGTTATGATCCAGTTTTCTTAGTTCATGGTTTTCAATTTTTCCTTAGCTTAGCTTTTGTGCCTTCATGGTTTTTGTTTCCTTTGTTAAATAGTCTTATTTTGTGAGCTAAGCTTCTTCCTAGCCCGACATTATAGGCAGCAGTGTTGAAGTGGTTTCCAAAGGATATCAATATTAGTTTACTTTCAGTTTTCATTCCTTCAAGTTGTGTGAGCTTCTATTCTGATATTTTCAATAGCACATTTATACAGAAGCTAGATGAGCCCTTTATGCTATTACTCTATTGCCTTAAATTTTGACTTATTGTAGGTAGAAAAAATGATTACCCTAGTTTTGACAAGGCTACTAAGACAAGGGCACTGTTATATAGGTAAAAGTAAAGAATCCAATCCCACTGATGCATTGGCCAACACACCGCCGACACCACTGCCAACATGTCAACCATCATTTTGAGAACAAAATACTGGTACCTAAGTCTTCTCTGCATTTTTTTTTTTACTTTTTTAGGGTACTTAACCAAGGAAGTTAGCATGTCGGCTGACACTGATCTCACTGACATGTTTACTTTTTGTTTATTAGCAAGATTAGGAAGCAAAAAGTCTTTATTGATCATTGACTTTTGAATATGTGGTGGCTCCTAAAGGAGCTGTTTTTAAATGCACACACCCCTGATGCATCTTGCAAGTTAGAAGGATAAATGGTGGCCAACACATCAGCTGACAGTTGGCCAGCTGTTGACTGATGCATAGGTTGGATTGGATTCTTTACCTTTACCGTTATATGTGTACACTGAAGTAAATTCAAAGGATCAGCACATCATCTGTTGAACCTTATCACTGCTGAATGAAATGTGAAGGTTAAGAGAATGGAAAGAAATAATTGTTGACTGAAAAAACTCCCTTGCCTTTGTAAGACAGATTGGTTTCCTAGGATGCTTGTTCTTCTGCTTCAAATAGATCTAATGCAAAGTGTTTATTACAAAAGTAAACAACTTTTCAAACTCATGAAAGGCAAACCACCCTCATTGGCAACAACTTGGTATTGTTCCAATAAATTTCAGAACAACACTTATCCTATATTGGTCTAGCAAATCTAATTTTGCCATTACAAAAATAGTATTATTGAAAAAAAATTCAAGACAAAGGTATTGGTCACATTTCTTTAACCTCAGGATTTTAGGGAAATCTGAGAAAATGTCACAGTGCAGATGAGGCACAACAAGTTTGATGAATTCATTCATTTCTTTCCCTGTTAAAATTCATTGACTACTGGACACCCAGCTTACCTTTCAAAATTGTTGCATGCACTTTTGTACTTTTATTCAATAACCTCTCTCGAAACAGCTGTATTTGCTAAATTCCATTATTTACAGAGAGCACTAATTAATCAGATTGTTTTACTTGATCAATCAAATGTCCCAAAGTTTTTGTCAGCAACTGCAGATTGTGTGCATCAGAAAGCCTATGACCACCATCCTTGATAAGTGTTAATTGGACATCATCACTTTCAAGTTGATTGACCAGATCAAGTGATACCTGGTAGGGCACATCACCATCTTTCATGCCATGGAGTAAACGTACAGGACAGCAGATGGGATAGAGTTCTTTTTCTTGTAAAATATGCTGACGTGCCTCTTCTATCACTATTGAATCTAACACATATGGCTCCTCAGTGTGTTGAGAAGGTAATATCCATTTTCCTGTAGCTTCCACTTCCCTTTTTTCTTCATGGGAAAGAGTATCATAGCGTTGTGATACAAAGTCAACAGCACTAGCTATGCCAATGAGACCCCTTATTTGATCTGGTTTTGACATCGCAACTAAAAGAGAAATCCATCCTCCAAGGCTTGACCCTACAAGGATCTGTGGACCTACAAAGTAAATGTACATGGTCCCCCTTAAAATCTGTCCAAGGTTCAGGGAAATGAAACTCTCATGAGAGTTTGCATTACCTCACATAATGCATTACAATGCATTATTATTAGGTTTGAATCATTTCACATGATGCATCATCTCTTATCTGTGCATAAAATTTGTTATATGTTGATATATACAAATATAATTGTATAGTTGGACCAAATGGAAATAAACTATCGCAATAAGAAGAACATAAACTTTCAATTCTTGAAAGGATGTCACAACCCTGTCTTGAACAGACCAGAAGCAAAATTTATATTTATATTTTCAGAACGCGGGGGGAATCAAATTTTTGCTCCGGTTTTGCCACCAGAAGATCCCAAAAATTTCATTTTGCACATTATAAAATACATAAAATCTCGACGCTTCAATAGACGGGGGGAATTAAGCCTGTTTCAAGTGCATTCTAAGGGCGTAATAAAAGATCTGAGCGGAGTGCCACCTTTAGCAACGCCATCAAGAATTGTTAACACATCTTCCTTCCTCATTCCAATTGTGCATTCTTGACTTTCTCCACTAGACATGCCATACCCTCTGTAGTCAAATCTTACATATGAGTGTCCAATTTTTTTGCAGTATCTCTCTAGAGCCAGAGCTTTTGTACCCTCCATGCTGGACATCAGCCCGGGCAAAAAGATAACCCCTGGAGATTTTCCGGGAGATTGTCGAAAGGCTACGCGTTCTCCTGGAGATGGGAACGCATACTGTACAGTGGACTCAGCAAAAGAACTCATTTTCTTCAACAAGTGTCTGATGATCCTGTTTTGAGTACAGGGAGACTTAAAAAGATGCCTCATTACGTTGCCTTAATTAAGCTGCTGGGTTAGTGCTTCATTTACACATATATGAATTGTCTGTTCTAAGGCCCGTTTCTTAAAAGCACTGGTGACCAGCTGACATTTGTTTGAAGTGTCTTCATTCAAGATCGAAATAATCATAGTTTTGAAATCCCAAAAACGAAAATGTATTAGAAAACATATAAGAATAATCTAGTTTATAAGCTTAAGACCCGCATTATCATCTCCTGCATTTAGTTTTTCGGACTTTCGAGAAACAGGCTGGTGGTCTTGGTGTGATCTAAGGTCCCTTTCCGAATACTGTGACGAATAGGTTGCCTTTGGTGTAGATGCCACAAATGGGAAAGTCTGCTGACCAGCGCATTTTAGTGCAAATGGGAGGGGTATACTCTTATCTAATCATCGATCTTTAATGTTTTACTTGTCTTACTATCTACAATTTCAAGATAAGGCCCTTTTCTCTTTCATTTCAACTCGTTTTAATTCAGACTAACATTGATATACCGGTAATAGTGCGAAAAAACGCTAGTAAGCAATTGGTTTAAGTTTTGAGTCTGATTGGTCAGGAGTATAATGACCTCCTGGAGTGGTCGAGAAAGTGGCGACAATTCGAACACTTTCCAACTTCCTTAGACGGTTGAGTTGTCGATGGTCGATTGAGAATTTTACATGGAATCGACGGTCTTTGGGATCACCTCGATCCGCATCCAGTCATGAAACCAGTAACAGGAACTCTATAGTCTTATTCGGCTCAAGGCAGCCTCCTCCTCAGGCCCTGTGTACTGTCTGAATGAATGCAATACCACGCGACTGGTGACGACCACGTAAGGAACTTCCCTTCCTCCACTGCGTGCCCATTTTCTTTTCCTTTGCCATTGGCAAAATGTTTAGAGAATCCTAGTTTCACCTCACTCGTTCTTGTTGGAAGATATTTCCCTGTATCAATTAAGGGAGCTGCAATTCCACTGTGAATAGATTTTCTATTTCCTCCTCAGAGACAATCTAGCACACAAATAAAGAAACCTATTCATTTTCTGAAAGAAAAAATCTGCATAACAGTTGCATCAGCATAGTTATTACGCTATGCAGGCTGTACTTACTCACATACCTTATTACCATATGAGGGGAGTTGGTGCCTAGTGATAAGCTAACGGGGATGTGCTGCTGGATGAGTTCGCACTTTCACGACCAGATTGACTATAATGAGGTTACATTTTCAATAGAGCTAATGGTAAGGGGTCGCTCATTTTCGAGATTTTGGGGATTAGAAATCTGGTTAAGTAATGGTAAGATTCGCGATTAAAAGTTAGTCACCTTCTCACAAAAAAGTGACAAAGATGGGGTCTATAATTGGCCAAAGTATAGACTTCAATGTGGTAGGGTTTCTAAGAGGCCAGCGGCACATTTCCAGCAAAAACTGACCGACGTGCCCCTTCTCCCTTATTACTAACTTATTAGGGCTGTTCTTTAAGTCATAACCTGTTTTCAAACTCTTACTACTTGATAGCGTTGTTAAGGCACAGTAACATAGTTACGCTTTAACAGATGTTTCAATCTTCAAATCATTATCTTCACCCTTTCTTAAACCGTTGACACGGAGTTTGTATCATCACTTCGCTATGACAGATGTTTTCATTCAGTTTCAAATCAGTTTTAACACTTTCTTAAACAGTTTGGTCCAAGTTTGCAACATAAATAAATGAACAACAACAAAAACAAACTAAGATCAAATAAAGGTTGAATCTTGAAACTTTCTCCCAAAATTTTGTAAGCCGTACCTTCTGGTATCCCTAAGCAACGATGTTAAGCGTGTAAGAAACAATATAATTTGGTTTTATCGACTGAAAATTGGCCACCATAGAGAGTTTCTAAAGCTGACATTTGCCTCGCCATTTGCTCTGTCGGAGTGTCAAGTCTCGAAACGTCAGCTTCAGAAACTCTTTACAGTGGCCGATTTACATCTATTTATTTGCTCAATTAGTAAACCAAATTATCTTGTTTTACCCTAACCGACGCAGTACCACAATTTCCTTAGGAAGTTCCCCCCTTTCTTCGTGTATCAAACAGTTTGGTCGAAAATTGTACCATCGTTGAGACAGACGTTTTCATATTGGCGATAAATTTAAATCAATTTTTAGACATTGATGAGCAGTTCGTAGCATTGTTTCGTTAGTTTCTGACAGATGTGCACACATCACTTTCAAGTCACTTCAAAGCACTTTCTAAAACGGTCATTTGTAGTTTATAACACTGTTTTCTTATGGCAGATGTTTGTATATTAGTTTGAAATCACGTCTTAACGCCTTTTTCAAAGTCGATTTGGAGTTTTTAGCACTGTTGTGTTGCAACAGATGTTTACATATCGTTTTCAAATCACCTTTTAACACTCAATCTTTTACACATTCAGTTGATTTGCAGTTCGTAACGTTGTTCTTTTTATGACAGATCTTTTTATACTGTTTCAAATCACTTCGTCACACTTTCTTAAAACGTTCATTAGGAGTTCGTAACATCGTTGCATTGTGTCAGGTTTTTTCATAATTTCTAATGAGTTCTTAAATATTTCTCCTAGTAAACTGTTGATATGGAGTATCTTTGCGTTATGACAGATGTCTTAAAACATTTTCATATCGCCTCATCACGCTTCATTACTCCTCATTAGACCTTTGAGTCCGCGTTTGTGCGATGTTTATCATCGCCTAGTTCTTATTTTACTTTGTTTTTGTATCAAAGGCTCCATGATTGCCAGTGCTTATTCAAGTTTCCTTGGTAGCATCGACATGTGTTGAACCCAAATGTCTGGCCTTTTGCCTCTTTTTAATCAGTTTGCAAACAGTATTACGCATACTGGCCACTCCAATTACCCCGCTGTTGGCTTTTTGGCGTTACTCTTTTCAATATGGTTGCTTTAATTGTTGTAGTTAACATAATTGCGTTATGAAAAATATTTTCATGTTCCAAATCAGTTTTCCACACTTCCGTTAACTTTCCAGTCTGAGTTTGTATCATTTCACATTTTTGAGTTCTCATTCTGTTTTTGTTGTCGTAAATTATAAAATTATTTATGATTTCCGACAAAGGTCTTGCTTACTGTCAAGTCTTCAATTCTTTCATCAGAAGGAGTAGCAGTACACTCAACCCCCTAACACTGTAACATCTGTATACATATTCTACATACTAATCTACATAAATGCCCTATGGTAGTGGCTAGGAGAAGTTGTTTAATAATCAAGAGCTTCTTAAGTTTGAAATCAATTCCTTTTTTTTTCATCATCTCCTAAATGTTTGTTTCATGGGTGATGCTGTTGAGGGAATAAGGCGCTAGTTACTCTTAACCCTTAAACTCCCTGAAGTGATTAAAATTAAACTTCTCCATAAAATTTCCATACATATAACCAGCAAACAGGTAATGAGAATATTCAGACTTATTGGGTAAAAGTTATTATCCTGATCTAACACCAAATTCTTGTAGCTGATTTACAAGGAAATGTGTAGCAGCTAGAGGGAAAAAGTAACAATAAAATCTTGGGAGTTGAAGGGTTAAGAGTTGAAGGGGTATGGCACCTTGGAAACTGGGATAAGCACTTGTAATTTAAGTCCCCTTGATGAACAATAGACCCAGCCCTAATGAAAATGAACACTTTGGGCTGGTTATTTATGAAAGGTTTAATACAAACTGCAGTTTTACACAAGCAGTGGGCCTCAAGGGTTTGATTAAACAAATTTGCTTCCATAATTAGCTTTCAGCCCTCTAGACATTGTTCAGATAAAAGGTTTGATAAATTGAAGATGGCTTAGAACAAGGTATTGTTAAACCATGGCTAAACTTTGTTTAAATAACCCACCCTTTGCATCTGTGTTTGACTTACATTTGTAAATTCATCAAACGTCAATCTTGTAGTCTGCTGCAATTCACTCCTGTTTAAAATACTTGATATCATTCCTAACAAGTGATCGTCTGTGATAAGAGGACCAGTTACCATTCTAAGCAAGCTGAACAGTTCACTGTATGACAAGTATCCATCTTGATCAGTGTCCAGTAACTGGAATGCAACTACAAGAAAAATAAAAAATGAACAGGTCCAGATGCCTAAGTCTACTATACCACACATAATTTTAATTGCTCAGGGGAAGCTGAAAATTTTCTGGAATGACATGAACACCCACAGCAAACCCTATGATTGAGACTTCATATCTGAGACATTACCTCAGCCACTGAGAATTACTCTTTACCATATTTACACAAGGTCACCTCCAAATCGCACTAAAGGGAAGGGAGGGCTATGGAATGTATAAATCCATTTAATCCTTTGCCTCTCAAGATCTTCAAACTTACTTCCCGTCCTGTGTCCATACTTTTTTTTTGTGGTTATTTTCTTTTTACCCTTTCTACCCACTCTACAGTGTTAAGAGATCAAGGGAGTAATTTACATACTAGTCACTCTTGGGTCTAGAGAAAAAGAGTAAAACCCTTGCACCTTATTTTGATTTGAGTTATCATTTCTTATTTTCGATTTTTCAAGGGCCTACTACACAGTTATCATATGGCTGACTTCCCCTTGTGATCAAGATGAAGCCAATCTTGAGTTCTGACTGGTTGTCAAAGCAAACAAGATGGGAACATAGTACATGCTTCCCATTGCCTTCTATGATCCTACAGAAAAAAATCCTTGTATATGCCAGAGTACATACTTAATAACTTAATGCTTATAATAATAAATTGTTGACCACACTTGTTGAGTCAAGATTGTATTTTCCCGGTGCATAAAGACAATTAAAAGGAATTCTGCCAACATTCAGCCCTCTTGACCAAACCAGCTTTGCCAATATCATAAAAACATCATCTTGGAAATTAATGACATTGACTAATCCATACTGCTAGCTCTACCAATAAAACTGAGGTAAATTGTGACTCACATTCTTTTTTGTCCTGAATAGAATTGCGATGACTGAGTCTGGACATAATTTTGATGAATGATTTAGGTGTTATCCTGTTGGTTCTCCTTTCAAGATATGCAGAGGCCACTTTGGGCATGACTGGATTTGTAGATATTTCTGGTATATCTAAGAACTGTTTCAGGGTTATACCACCATTTTTCCCTTCAGGATCATAACGGGAAAACCTCTTCAGCAGCTTTGGAATCTCTTTAGTAGTAACTAGGAGAAAAGAAATTACTATCTAAAAGAAATGAAATGCAGTACATGGTTCAAACCTGGGAATAAGTGGTTGAAATAAATCTTGTACTTGCGATTTCAAAACATCACCCAGAAAAAAAAGGAGATAAAAACAGACAGGCTTATTAGTTACAAGGTGTGATCTTGATATGATGCCAAATTCTTGCAATCCAATTTATAAGGAAATATATGGCATCTACTGGGGAAACTACTGAGCAGATCTTGAGAGTCAAGAGTTAAATAGTAACAACCTTCCAACAACAGCCCAATTTCCTGGAATTTATTCTGCACATTTTTGTTCACTGACAAAAATAGTTTGATTGATGTTTGATTTACAACTCCATTAAAATTATCTTTAAAATAATGTTCCTAGTTTTCCAAATTACAACAAACACTTGCATTTTGTATTAATAAAAAACTTATTCCTTAACCGTTAGGCATTACTTTGAACCCAAATCCTACCCTACTCCCATATACATACAGTTGGAATTTGATTCCAATTCTCTTATTTCTTCCTCATTGGCAATTGATGCTCCTGCTCCCTAAATAACAGCATATAAAACAAGTTTTTATTTTGAGATAAAAAACGGATCAACTTGGAAAATGAAGGTCATCAATTCATTATATTAACGTAGTACAGTATACCTAATACTAAACTGGAGTCTAAGGTTCTAAAGTAGAAGCTACAATATCTCCCAAGAAGAGCAATTTTAGAACACTTTCCTCAATTTCTACGTTTGGTGCAGTTTTAGGGTGCATAACTAGCTGAATAGAAATAGCTATTGCTATTAAGGGTAAAATTTGCAAATTTGAGTCTTCCTAACCCTAATTTTTGCACACTTTGTCAGTTGTGACTTGTCTTCTGCAAAAAAGTTATCTAGAAATTTGGAAACATTTTTTTCTTTAAAAGTCATCCTTCCACATACTGTAGCCCAACACAAGGTGTGTAGACATGATTATGATATGAATTTGTGAAATCTTCCAGAATTTCTTGTAAATTAAATCTTATTTTCTAGACTCAAAGGTATGATTCATAGCACATGGTTCCCATAAGTCGCTCAGGGTTTGCCACAGATTGAAAGTCCTATAATCATGAATGTAAAACATGTTGATAGAAGTGGTGGTGATTTATGCAAATTCAACCTCCGAACAAAGATGTCACCCAACAACTATCTTCACTTTTCCCCTTTTTCTCAAATATTTATCTTTATTTTCTGTACTCTTTCTGGATCTTAAAAATTTTTGAAAATTTACAATTTTCCTTTTGAATTGATTCAAAACCTCTGTATAAACCCCTCCTTCAATAAAATTGTCTTCCTTTTCCTAAACACAAATATTTAGACACATTAATGTCCATAACCATTGCATCAAAATTAACATGATTTTGGTAAGATTCTCAAATCAAAGTAATCCCCATTTTCCCATTCACTCCCTGAAATTTACCATCTTGAGAGCTTTTAACATTTAAGATTTTAAAGAGAATTATGCAGAATTTCTATATCAGTTTAGATCTCTGTAAAAGAAAACTTTGAAAGGAAGACTTACAAGCAAAAGCAATTTTAATAAACCCATGAAAATTATCACATTGGATAAGGAAACATGAAAGCCTTTCAGTAACTCTATACTAAACATTTCTGATAAAGATGTGTTTTTACGCTAAACAAGAAATTATTTTAAAATATCAGCTGCATAAGAGATAGTGTAAGTTGAAAGCTTAATTAGAAATGGCATATAATGAGTTGTTTCAAAGATAAAAGTCAGCTCTCTTGTATTAAAAAAAGTAAAACCCTATATAATAACTTCCAATGAGAAACCACGAAGTTAATGTAACTTTCAAAATACCACATATGGGGTGCATTAGATGGTATAATGATCAACAATAAAAAACTTGTTATGGAAGGAAATAATGTTTTTACTGATAATGAAATCTAGCATTTCCTGGTTAAGATGATAAATTGCTGGAAAAAGGATAATTGAGATTTCAAACTTCCTCCTTGCAAAACAAAAATATTTCTTGTTGAAAAACTTTTCAATAAAATTGAGCGATTCAGATTTTTCTCACACCTTAAGACTGTCCTAATAAAAAATTCCCAGCAACCCTAAATGGTCTTGAAATCTCAATTTTTGTATAAGACAAAGAGGAAATTTAAGGTGGACAAATATATTGACAGGACAACACATAAATGGGTCCATTAGTTGCCATGAAAACCTTACTGGTTAAGAAACATTATGGGGAAATCTCATTCATGCTTTACAAAGGCAAAATGAAATGCAGCAAAATATTGACCATCAGATTTAAGATAGAGTGACAAAGATCAAACGAAATAGGAAATTTTTCCTTTGCCTGGAAAAAAGTAAACTTCCTTCCCTGGACACAATTTTTAATAATAACATCATTCACTGTTGACAGCTTCATTATTTTCCCTATCTACTTATGTTTGATTTAGACTTTTAAACATCTATTTTTATTCAGATTTTTTCCTGTACTCCTTAAATAAAGCAAAAGCAGTAGCGACAAGGATCCACTTTAAATTTGTCAGCCTGTCAGTGTTGCCTTTCCCATTACTATCCAGCTGAACAAACTGGTCAATATTTTTAATTAAAAAGGAAGACAATTTCCAAGTTATCTGGCCATGAAGTCGGTGACGGTTTTTGATTTATTTATCCAGGCAGATCTTTCAGAGCTTTAAGCACAGGAAAGAAAGTGCTTACCGTCATCAACTGAAAGTGTGCCGAGAGGTAATAACAAAGGTTCCGCCATAAAAGAGTGCTTTATGTAGCTTTATGAGAAGAAATATCTCAGGAGAATCACCTGTTAGTTCTTTGTTCAAATAGTCCATTAACTTGTAGCATTAGCGGCCTGTGGACGTAATGATTCTCTCTCCACACACAGAGAAGATTAAATTTCTTGCGCTTTTATCTACTTTTAAATAATAAACAAAGACTTCAATTTTCGCGCCGTCGATGGATCTTTCGTAAGTAAGAGAAAATCTGCCAGGTTTTGTGCCTATTGCTATTTTTTAATTCCTTAGCGTTCTCACACCTTTAGCTAATCTAAAAACAATACAAGTCTCACTTCTTACCATTACTGAATAGGCCAGAAGGTCTCCTTTCCTCGAAGGTTACAGAACATGGCTGAATATCTGAATTTGTAATTCGTCACGCACTGGGGGATAGAGTGGAAAATTGTCATAGTCGTAATAACGCCCAACCACCCTTCCCTCTGTGAAAAAAGTTACAAACTTTGGAGGTAATAATATTTTGCAACAGTAATACATTGATGTATTACGTATTTTGACTAAAATGACCAATACTACGAGAATTAAATGCTTATCTAAAAGGCAAAACTCTCGCAAACCTTGAAACGTACAACTGAACGTTTTTTTTGCCAGCTCACGTCTTAGAAAGAGTGGCTAGGGCAACTGAAAAAAGGCTTTACGGAATACAAGATAAAGACTCATTTACATTTTGAAAATAGAGTTATCCAAAACAAAGAGAACAGGATTTAAATTGTTTTGCGTGACCATGTGGCTTCGCAAAACGTGTGCTTTGCTTTTATATTTACAATCGTTTAGGTTTTTCAGCACTACACATGTCAGAGCAGTGAAATTTGCATTAGTTTTGTTGACTGAGGGGTGCAAATTTGCGTTTCAGTTGTGCTAAGTTAGACTATTGGACCTTCCGTGGCACGAGTGTCGCGGCTTCTTGAAGCACGTTACACGTTGTAGAAGCCCTTTGACGGTGAAAACAATAAATTTGTTAGATAGCCGAAGTGATTGGCCGAGTGCGCTTCGGAGGTGTGAAAATCTCCCAGCTTCGGACAACACCCGCGGCACGTCTAGACTATTTTAGTACTGCCCTACACAAACATTTTGCCAAAGATTTCACGCGTTCCTGTACTCCAGCGACTTTGCAAAGATCGAAGGCAGCCTGTCGTGCACTGCACCATTTCGTGACATCAGGTGAGTACACGTAACCCATGTGAATACTACTGAACGCTTGTCAAACATGTTCGGCTGGAAAGGCGCATATTCATTTTATTAGTACTTCTCTTATCTTGTTCACGGGCGAGCGCAATTTCGACGAAGAAATTGCAGATTTTCCCCATAATCTTTGCCTAGATAAGAGAAAACCTACGCGTTTCATCTCGGTTACCGATAATACCTGAATACTGGTAACTTACCAGACTAGGAGTTGCACAATTTCGTCATTGAGTGATTTCGTGACTCCAAGTTGGCTCATTAATTCTCGAAATTGAAATAACATGGGTCCTTTCTTCTTTCAACTGACAGGAAAAGCACCGGAAAATTTAAGAAAAACCCGACTAATATAAGTGGATCTTTTATACTGAACACAACATGAAGTAAGTACTTTGTGTCACAAATTTGTAAATTAAGCGGGTGAACAACCAAGTAAGCGAAATACCAAGGAATTGGGATTCGTGAGGTTTGCAATGCAAAGAAGGAATTTTGCAAAGTACTATTTCAACAGTCACTGTCATGTTAAGCTATAGTGAGAGAAAAAAGGCACGAACGAAAATTACGCGACAGTTCTTTAGGCTGGATAAATCTTTATTTCCCTATGAAAGAACATCACTCTTTCTGCTATCGATTTGGCATGTTCAGTCGGTGAATTGTAGACGAATCACAAAACCAATTACTTTACATCTAAATCAATGAATCTATGGCCATTTGCACATAGACATCAAGCCCATGTTCGTGCTAGCAACATGTTTCCCATTCGCCACGTGTCATAAACGGATTTTTTTTTCTTTTCTGGTCATTGCAGCAAAATTTGGCGGCCATGGCTCGAAACACCCGAAGACCATCAAAGAAAACAGCGTCAAGTACGATTCACGGTGAGTTGATGGATAGCTTTCTAAAGAAAGATTGACTGAGATTTCTACAGCTCAAACGAGAATAATCAGAAACGAATTTTCAGTGAAACTTTGACTACAATCAAAGGCCTAATAAAGTATTTCACAAGATTCTTTTCACTCTTGGAAACCATTAAGTTGTAAAGCAAAGTGTGGTTTTCTTTTAACGCAGGAAACCTTTCGGCTCTTTTGCTTATCCGGTTTTTTGTTTTCCATCAATTTTGGAATGAAAAGGAAGGAAGTTTGAAGGGAATTATATAAATCATCGCGCTTTATTTTAATTTCTCATAAATCAACTACTCGCTGTGGGTACTTTGCTGAACTGTTTCTCTTAAAATTTGCACGACTCTTTGACGGAAAAACGCTGATTTTTTTCTGATCGTTTTCCTACTCTGTTCCTAAAAGAAAAAAAATTAATGAAATTACGCTTATTATGCATAAAAATAAAGTTATTCTTTTTATTAACTGAAAAAAAAATTCTTAATAGAGGAACCTTGTTTTTAATATATCTTCGATCTTCGAATGATGGGAACAGTAAAAGGATTCGAAATCATGAAAACGCGATGAAAGAAAAATCTCCAGGAAAGCGTCTATTTAAAGGGTTAATACCCTGTCGTTTCACCATGAAACAGAAACATCCCTTTTGAACTGAGCCCTTAAACACATTGAATCTGATAAAGATATGGCTCTTTATATCGATAGAATTTTGTGAGGGAGTGTGCAAGCAATATCGGTGACCAGCTTCTTGCGGGTGGGACCAATTGATACGACTAGAATCTATTTTATGTCGGTGGGATGTATCTTTTTGCCATTTATTTATTTTTTTCCGGCAACACACTATTGCCACTCATTTGTCCCAAGTTAAGTTATTGGGATACCCTTTGAAGAAGCTTTCCATCTTTTAAGTTTCTCAGCGGGCTTGACTCGTCCTAATTTACAGGTCTGTCAAAGCGGTTGCAAGTACCCGCGTGCAAGTACCCGCGCGATATCGAATTGTCGATTGACCTTCGTCTAAACAAATCTTTCCATACCTGACATCTGCTATTCATTTTTTTGAGTAGCTTTCAAATTGTCATTCGGTTACCTGTACTGAATCTGTTAGTTTGCGCTAGATTACTTATATATAAAACAGGAAAACGATTTTAAGCTGTTTGTCTGTTAAAGATGCGCCGTAACTCGGTTACTGCGGTACACGCAGCGCGCTATAGAACGTTTAGACGCAGTGTTCAAGTAATAAATTGACCATGTTCTAATTTTTGATTATTCAGATTCTAAAAACACTAACCGAGTTAATGTTATGGTGGGGTTGTGAATAAATATACATCAATTTAGGGACATAAATTGAAAAACAACGTTTTTTCCACGATAAGTATTCTTTTTTAATGTGATAAACAGAATTAGACCGTGAAGGAAAGAGGCACTTTAAGTCTTTGCCGATGTTTATCAAACCCGCCGTAAATGGACAATGAACAACCTTAACCCTGATATGAAAACTCGTTCCGTCCGGTCAACATACTTAAAAAAAAAATTAATCGTTCCTCTACCTCGTTAAATTTATCACAGTGTACCTACTAAAACCTTAAACGAGCAAGCAAGCGAAAGCTCTGTAGGCAGAATAAGTCAACGGGCTTCTCAGACTGCATTTAAGCAATTCACTTCTGCAGGTTTTCAAAAGAAAAAAAATCACTTTAATTTTTTACCGTTGCCTGGCCGGGGTGTTTTAAGCTTTTTTCTGTATCGTAACTGATGGTTGAAAGGCAAGATACAGTACTACAATAAAGTCTTGCCCGCCATTTCTGCGCGAGGTGGTTAACTTGAGTAGTAGAATTCAGTTCCAAATTTAACGTCGTTACTTTATTTACAACCGAAGGCAAAACCAGTTTCGGTCAATAACCGGTTACAACCTTTGTTTTACTGGAGTTCCCTGGTATCAGAGTAGTCTACTTCAGCTTTATAACAGAACTAGAAATTTTGCTTTTGAAATTAGCCATGAATCCTCAATCGATGTCCAAGACTCAGGATTGGAACATTAAAAAAGTTGCTACTTCAGCATAGATATCTATGTGGGTACTAGGGGTTTGAAAAATTATTTCGAATATGAAGAGATAAACTCGTTACTAATCTTTGACTAAGAAGTCAAATTGTGGTTTCGATGAACTTCCTTTGGATTTTAATTTTTAGATGTAAAACTACTTGAAACAAGTATGCGGTTGTAAGCTACTTCCGTCGTTACACGATAGAAAGGAAAATTATTTTTGCATCCACAACTTTTGAAGGGGTTTTTAGTTATGAGCTTTTGCGAAGCAAACGCATAATTTCTTATCCGCTTTCGGGACAGAAGTCAATGATTTATTTAGTATAGAACAACAAAGACAACAACAACATTAAGAAGACAGATTTCAGCTCTGAAAGAGTTTCCATTTTCGAGATTTTAATTGTTAAAAACCTGTTAGATTCCATTGATGCTTTCGGGACTTCAAATGCGGTAATGAGACAGAAATCACTGATTTTTTTAAGTGTGGTGCAGTAACAACAACAGCAACGACATTAATTTAGAAGACCACGATTTCAACTCTGTACTCGTGAATCGTAGACACTGCACAAAATGGTTGATCGAGGACTAGATGGTGCTGTAAGAATTTCACGAACAACACATTAATTATTGTTACTTACTCGTTGTAATATTCTATTTTTTATTCCGAAATAGCCCTATGGATCGCCAAGTACAACAGGGAATGTACAGCAACAACCACAATTTAAACATCCAGTCAGGTAAGCCACCAGTAATAACATATCTTCGAAATGGTAATTGGCACAGTGATTTTCCGAAAAGAAAGGGAGAACTTATTTACGCCAATTTTTCGAGCATCTACGTTCATGTATTTGACTTGATTCAAGATAATTAAAAACGAACTGGCCAGCGAAAGGAAGAAGAACGTTCCGGCCCTTTCCGTTCATCCTATTGTTTACACAGGGACGCGCCGTTGCTGTTTTTCTTTTCCACTTAAAAGACAAAGAAAAACCAAACAAGGAAGTCTTCTTTGAGTGAATCATTCATATTTTACTTAACCGTGGTTCTAGGGGTCCCCTCTTCTCTATTTATAAATCAAATACAGAAGAAACTGCGTAAAGAAACACATAGAAGAAAGTGAAAACGTCATGGAAAGCGGTACTTTAATGTTCCTGGCGCTTACGCTTTAAGGATCAACTATCGGAAAGTGACTTTCAAGTGTGTACCGCAAAGAAGTTTGTGGTTGACCAACGCAATAAGTGCCTTGACCTCAGAGTCAGACAAAGATTGAAATGAAATTGATAGCATTTCTATTTTAATGACTTTTTTCGAAGACTTTACCGGTAGAGTAATCCTCATGAATACAAAGATGCTTGCACTTACCATGCATTATTTATAGTCAACTGAGTAAATTTCACGGTCATTACCAAAGTAAAACTTGTCCAGATTCAGGGGTTATTTTGTTGGAATGGACTTTTTCGTTTTGCCAACTTATTTGGCGAAGCTTATTCTTGACACTATAGCAATGAAAATCGAGACACACCAAATTCCAAAATCAGTTGATGCGGTTAAAACGGGTATTTTGAAGCAGAATGCGTAACTAAGGCGCTGGCAGCAATAGGAAAAGGCTTGACCAAAAAAATAAAACAGGATGAAAGGCAAGGCGCCACGCTAACAGTCATAAATGTATTTTAGGCTAGGTTCCCCTGGAAACTCAACGAAGTGCTGAAGACATTCTGAACTGAATCATGGCTATGTTAGGTCTGATCTTCGTTTTTATGAGGGGGGGGAAGGGGGAAAGAAGAGGGGAGTATGAGTTAATTTCCCGAGAAACGACTGGTTATTGAAACCACTATTCCATCCCCTTCCCCGTCCGAAAGCGATGAAGGGGGGGTTGACGGTAGGGGTGGTAGTCGAGTGGGGGAGGGAGTAGCAATACTACTGGAGAAGAAGATCGTGTTACAGAAACCAGGGAACATGACAGCTGTAGTAATTGTGGATTTTCATGCATTCATTTTTACTATCTTCACCCTTTTTAAAGGTTACTCTGGACGAAAGCCGCATATGATTACATGTACGCATCAGGAGAAACCTTACTTCGGAATTTTCCCGTTCAAGCGACCATCCAAGTCGTAGATAGTAGTGATAGTAGCGATGACGAGGACGATGAAGATATCGACGAATGCGATGAAAAAGAAAGTGAAAAGAAAGTAAAGCAGTAGCCAATTATTTAAAAAGTAACTATTTTGTACAAAAGTAAATAAGTCCTGCAAAGGAGATATATATATATATATGTGCCACCATACCGAAATTACTTTGGTAAATTAGAGGTGCTTTGAGCTCCAAAGTGAGACAGATTGGGTTAGAAATTTTTGGGGTGATTCCTCGGAAAAAAAAAAAGTTATCGAACAATTTTTTAAAACTTTCCTTATATGTTCCCCACCAATGTCTGTTTCGAAAAATACAAGTTAAAAGATAGGTCACCGTGCTTGTTTGAGAGATATAATGAGCCGAAGTTACCCCGCGTATGCCTGTTTTGGCACTAATCACGTGGGTCATTTGATCGGTTTACGGTACATTTTGAGGTAGCTGGAAGCAAGGGTCTTTAAAGCAACACTTAAAAAAAACTTGATAGGTAGAAAGTCTCGAGCGTATGGAACAATATGATACATAATTTGTGAAAAAATCATGCAATTTTATACAACAGCGACTTAAAACGTTCCTCGAATCGTTCCTTTCTAAGTAATATTTTGCATCATCAAGTAACGAGCTTTGTGCACGCTTTTAGCCATATTTTTTTCCCTTTCGCTGAATTTTTCTTTAACTTGTTTAATTTAAAGGGATAAATTTGCACACCAAATTTATGCAATAAAAAAATATAAGTCACCGTGCTCGTTCACGAGCTAAAGACCATCGTACCTCTTTACCCAGTCTATTTATTGAAAAACAGAGCCATGTTCTCGGAATGTGCGCTTGCTTATTCGCCTGATTACGAACAGGATGCGCAGTGAAATGTTGAGGAATCACCTAAAGTTATCAGCAAACGCATCTAATAAAGCACTTTTTGATTGTGTCTTGTAAAACCAAAACCAAAGAAATCACTGGGCCAATCAGGACGAAGGGTGACGATAGCCAATGAGAAGTCAAAGTAAGAAACATGAAAACGGCTCACAGCGCGGGAAAACCCTATTGACAAAGTGTCTTGGATTTTTCACTCAATCGAAAATTGTTCCATCGCGCAAAAAACTCGCAATAAGCGACTGTAATGATGGTAAGAAACGAAAAGTCCTCATGGACGTAATTGCACCCTCTAAATTAGCTTTTGAGGTTTTTTTTACATTAAGTTTATTAAATGTATCAAGACGCTTTCATCGCCAAAGTAGTTTACCTTGTTCACTTTTGTAAATACAGAAAGATATATGCAATTCTAAAAACGTCCTAGCTGAATTGAGCAAAAAGTCTAAGTAGTATCTATCATTGTATTATAGTCGCTTTACTCATAAATTGCTCTTTAAAGAAGATCATATTTCCAAATTTTTAGGCTTTTGAAGAAACCTGTAACATCGATCAGAATAAGGATATCCATTTGATAATTAATTCTACCGGTAAACCATTGTAACTCGTTGTATAAGATCATCTTGTACAAGCAAAGTTTATTTCCTGTAGCTTTTATTCATACGAGTCTCTGGCATAAAAGTAGCACTCTATCCTGATCTATACTTCAGAGAAGTAACTTTGGTGATAAGTAAGAACCACAAAATGGTTCCTGTGTAAATAACACCATCGATATGCATATATCATACAAGCTGTGCTTGCACCTTTGTATATGTTTAAGTTGATATACTAGATATTTTATGGATGAATTGTGATAATAAATAAACGCTATTGAAATGGACTGCTCATGGTTTTGAAGTATTGAAAGTGTTGTGAAACAACTACCTACTTGTATTATTCCAAACTGGATTAGTTTTTACAAAACCTATATTCCGTTCACACCAGCAAAACACGTTTAGTTAAACCAGGTTTAGCTGAATGAAAATCAAAAACAGGGAATTGAAAAACTGAATTTTCCATTGGTTTCAAGTAGTCACTAACTTTTTATTTTAAATGTGCTAAATTTTAGCTCGACAAACATCGGTTTACGCAGCCTCTATAAAGAAAACAATATTCAGCCATGTTAAACAAAAAGCTGTAAGACATGTTTTGGTGTGAATGGGGTGCTAGTCTAGAAGTCATAGCGATGAATTTTAAGCTATTAAAATACCTTAAGTAAAACTAAAATGACTGTCCTTACCGCCTTTTTTTCCTTCAATAAGTCGCTTCTAATTTTATTTGACGTAGATTTACAAGACGAGATCGAAAACTTCACACTACTAAACGGCGGAGCTACGGTAGACTAAGATCAGTCCCTGTCTTTCCGCGAAATGCGTCGCGCGATTGAAAAAAAAATTAGCTAACATCAAATTTTTATTGTTTCGCTTATTTTTATGACTCGTGCGGCACACTTCGATGAAAAAGAGGGACTACTCCCTAATCTAAGCTACAGTGTCACTCTTGCTGCATCTTGAAACCTGATCAACTTGATAAATTCAAGTTGATCGCTTGCATTCCACTGTCATTCTTCCCATCCTTGGCAATCCTTGTACCTTTCGGGAATATTATAATCTCTTGACACTTTTCTACTCTAGCAAACCATTTTTCATAAATTGTTTCACTATTTCAATCTTTTTAAAGCCAATTCACCATAAAGCTCGAATGACTAAGCGAAGAAACTCCTCTGGGATTCTTCTGTTATCTCAAACATCGAGCGCTTTTCCGGCCAGTGTGGCAAATCACAAACCAATGTCAACAAAACGATCGATAAAGACAAACGAAAATATCACAAGAATCCTGTGAGAACTCGAAGAATAAACAAGCTATCTGCTGGAAGGGCGGGAAAACGCAAGTAACAAAGTCGCAATTGACTTAATTTTAACATCTGATTAGTTATAAGTTGATAACGTAAATTGGCCACCGTAAAGAGTTTTAAAGCTGACGTTTCTAGCGTTAGCCCTTCGTAATTCGCCAACGCTCGAAACGTCAGCTTTAAAATTCTTTATAGTTGCCAATTTCCGTTATCAACTCAGTTGATAATACTGAATTACCCTGTTATACTCTCTTACCGACACAGCACCACAGCTTCTTTAGAAACTTACCCCCTTAATTCAATCCCTGATTGGTTTCGACATTCGATTGAAAATTGCTCTCAAATACATCTCAATAAAAATCTTATCGCAGTTACATCAATAAATAGCATTTTAAAGACAGTGTTAATACCTTGTCGAGTTAACACATCAAACTTCATGATTCCATGGTCTTGCCTATGCTTTCTTTTTAACCCTCTAACTCCCGTGAGTGACCAAGACGGAATTTCTCCCTACTATGACTATACAATATCAACCAGATAAGTGATGAGAAAAAAGAAAAATATTAATTTGGGGATAATTAGTTAATCCAATACTAAATTCTCTGAACTAACATTGTAAGAATTGTATGGTTGACAGTAAGGAGAATTAAAAATTTGATCAGGGAGTTCATGGGTTAAAAGCCTACTATCACCTAGGAAATTTCAACTCCTACTTTAAATAACGTGAAAAGCACGTTGAGCGTCTTCTTACTGTAATTTGTTTTCCATGTGTTGTAATTTCCCAGAGCGATTCATCTCAGTCTTTGATCTCCCAGAGCTAAGTTCAGATATTCAATTGTGATCCATTTTGGGAAAAATCTCGGAGAAATAGGACCAAAAATATGCAACTTTGTACAAAATTATTCTTTCCAAACAATCATTCATTCCTTTCATTGAGACTGTCATAACCTTTCCACGCACATAGCAATTCCCATCCCGCCACCAATACACAAGGCAGCCACGCCTCTTCTTGCTCCTGTTCTTTTTAAGCCATGTAACAATGTCACAAGAATTCTACATCCTGATGCACCTATTGGATGGCCAAGAGCTATAGCACCGCCGCTGATATTTACCTGTCAAGAATAAGTCAGAACTTTAACCACTGGTCAAACAGTCGCAGTTTGGATAAGGGGGGGGGGGGTTTGCAAATGTTGTGACCTCCCTATTTGTCAAGAGGAAGAACCAGATCAAGATCAGCATCTGAGAAATTGCACACCTACCCCTCCCCTAACCCAATAAGAGTCAACTGATATCGAGTTAGGATTTATGTTGGGTTAGGGGAGGGGTAGGTACACAGTTGTTCAGATGCTGACATTGATCCGAATAATCAACTCATAAATATCAAACAACCAAGTTTGCCCCCCAAATGTTAGTAAGATGACATTGTAGTAACTTGAAAAAAATAATCCTTTTCATACCCAGTATAAGCCTGACACTTAGACTGCTTACAGTAGCTCCCTCAAAAAATTGAAGTTGATCACCTTGGAATGTCTTACTATCATGCTACCCAAGTATTTCCCAAGTAATGTTTCTCATCACCTGTAGAGCTCTGGGTTTTGAGTACTCTATAGAAACAGCAATCAAGCTGGAAAAAAGAGAGGGGTAGCACTTTTTTCCGTTGGGAAAACCCCGATTTCTAGTAGATTACGGTATGGGAGGATAAATGAATGAAATGATGAATGACCAAGGAAATCAACAATCAATTATGCCCTGAAATTAATGGCACAAGGAAAAAGTTAATCAGACGCAACTACACAACATGAACCTGTACAATGTTTTCATAATTAATATCAATGTCAAAGAATTTGAAAGGTCATTTGGTACCTTTTTTGAATCAAGCCCTAAATCTTTCACAACAGCACAAGACTGTGCTGCAAATGCTTCATTCAGCTCAAACAAGTCAACATCTTCAAGTTTCCATCCTGCCTTTTGAACCTATGGAAGACAAAACAAAGGAAATGTTTCTTTTTTATAAACATTCATCTTCATTTAAATTGTTTTTAAAAAGTAATGCAGCTGTAATCCTCTTACTGGTAGGGAGGATGGGAAAGAAAAGTTCTTTACCTTAAGTTTTTTACCTCTGTTCTCACTCTAGGTAATGTTTTTTTGCTTTGCTTTGTTTTGTTTGCTTTATCTTTTCTCCAAAACTTACATCTCTCCTCATCTTTAATACCATACACAACACTTCTTTTTTGCTTTCCAGATGATTTCCCAACCATAGTGCTCCTCATTCCTTCACCTTTTGCCCCCCTTCAGTACAACTAAAGGTCCAAAGCATAAATGAACATTTTTAATCATCCTCTGATTTCATGTTAACAAAACATCCTTTCCTTTCTTTCACATCATAAAAACAATGCAACCCACTGAAAGACTGATCAATCCATCAATCAAGCAAGTGAGCAATCAATAAACCAATCAAGCCGTCAGTCAATTAGTCAATTGGCTAAACAATCAATTATCCATGTGCTTAATAGATGGTTGTCTAGTCAGCCAGTGAGTCACTTACTGAGCCAGACTGTCACAAAAACATAGTTTCCTTACAGCTTTTCTTGTTGCTGGAATTGGTCCTGTGCCCATCACTGCAGGTTCAACACCAGCCTGACCCCATGAAACTATACGAGCCAAAGGGACCACACCTCTCCTGGCAGCCTCGGCATATGACATTAGCACAACTGCAGCAGAACCATCATTGATGCCAGAGGAATTTCCAGCTGTAACTGAACCAGTCCCATCTTGAAGAAAACATGGTTTGAGACGAGAAAGACCTTCCATAGAAGTGCCATGACGTGGAAACTCATCCTCTGTAACATTGATTGTCCCTAACAAAAGAAATGAAAAAAAAAGTTTAAATTAGAATAAACCTCTGGTTTTCATGGATTCTGCTATTATGACTACCATTGTTGGTGATAAGAACAAATGAATGCAAACTTACAGGGCTGGTGTATTTGAAAGTACATTTACACTAATAGTAAATGAAATATAAAGAGACTATTATTTTGTTGTCATGGCGGTTAATTCACCTAAGCACTAACCATACTTGGCCTAAAATAAAGTATATAACTTCTGCATTATAGCAAAACATAAATACTTTCATACTTTACTCTGACAGTGCTTGGGAAATTGACAGTTTTATGAGACTTGGTGTCCAGGGAAGCTTGACAAAATATTGGAGGTAACTGGAATTATAACCAAGTCACCCACAGACTAACTTGTCCATGCCAACTCACCCACTCTTAAAATTACTTTTCCATAGCCCTTTTATTAGCATTCCTCATTGCAAAGGTCCTTCTCAAATCCAATCATTAATCCGTAATTCATATCTATGATTTTCATTTATTCACAGATATTAACAAAATGGAGTGTTCAAACACTTAGATGATGAGATCCAAATCCCAGAACAATTGCTTTGATTCTTTGGCTTAAAATATAACACAACCTGTACAACAACAAGGAAATGTAAGATCTAAATAAAATAAAAGCTTTCCTACTGGAAAAATCCACAATTCTGTCCATAACATCGAAGTATTCGTATGTTACCATATGCTGGTTGTTGAACACTTTGGTTTGTATCTTAATGGTATAAAGTCAATGAAATGTTGTTGAAACTTCAATTATTTCATCATCAATACATAAAACATCAGACTTCAACTTAAAACAAGACTAATTCTGTAATGAGCTTGGCTTATTTGAGTGATTTCATGCGAGTTGGCATGGGCAAATTGGTCTGTGGGCGAGTTGGTCGGATACCTTGCACTGGAGGGGCCACATACATAGCTTGGGGGAAGACTTCACCTTTAAAAGGGAAGGCTAAATAACACAATACTAACAAATTTAACATAACTCCATTTACCTTTTCTTGTTTTCACAGTAACATTAATAATCTCTTCTTTAAAATGCCCTTCATTTTGAGCACTCTCAGCTCGGTTTTGAGAAACAACTGCAAACTGATCTTGTTCTTTTCTTGTAACTTGCCACTGTTTTGCAACATTTTCAGCTACAACAAAAGTAAGAATGCACTTTGTTACTTATTTTGATATATTCTATTTTCACTAACATTGTACTATGTTGACCTCTAAATTGATGACAAACACAAAAAGCAAAATAACCAGTTTATTTAATGATGAAAAGAAAGAATTGATAACAAAGCTCAAGAGTGAGAAGTATTCATGTCTCATATTCTCACTTCATCATCCCTTCAGTATAAATTTTGAAATTTAACATACAAAGCTGCAGCAATCACAGATGTTATGAGTATTCTCAAAGCTGAATCAGCAAGTGATTCAGAGCCTTTGGCCAGGTTGTGTAGCGGCTATCATTGAGAGCAGCTCATTGTTCTTGTTGCAAGTGGTAAAGCAAAGGAAATGATTGGTGAAGCTCTCACCCAGGATTAAGTTAAGAAGCTTACTGAACAAGATGTTGAGAAGCACTTCAAGAGATATGAAACTTCATTGTCTTCAAAGACTTGCGATGCAATAGTTTATACATTCCTTCAGCTCTTATGTAAAGTATTGGCTCATTTTGTCCTTGTTGATGAAAGAAAACTTCTGAAGGACTTGAGCAATAACTTCATGGTAAAGAGAGAATTTGGAATGATTCCTGGTGGATTGAGTCTGAAGTACAGAAAGTACATGGCAATCACAAGTGCTGCTCTTCTCACAGCCAAAAATGTTGAAGTACCCTTGGTCAATGATAAGGAAATAGATAGTATTTATGAAGAAACTGATTAACTTCTTAATAAGAACTTACAAATTATATATCAACAAGTAAAATGAATGATAAAGAACTTAAGACTGAAGAAGCACCAGCCAGCCTTCTGCCAGGGCCTGCAGGGGCAAGCCTTCAGTCAGGCTTCATACAGGTGACTTCAACTGATAAAAATAAGATGAAACCAAATAAGGACCCAGAGCATGTTGCAGCTGGCAAAAAACTTGCTGAACACAATGGAAGAGTTCGAGAGGAAAAGGAGAAGAAAGGAGGTTCAAAGGATCCAAGCCCCAAGGGTGGGCCGTGGAGTGGCAAGATTACAACCACAACCAGAACCATCATCATCTTTCTCACTCACTCAAATTCTTTTAGTAGCAAGTGTCATTCTTTCACTGGCTGGACTGTAATATAAAGAAAAGAGTTGATGGCCCTTGTTAATAAAGCAAAACCACAGGCTTTAGCACAGCAAGGTGACATGCAGCAAAACACACAAACACAGATTGCTTCTTCAAGGCCCAGCCAAAAGCTTGCCTCTTCAAGGCTTATTGCTACTTGGTAAGAGAATTGTTCAAGAGAATTGTTCAAGAGAATCATTCCAGATTATAATAGTCACACCCTCTTTAAAACTCATGAGTGAGACATGGTGAATACTATTCACTTATATCTACATACTACCCAGGAAACAGGTAAAGAGAATACTCAAACTTATCAGATAGAAGTTGTTATCTTGATCTAACATCAAGATTGGAGAACTAACAATCAAATTTTGAGAGTTAAAGAGTTAAAGGAAAATGGACTTTGGTTTGAGAAGTCTGGATTTGAGTCCTGGCTAAGGTTTTAATGTTGTGCTTGAGACCTGTGGCCAGATACTTAATCTTCACAGCACCTAACAATGCCTTGAAGTATAAATGGGTAACAGCAAATTGTCAAAAAAATTAACGATTAATTGCTGATGTACTAGAGTGAAGTTGACACTCCTTACTTCATGCTGCTGAAGCTATGGTAAATATTATACCCTCAAGACAAATATACCATAAGATGTGATTTGAAATCAACTGAATCATGAGATAATGTAACTTTGTGCAGCATCAAAACCCCTTGTACCTGTTATTCCCATGTGGTAGCCATGAAAGGCATCAATAAGTCCATCAAGCATCATTGTATCCACAAGTTTAGTGTCACCCATCTTCATTGGTGACCTTATGTTACAACAATGAGGGGCCTGTAAAAATCAAAATACCTGAATTACTTATAATAATCATCACCTGACACAAAACATATTCCCCTTACTTTACTCACACTTTATAAGTAATCAATGACAACTGACAGATACCCACCTCCCCCCAAGACAAACAACACACTGCAAAACTGACCAATAAGCTCAGTTTACTAATAAGACTCATAAAATTGGACTGACAAACAACTTTCCACTGGACCTTCATGACAACTTCTGGTAAGGTTATAGAAATTTTAATCACTGCCACCGACAACATTCTTTTACAGGACTTTTTAACCCTTTCACTCCTAAGATCTCACTAGCAATTCTCCTTACTGTCTGCTACACAATTCTTTCAAAGTCAGATCTTATAATTTTGTATTGGATCAAATAACAATTAATCCCCTAATTTATATATTTTGTTCGGTATTCTCTTTTTATTGCTTAAAATTGTATCAATAATATAGGAAGAAATTTTATCTTGGTCACTCATGGAAGTTTAAGGGTTAATCCAAGGCCCATATAGTTTCATTTGAATCAGTCCAACTTTATACTGAAGAGATAAAATTTTGAAACAAATCAATAATATCAACCTACAAGAATCAACTGAAGGGTGACTTATTGAAGCAAATAATGATGTCAACATATGAAACCATATTTGATTTTTTTCTGTCAAAGAAAGGTTTGATGGGAATTAAATATATGAATCCTTTAGAAGGTCAAGTGAAAGCAGACAAGCATGTTGTTTGTATATGGAAAAAAATCCCAGCATTTGAGGTTAGAGAATCACAACTAGACAAATCAAATTGCATGCTATATAATATATTGAATTCTTTTTCTCACTCATAATGTGTGTGTGAAACCTTTAACCCTTTAGCCCCTAGGAGTGACTAGCATCTAATTTCTCCTTACTATATCACCCCTGAATCAAACATGAAGTCACGAGTATAGAAGAGATGAACACCAACTAAAGCAGCTCTTGACTGTTAAACAAATTCTCCTTGTCAGCCTCTTTGGAAATGTTTGAAGGACAGTATGGAGAATATGCATACTGATGTTAGGATGTAAAGGGTTAAGCATTTTTTAGGGGTTTATTGAGGTCAAAACCCCACCTGGCTCATACTTTCCTGACCCCCAGCAACAACAACAGCTGACTTGTCAGTTATAACAGCTTGGTATCCCAAAGCAACAGCCTTTAAACCAGATCCACACAACATGTTCACACCATATGCTGGAACAGATGATGGGATACCAGCATTCATTGCTGCTTGTCGTGCTGGACCTTGGCCTTGCCCTGCATGAGGTAACCCACAACAGAGTAAAAGATTGACCATCTCCATTAAAAAAGGTGCTTTTCACATTTGACAAAATCTGTGACAAGTAAGGATATGTTGAAATTATGTTCAGAAATTTTCAGTTGCAACCCTTCCAGAGCCTCTATTGTTGAAATTACAAAAACCAGCCAGAGTAAAATAGTAGAAGACAACTATTAAAATCTTTCTTTTGCTCTCTGACAGCAAAATTAAATTAGTAAATGTTACTTTGTGATTCATGTACCAACAAATGTAACACACCTGTGTGTCAATTTTTGACAAGTAATATTTGATTCAATAAATACAGTTTCAATTGGATTAAATTTTTTGATCATTTACAAAATAAATTTTAATGTTTTGCCAAATAATCAATCAATAACTCTGTTCATCATTTGAAATTTTAAGCAAACTTTTGTCTGACAGTCATCTTTTTTTTAAAACTGAGAGTCCTATAGCCCATCTTACCCCACCCTGACCCTTTTTTATTTTATTATTTTTTATTTTTATTTTATTTACAAGTTCTTCTCGTAACCCTCCCCCCCCACCTATTTCCTGAGCGCCTGGTTGGGGGTGGTGGGGTGGAGTGGGTAATTTGCAAATCTGAACGAACATATAATGGACAAAGTTACATCCTCCAAGCCACAAAAGAACTGCAATTTGATAAATAAGAGATTATATCTTCAATACACACCAGCAGTGCAAACCTGTCCCATAATCACCTCAGCCACGTCGGCTGGGGAGATCTTAACGTGCGCCAAAACTTCTCGAATGACCAAGGCGCCAAGTTCATGCGCTTTAAGAGAGCTAATACAACCATTTAAGTTTCCTATTGGCGTTCTTCCGGCTGCAACAATTACAACATCCGAATCATTGTATCCCAAACTAGCCGCCATTTCCGAAAGTCGAGGAAAGTGATCAAGTGACACGTGAAAACTCCTGGCATCTAGTTGGCACTTTTTGTTTCGAATGACACGACATATTTTTTTGTAATGAACTATCCACTGATTGATTCTACTGCAGGCTCAACTTTCAAACTCAAGGAACATTTGGAATATGGCGTCACAAGTCGTTGTAGAAGTAAGTCGATAGCCATACCTTTTAAATCGACTATTTCTCCCTGCATTTAAATTAATTTGTGATTAACCGATCCCTTGATTTAAAGGAAAAGATCTGAACGGAGTTTTGTACTTTTCCTGTAGAGTGAGGGTTCTAGATCAACTGCGATGGAAGGCGAAACTAGTGCAAGCAAGAGTTCTGTCTTAGATGAAAACAATGAATTAGAGGCTGGTCCTTCATCGTCGTCTTCCTCCACATCAGCCGCTGATAAACGAGCGGAAAGAATGAAGAGATTGAGAGAGCTTCATCTAAGAAGGGTTAAGTCATTGTTTCTGTTTGTTACAAAATATAGAAAAGCTGTGTAGGTTACATATGGATCGGATTTTTGCCTTAATATAAATTGAGATGATTTTTTTGCCTGTTTTTGACAATTAATTAGACTTGTCTGGGGTCTATAAGTTATCAAAGTATGTTGTTGAATTTAACGAGGAACAGTGATTTCGTGAATTCATCTCTGAAACTCGTCATTTTAAATGTTTACAGAATGAAGCACGTAAGTTAAATCATCAAGAAGTGGCAGAAGAAGATAGGAGAAAGAAGCTACCTAAAAACTGGGAAGCTGTGCAGCGAAGAGTAGAATGGGAGAACAAAGAAGAAGAGGCTAAAAAGGTATATAGATATATATATGCAAATGTTTTTAATTGTACATCTCATACTGATATTAAAAAACTTTTATTGCTGGTTATCGTTGATATTCTTTGAAGCAGGCAATGACCAGAAAATGAAGGTGTCGTAATCCTACTAGCTATTAATAACTATGCTGACTCAAGTAGTACCATTGACTTTTTTCAGTCTGTGGTAATTAAATGTAGTCCTGGACAAGGCTTTTTGGATGTCATGTGTAATATTCTTGTTCTGAGCTTGTCTCACCTTGCCACAAAATTGTTTATCACTAGACTTTAGTAAGCCACAATGCTGTCACTGCTTTGCATATCTTAGCCACTTGATTCTACCAATTCTCTTCCAAAAGATATAGATAATTTATTGCCAAGACTTAGCAATTTTGGTGTATAACATGAAAGGGAAAGTTTGAGAATGATGAATATGATGTAAACATGAGAAAATTGTTTTTTGAAATGGTAGTCTTCTCAATAGAGTGTCTTAACTACTTTTGTTGGTTTTTGCCATTTGTCATGTCAGATCAATCCACTTTTTGTAACATTCTAGAAGGGAATCTTATGAACAATGCATACCTATGGTTTTGTATTATATAATCATATGGATAATCCCCTGACTGTCTTAGGAAGCTGATTCACGGGGAGAAGATTATGACAGAGTAAAGTTGCTTGAGATATCTGCAGAGGATGCTGATAGATTTGAGAGAAAGAGGAAAAAGAAGAACCCTGATCAAGGTTTTTCAGGTACGCTATTGATTTTTAAATTATTTACAAGCAGTTCGGCAGTTTTATGTACTTTGAATTCATATATGTTTTTCTTTCTTGAAAGGAGTCTATACAAGAATTTGCCTCTGCTATGAATCAGTTATTCAATATATTTTTCTAGGAGCGTGTGAACTAGTTCTAATGCATGAAGTGACTTATCTGGCAGAAAAATCTGAGAACTTTCTTGAGGATAGCTTTTTCATTTTTCTTTGGCAGATTTTGCTGCAGCTCAATACAGACAGTACCAACGCCTCACCAAGCAAATGAAACCTTCAAATGAAGATTACAAAAAAGAGGTTGAGCAAAAGTAAGAGGATGATTGGTGTAGGGTTGCACGATTGTTGTAAAAGCTCTAATTTTTTCATTTTCTGTGCAGATCAAGGTGGTAAAGGTATGAGTAAGTTTGAATATTCTATTTGTGTTTCTTTGCAGTGTAGTTCTTATTAAGTTAATGAAGTACATGCTAGTGAAAGAAGTGTAAGGCAGATAACTCTCCTGTGGAATGAAAGGTGTATACCAAGAAATCAAGTCTTGTTAATTTGTTCAAACAACCAAAAAACCCCTTTCCCCTGTTTTTGCCAAAGACTTCTCGCTTACATATTGAAGTTTACTAATGTTTGGCATTTAATTTTAACTTCAGTCATGGTATCTTAAATAGTGATGCTTTATTGTTTTACTATTTGCACTAAAATAAATAACCATTCCTCTTCAGAGGGGAAGCCATGTTTCCCACTGTAGATGATGTCAGCTATGGAGGGCAAGGAAAAGTTCCAAAGGCTGCTGTAGACAGAATGGTTGCAGACTTAGAAAAACAGTAAGTACATGATATAATTTTGACCAACATTCATCTTGAAAAGGTAGTGTCATACAAAATTACCTGTAAGAGTTTTTTTTATTGTGTGGCTATCTTTGCAAGCAGGTAATATAATGTGATTGCCATGTTCTGATTGGCTACCAAATATTTAGTTTAATTCATAAAATTACACTTATTATTTATTGCCTTTGGACCATAAAATTTCTGACAGAATACTGCTACACATCATGTATATATAACTTCATATAACTATGTAACTTCAGAAGATAAGATACTTCTGCCACTAATGTTATGAGCTGTTTAGAAAAAAAATAGATAGTCAACCACCTGGTAGAAAGTCCCTCTCAGTCTATTAATTGATAATTATGTTTCTTATTTTTATATCACTGTCATCAAGTTTTGTTTTTAGAGAGCAATGTTGATGCATACTCCATAGCAATAGTTAGTGCTGGCTGAATGTTTGGTGAACTTAACTCTTGATCAATTAGTGGGTGTTCAAGCCCTATTTGGATCAATGTGTTGTGTTCTTGGGCAAGACACTTAAACCTCAAAGTGTCTCTCCCCTACTTTCACAATGCCTCTCATCACTTAGAATTGTAAATTATAAATTGGGATCAGTGATTGAGAGCCTAATAGACTAGCATCCTATTTAGGAGTAAGCTGCATGCACAGCAATTGGAGCTAATTTTCTCCAGAGAATCAATTTAACCTGCTTTTCATGATATGCATCTTTTTCCTTCTTGGACCTGACAGTTAATCAAAACACCATGTAAGCTTTTGCTGCTTTGGCTTATCTGTAAACTTACAATCCTCCAGACATGGTTTGATGCTACTCTGGTTTGCAGATTCAATGAATGTAACCGAAGAAGTTAGGAGTGTTGAAATGTTGGGTCTATGAATTGTAACTTCTTTGGTTACATTCATTAAATCTGCAAACCAGAGTAGCATCAAACCATGTCTGATTGTCCACCTGGTTGCCGTGTGAACTTTAATATATTTTACAATCCTCCTTTGATCACATTTGCATACTTTCTGAATTTCAGGATTGACAAACGAGAAAAGTACAGCCGAAGAAGAGCTCACCTGGATGAAGAAGATATAGATTACATCAATGAACGCAATATGAAATTCAACAAGAAACTGGCAAGATTCTATGACCCATTCACTGCTGAAATCAAACAGAACCTAGAAAGAGGCACTGCAATTTAGGCAGTTAATTGCTAAATTCATTATCTTCTTTGAGAACTAAATTTCAGAAAAATGTATGCAGCAGCTAGAAAGGAGATCTGAAAATCAGATATCAGTAGTAGAGGGTTGGTAGTTCAAGTGATGTTTCAATTCAGAGTGCATGTGTTGTTTCAATATTTGGCTTTCAGTCACTCTTGAGAGAGCAGGAATCTTATAAAAAAAGTGACTTCCCATTTATTTTGTAGAAAAGTAGTGCTGGCAGTTGTACAGTGGACATGGAAATTAGGCAGGGGTCAAAACGTCATTTTTTGTGAGATTTTTAAAAGATGTTTGGGTCAGCTGCATGCGCAGAAGGTTATAACAGAATTGTGGTGTCATTTATTTTTGAGGTTAGTGTATTTCAAGTTAATGTTGCATGATTTATGTTGTTGATTATTAATTTACCATTTAAGTGTAAATGATTTTTTTATCAAACTTTCCCACATACTGAAGTCAATGTACTTGACCTTTATGTTGCATGATTCACGTTTTTGGTTATGTAATTTACTGCTTAAGTATGAGTGATTTTTATCAAACACTCCTTATACTATGGTAGTTAAGTTTGAAAACGTGGGTGAAAACTGGATTCAGGCTTGCATGTCCATATCCTTGGATATTTCCCACTGAATGCACAACAATCTCTTGTTTAAGGTCACCTTTAATCACATAGCATTTCAACGTAATAATACAACAGACGACAAATCCTGTGTCAAGTGAACACCCATGGACCTTAGTATAAGGTTTCCTCCTAGTATAGAGTTTGGACTATTATGTTGATGAGATAAATATTAATAGGTGAAAGAGATTTCTTGAATGAATGGAGTATAACCTTAAACTGTAATCTATAAAAAAATAAAGCTTGAATCTCTTAATTAAAGAAAGGGCTTAAGTTCAGAGCACTTTGATGGTTTTCTACTAAAAACAAGTCTGTGTTTTGATAAATAATAGACTGTTACAGGACTTGAGTTGTTGTCTGCTTGATGCAAGGTGTGCACTTGATAGAGTCTGCAGTGCAGGTTTTACTGTATTACTTTCTCAACAAACTTGCAAGGACTTTAATCTATGGTCAACTCAAGTCCATCTTGTGGATAGATAAACATGTAACTTACACCTTTGAGGTCAGAGATGAAATGAGATATTCAAAAAGAAAACTTTTAATTCGCATCGAACAAGCTGATCTTTAAAACGGAAGATTAATGATGAATTGAAGTTCAAAGTAAAAGGTTAGACCTTGACAACAGTTAAATACTGTTGGTTTTCCTTGTTTTCCTGAAAGTTTTAGGGGGGCCGCAGGTTTTTATGATTGCTCCTCAGTTAAGTCCAACATCTTTATATCATTCCATTTTCATGGTAAGTATGGCATTAATTTGTGCATAATTTACATCACTGACTGAGATATGTAATGACGCACACTCACCTATGCGATCAAGTGATTAAACTAGCGATCTGTAAAATCAGTACAAGTTATCAAATCATGTGACTTGCTTTAGCATGTAATAAAAATGAAGAGTGGGAGTTGTGTTAGATCTTTTGACACCTAAAGAGGCAAAAAACACACATCCTATTAGTGCATGCCAATCACTAATGTCTGTGTGCCATCTGCTGATTTTCCTTGAAATGGCAAAAGGGTTTAGTTGGTTACAGCTATGCAAGGAACTTCCAGCTGGCTTGTAAGTGTGGGCACACACAAGATTGACAACAAAAATTTGAAACTTATGTGACACTAATAATAGCTAAAACTAATAGGGTTAGGCAAGAGTGTGTCATAATATCACTGGGACAACACTGGCATGTACCAGAGTCAAAAGTATTCTTGAGACACTAGATACCCTGAAACCAAATTTCCAATATGAAAAAAAGCAAATATAACATTGAACTTAGTAATCTTGATTTAATAATTAACCACTTTGCCTGAAATGTTGACATGCAGGTTTGTAATTACCACTACACTTTGGGTTTGCATGAACTACTGCACGTAAAGTTCTCGTTGCCTTGGCAATATGGCGGCCAGTGCCATCTCTCTTTCTGTCACAGTGCTCCATTATAACTTTGAAGTTGAAACTTACAGTAAGAACTGCCAACGCTAAATAGCAGTCATCAGAGTAAAAATGCGGATTTCTATTGAAGAAAAGCATCTAGAAACTTCCACCTTTTTGGATAAATCTCGAAGTTATCGAAGTGCTCGGTTAATATCCGAAATTTCCAAATACAACCTTGGTCAAAAGCTGCAAAAGAAATCCTCTCCAAAATGCAAAAGCCACCTTTCGACTTGTATTCGTTGTCAATACCTTGACATGATCTTTGCAGTTTCAACTCTTCCTCGCTTGTTTTCCCGCTGAAACGTGGTCAACATCTTCAGCAACCTTTCTCTTCCTCGAGGACGAAGGATCGCTTGAGGAAAAATCTTTCTCAAAATCATACTCATGTCCATACGAAAAGTCCAGTTCGTTAAGAATTTGACATTCCTCCATGTAAGAGGCAAAAACAGTTTCTTTAATCCACCGGGAGAGCTCGTCTTCCATTGCATTTATATACTAAATTTGAACCTTCACGATGAGTCGGCGACGAGGAAATTAAATAATCCGCTGACAATACAAACCGGATGTTTTCATCCAATCACAAACCCTCAAAATTGGTCGCATGGGATTTTCTTCCTTCGTTTTGAAGACTATTTTTAGCAGACTACACCCCAAAATAAATGTAACAGGTCAAGGGAAAAAAAGAAGAAAAAAATTGTGATATAAAGTTTCTCTGATTCCTTCTTTCTCGTGTGCGACTGGTATTGAATTCAACAAGGGATGTGTGAGTAGAGGCAACAAATTCAACTCGATCGCCCTGTGTCAGTTTTCCTCCTATACGTTTTTTGCTAGGAGATCTCAGTTGAACAAAAATTTAGTTGGAAAAGGATTTATCCTAATTCTCCCATCTTTTCTATTTCCTTTGCTTCTCAAGGCTTTGAATCTATCGTCATAGTGTACTAACCCACCCTTCCCACGCATGACAATTTCTTATTTCCAATCTCCCTCACTTTGGTGTGGTGTAAGTGGGTTTTGGCTAAGGTCTTTCTTCTTGTCGGATTTCTTCCTAACATGCAGCTCGTAAGTCCGAAAGAGTGGTATTAGTACTGTTAGTATATTTTAAATTAATTTTTGAACGCCAGAAGAAGAACTGTGGGCGTACCAATGTGCTCAACATGGCAGAAGTTTCTTCCCGGCGAACGATTGAAGTTCTGCATAAAGTTCAATCTTATTTGGATGTCACTGAATCAAGTTGAGAATTAAAAGGTAAGTTGGGCAGAATGCTCTCCTCTCTTTGGCGATATTAATATTGGAAAGCAGGGTTCTTCTAAAATCATCAAAATTTGGCAGTACCCGAAGTGAAAACACTTGTAAAAAGACCCAGTATTTTTTTCGCCATGCTCCCGTCATGAGGTTGTATACAAACATCACACTCGAGCGATTCAAATGTATTGATCAAGAGGGGATTTCCGATCAGAGGGGAAGAACGATAGATTACTTCAAGAAACATCCCTTCCCAATCAATTTAGTAGGCGAAATTTAGTTATATTTTTAAATACTTAACTTTCGCTGCGAAATAAATCGAATGAAGAAATGTCTGTCGTATTCTAGAATTAAGCTGTAAGATGTGTTGTAAATGATCACGGATTAACAGATTTCGTTCTCTGATGGTCTTTGAGACCAATGTATTGTATGATGTTTGATCCTGTAATCAGCGTGGTTTGTTTGAATTATCATACAAATGCTTAAGTCCACAGCTCGACTCACTGGTGAGCTGTTTCCTCTAAAATCAGATTTGTAGAGTATTCAAATAAATTTTATTTATGCGTACCAAAACGAAAATGTTAATCGAAATATGTTTATGGTAGTTTGATGAAGATAGAATTATTAATTCTTCAAGCTTTCACGGTCAATCCACAAACCCAAACGTGTATTTTTAGACAGTCAAAAAGTAAGGGATGACATTTGTAACATTCTTGAGTAAAAGGAATCCAACACAATGTAAACTTTTCCTTTTGTCTTCATGGATGAACGTCATTGGGACTGATCACGCCATCTTTTGATAAATATTTAATTGACAGCGGGAAAAAATTGCAAAATAAATATTCTGTTATGTCAGAACTTCCTTTAAAGATTTATTTAAAGTTTTAGCTACAGCATTTTATGGAAAATATCTTAAATTAGACAACTTGACTTCATTCCCATGCAAGAAATGTGTTAAAGATTATTTTATGTTGTCATATGCTTATAGAATAACACTTTTTGGCTTGGACAAGTCTTAATTAACTGCATACAGTCCAAATTAGACATATAATAAAAATCCATCCATTATTAATGATGAAAGCTGATTTGCACAAAGTATGGTCACTTTCAGTAGAAAACAAAAGTCACAGCTTATGAGCCTGGAAAAAATTAGTTTCCTTGTAGAGAAATATTTTTGTTTTTCATGTCATTAATGTTAGACAAGGAAAACTTCAATCCCCATGAGGACCTTTTGATTCCATGCTGAGCTATGATACTGAGCTATGGAGACTCTTTGTTGATTCAGGCCATTAGTAGGTTAATTTGTGACATGCTTCCTGCTTACTGCAAGAATCAACTGTGTTGAATGGCCTCCGACAAGTTGATCATAGGAGAAAGATAGTGAATTTTAAGCTTGGAAATGAGTGAAGAAAGATGTTTTTATTTGTCTAATTATAAGTGTAGGACTTAGAAAAAATTCTGAGTGTGATGAGGAATTGAACCTCTGATCTTCGGTTTCCATGCTCTGACATTCTACCCTTGACCTAGAGAGACTCGGCAATGAGCTAGGCCATTATAAGGTTCATAAATGACACTCATTTTGCTTACTACCAGAGTCAATATCAAATGCCTCCTGTGAGTTAACCCTTTACACCCCAACATCAGTATACATAATCTCCATACTGTTCTCCATACATTTTCTGAGGTGGCGACAAGGAGAATTTGTTGAGAAATCTAGAGCTTCTTTAGGTGGGGATCATTTCCTTCATTCTTGTGACCTTATTGTTTGATTCAGGGATTATATGTTAAAGAGAAATTTGATTCAGTCACTCCTAGGAGTTGAAGGGATAATGGAATTAATTTCTTTGATACTTAGTTTTAGTTTTCATGTCACCTAAGTTTTCTAGATGTACTTCTGGATTAAAAATATTAGTCTTGATCATCATAAGCAAGGGTGTAGCTTGAAGGTCTTGGGGTGCACTTGACCCTTCTTTAGTGACAGAGATAATGTTTTTCAAAGGGTAACTATACAAACCTTTCAGCCCTTTAACTCCCAGAAGTGATTAAAACGTAACTTCTCCCTCTAATATCTTTATATTATCCAGCGAACAGGTAATGAGAATACTCAAACTCATTAGGTAGGAGTTCTTTTCTTGATCAAACACAAATTCTCTCAACTTTCCAATGAAATGTGTTGCAGTTAAAGAGGAGAATTGTTTATTAGATCTTAAGAGTTAAGGGTTAATTCAGGTGGTGAAAACCCATGATTCTGAAGAACCTGCATGGTGTAAATCTTAAGCAGGTGTGAGATGCTCTGTTTGTTGATCCTTTTTGTGGCATGAATACAAGCTTGTCAAAACACAAGGTTTACCAGCAATTTAAGCCATTTAATTTAAGCCCACAAATTTTTTAACCCCTTAAAAATTAAACCTATTTTCCTGTTGAGTTGTAATGTCAGAAGAGGGCAATTTGGCCCTGTGTGGAGTGTCCCTTTATCATTCTAATTGAATTTGAGATAACTGACATGTAATTCTTTAACTGTTGCTTTTATTTGTTGTCATTCTACAGAGTGTTTTATTACTCTAGGCATTGCCCTGTAAAGCAGTTCTTTTTAACACTAAATTAGTTCATGAGGAGCATTTACAATTCTGGGCACAGAATTGTGTTTACGAGACCTTTATAACAAGGGAAAACCTGGTGTAATGCTTGTTTTTAGGTCAAGGGGTGAAAAGGTGATACTTTTCAACCTACTTTATATAAGTGTGTAGAAATTGTTTCTAATATTTTTCTGCCAGGTAACAGTTGTTCCTTCAAATGGCTGCTCCAGTGTTTGTGTTTAAAGGGGAGCTGTTGCATCAGGCAGCTATCTATGATCAGCATGACTTGCTGAAGTCTCTTCTGATGGCCGGTGTCCATGGAGAAGCCAACAGTCTTGATCCTCGTGGGTTGACACCTCTTCATACTGCTGCACTGCATGACAGTGTTGGTTGTCTGGTAGAGTTATTGGAATGGATAGGTAACTTGACAAAAGCAAGTGAGGATGTGTAAATGTTTGAGACCAAACAACTAATATTTTGCAGCGTTGTAAATATTTTCAACTTAGGGGTGGGAGTTGATTGTGTTTATTAGTTTATTTGGGCTATACTGGGGGACATGATCTGTTGAGAAAATTTGTTTTCAGAAGTTCTTTTTATCAATGCGGTAATAGTGGTGTCCAGAACAATATACTAAGGGGGATGGGAGGGAGGAAAAGTGTGAAATACCAGCCTGGATGGAAAATAAGAATATACTATGTTGTTATGCTTAAATTTATCAATATTTTGTTTTACAGAAGACATAAACATTCAGTCTGCTCCAGAGGATAACTGTTCCGTAAGTGTTTGGTACACCATACATAATGTCTAATTTTCTTTGTCTGAAATTTTTCAATACAGCTAGTATTATCCTTTCAGGATAATGGCAAAGGGAGAATTTTTGGAGTTAACTCTCTTAGATCCTTATTCCTTATCAAAGACTTAGGAACTAACAAGTCATGGTTCTCAGATGGCAAACAAAGATTGAAACACACAACTTTTATAATTTGCAAGATCATTTAACTTTTGGGGAGTTTATATTTCCATTAAATCTGTGGAACTTATGATCAGTATAAGGTGAACAAATATAGTCCCCTAACTTAGTAATAAGTATCCCGTATGGGAGACATGATGGAGGACTAGTAAGTGTTGAGATAGTCTGGGTTCTAGCCATGGTTGGGTCTCTCTGTTATATTCTTTGGCAGTACACCTCTAATAACTCTTACATAGCCTCTTTTCACCTAGGAGAATACCAGTAACTGCAATCAGCATCAAAATTAGTTGACTTATAGAGTTCAAACAGTCCCTTTTTATGTATGGAATACTGGTAACACTTCTATTTGTACCTTTCTATAAATCATTGACAATACTCCCTTCCCCCATTTAATGTTGCCTGTTTGTAATGATCATAGAATCACGATGCAGTATTGTTTTGGGTGGAGGGGAGGGGGGGCCATCAGGTTAACTTTGCAAGGACAAAAAAAGATGAAAATGAAGTATAAGGGGAAGGAAAAGGTTAAAGTGTCAAAAACTTTGTCACTGATTGTGGGATGAATATGAGGGACACTTGACAAAATGCCAGGGTGACCTGTAATGGAGCGATGGAGTGCCATCCCTTTTGTGAGTTTGGGTGCAGGGAGCAGCATTACACTTACTCGCTCTGAAATTCATAAGGATTTTTTTGGTTGAAGTCAATACTCATTTAAACTGAACATTTGATTGACAGACTGCCCTTCATCATGCTGCCCGAAATGGCCATCTCCGTTGTCTTAAAGTTCTCATTGACGCAGGGGCGAGAGTTGATATCAAGAACAAAGATGGCAAAACAGCAATGCAGATAGCATTTGAAATGGGGGAAATTGACTGTGGCAACTACCTAAGGACTATGGAAGGTATCTTATCATAAAAAAAAGCCTTATGAATCAGGATTCCCTCTATGATTTTTGCCTTTGAGTAAGCCAAACCATAAAAATTTTAATAGAAGGTCTCCCTTAATACTGTCTGCTATACACTTCTTATAATTTTAGGTTGATAATTGGGGTGTTGAATCTTGGAAAATATGGCTTAGTTTATCTTTAATTTATCACCATTTTGCTCAACAATATATTGATATGATGAAGAGAAACTCCTTTTTAGTCACTCATGCGGAAGTAAGTGTTGATCATAAATATTGTTTGATTATGTTTGAATTCAGATGTATTTGACTTGAGAAAACTGGTAAGCTGTTTTGCTGAAATTTTTGTGGCTTAAAACTCTGTAATTTGTATTTTTTAAGTTTGTTTTTAAGAATCAAATTGTTTTAGATATCTTTTATAAATGCCAGGTCAATTGTTGAGACAAAAACCATTGTGCTTCATTAACTATTTTACAATGTTGGGCATTTTATTATAAACGATAACTGTTTTGTGTTTTAATTCAAGCCATCAAGAAAGCAGCACGAGAGGAAGAAATATCCCAAGGTGCATGGAATTATTTACTCTAACTCTCTTCAGTTATTTTAGTGTTATGAATGTAAATCATTTATTTATGATGACATTTACATAACCGGCAAACCAAACAGTCTGACGTACATAGTATACATAATGTAGAAACTAGCCATTCACAAAGAATAACCAGTACTTGAGTGTAACAACTTATAGTCTCACAGCAAAAGCAACCAACAAGTTTTAAGGATCCAGACTTATATTATATCACATTTCTGAACCAAGCAATGGCCAAGCTGACAGTGATTGCAAATAATTATGTCAACCTGTTACCTACTTAATAATATACATGAAAAAATTACATGTGCCAGATTGGCTGAAAACAAGTGCATTCTCATGTAACACAAGTGCAAATTACAAGTAGTGCATGCATGCATTAAAAATTTTGTCTGTCTTGACTTTTTGCGATTTTTTTTTCAAGTACATTCTTAATAAGTAATGACATGATTTCTCTTGCAATTTGCTGAACCACATGTAAATTTTTCAAATACTACAAATTGCACTCACCCAAGGGGCTTGTGCAATTTTGTTGTCTTTGTAAATATTTAAGCGTGCTTATTTACACCAAATTGCAGAGAAATCATGTTCTTTCCTATACAAATTAGTTGCTTATATTGATTCATTCTGTTTTTTGTTGTGAGGTAATGTAAGTTTACAGGCATCAATGATTATTATTTGGTTTCCTCACCATTCATTGTTATTTCTTATAATTAATGGTTGTAAATTAACAGTTACATATAATGGAAAAATGATGTGAAACAAAGAAATGAATGAATAATTAAGTCTTGTCATTGCTGTCAAATGACATTTTAACATTTATAACATGGGATGCCTGTGGCAGACCATGTTAAAAATGTGCTTGAGTGTCTGCTATGAGAATTAGCCACTTGCTTGTGCCTTACACAGAAGTTAAGCTCTATTGGTGAGAGCTACTATTAGGATGGGTGACCTTACACCTCCAGGTGTCTTGTTAACTAATATTAGCTCTTGCCTCTTTGTTTATAATTTTTTCACCAGAACTCTATCGCTGTTGTGCTACTGGTGATTTACCAAGGGTGAAAGAGCTTTTAGAAGAAGCAAGTACAACAACAATCAACAAGTTGTACCAAGGAGGAAGCACAATTCTTTACAAGTATACAAGAAATTTGAAATTTGCTGTTCTCAATGTCTTTCAAATACAGTTTAAGCTATTAAAAAGGGCTTAACCATCACATGTGGCCAGGATTTAGGAAAAAAATAGATATGGCCCTGTTCAATTAACCCTTTAACTCCCAAGATTTCATTAGTAATTCTCCTTACTGTCTCCTATACAATTCTTGTGATGTCAGTGTGGAGAATTTGGTATTGGATCAACTTATAATCTCCTAACTGATATTTTTCTTTATTCTCATTACTTGTCTCCTTGATATTGTATTGATATTGTAAGGAGAAATTATGTCTTGGTCACTCATGGGAGTTAAAGGGTTAAGTGCCCCTTGAGCAAGGTGTACCCTCACCCTGTACTTTTCTGAATTTAAAAGTTTAAGTGCACTGCGAAAATTAGAGAGGATTAACATTTTGTCAATTTCTCAAATGCAATTTTTCTTTTTTTGAGTTCATGAAGACATTAGAAATGTTTGAATTCACCAGGGCTTGTCAAGGTGGTCATCTTGAAATTGTGAAGCTTCTTCTGAGTAGAGGTGCAGATGGTTCACCGAACACAATAACAGGACTTGCACCATTGTATGCTGCCACTCAGAGTGGAAACGATGAGGTGGTGAGACTAATAGTGCAGAAGTTTCCACACCTAATCAATATCCCAAGCAAAATGGATAAGTCAACAGCTCTTCATGTGGCTGCAGGTGAAGGCAGTGATGAGATCATTAAGAGCATCCTGCAAGTTCCCAGGTAAATGTGAACCCTTTGCATCTTCACATCAGTATTTATATTCTCCATACTGTTCTCTAAACATTTTTAAGGTGCTGACAAGGAGAGTTTGTTCAACAATCAGGAGCTTCTACAGTTTATGATCATTTCCTTTATTCTTGCGACCTTAATGCGTGGTTGAGGGGTAATATTGGACAGAGAAATTGGATGCTAATCACACTGAAGGTGAAAATACAGTTAAAAATGTCGGCCATGCATAAGTTAGAAGAGCAGCATTCAAGGGGAAATGGGAAACAACTGTGAAGTATTAACTTTGCTGTGTCTCTCAAGCAAGACACTAAACTCTTTCAGTGCCCTCTCATTCTTGGGGTTATACAATGATTTCTAAAAAATTTTAAGGTATGCTTGTTTAAGTTCAGGAAGGGATTGGGGTGGGTAACCTGCAATGGACTCGCATTCTGTCCAAGTGGAGTCACAGTACTTTGAGCCGCTTCATGTTTCAGAAACGGTTAAGCTTTGATAATGATGCGTTAGGAGTTTCACATACTTCCCTTTTCTTTTTTCGTGTTTCTAGGGATGGTGAAGAGTTGGCACCTTGCAATAAAATTGACATGAGTGTTCGGACATCAAATGGGATGACTGCCCTTCATCTCGCTGCCCAAGGAGGCTTTGTGAGAGCTCTCGAGCAACTTTTAGATTGCCGCCATAAGTGGTGGGTAAATAGCTTTTTCTTAACATTTAGAGCAATTGTCATATAAGTGTCGAAAATAATTCGGGTTTGCATTGGCTTTTCTTTACTTCTCCCTGTGATTGGTTTAGAAAATACGCCCTACCCTTTCCACCAGTCAGATGGAAAACTAGAACCGGTCACGTCTTGGTCACCAACGTGTTCTCGTGCTGTAGGTAGATTGGTTGTTATTACTTTGAGTTCTCGTGGGCTTTTTAGGGTACCGGTATTTTACTTTCCTCGGACTGGTCGTTGTGATTTTTTTTTAGTTAACGACACGCAATCGAAAAGCGCTCTATTCTCCTTTGAACTGATAGTAGTGTGATCTTTTCTGATTTGTTTGAAGACCGATGTTTATTATTGGTTAAGTTTGTTTAGATTCATGTGATATTCACAATAGTTAGTTGATTATTGATAATTAGGGCAGTTTCAAATGGGTGGCGAAAATCAAAAGCAAAGTAATCGCAGCCAAGGACTCCTTTTTTCCTTTACCTTTGTCTGTTGTTGCTTTAGAAAACTCACGCCATATTTATAACAAATCAGATGCAATATTAAAACCAAGCCTCGACTCGGTTTTCCCGCGCTTTCGTCCATTTGCTTGTGTTTTCCCGCGTGTTCATACTGGTCCATATTCTGATAAGCGGTTCTGACTATTTTTTATTTACAGTGTAATGTTATTGTTGTTTCTTAATGAGACGTTCTCCGCATGGCGTCTGCCAAAAAGAGTTCTTACGCTCGAGGTAGGGATTAATTTGTTTTGATATGCTAATGATCCTTTTTCTGCCCTTGTAGCGCTGGGCCGTGCGAAGCCATCTTGACAGTGTCTGTGAATGCTACAGATATTATGGGGCAGACTGCACTGCAAGGCGCGGTCACTGTTGGATACAGAGATGTTGTCAAACTGCTCCTAAAACATGGTGCCGATGTTAACCTATGTCAGTCTAACGCGGAAAGTTTTCACGGGGAGAGTGACAGCGCTACTGCTGCTGCCTCAGTTGCTAATTCTTTGACTGGTAGACGCTCTCCTCTTGAGATTGCTTGTTCTCAAGAAGACCTGGAAATGGTAGAGATACTGTTAAGCAACGGAGCAGAGGATGTTGACCACAAAATCTTGAATTCAGCGATTATGGCTGATAGCACAGAGGTCACAACGATCCTGCTTCAACAAGGTATGCTATAAGACGAGTTGAAAGTTGGGACGAACAAGGTTACATTTCTGCTGAGTAGTATACACGATTTATCAGCGAACTTTCAGGAAAATCTGCTGGGAGGGAGGGATAATCTGCAATAAACTAGCATACCATCAAGGAAGAGTGGCGGTAGCTTCTCACCCTATGAAATAGAACCTGGATAAGTTTAGTGGGATGAAACACTTGGCTCAAGAACTAACGAGTTTTCTTCGTTCGTTACGGGTTCTTCCTTAAGTGAAGTACTTTTCATCAAAGTTTTTTTTTCTTTTCGTATCTAAAGGTGCCCAAGTTGACCAAGAGCATACGCTGCACCCATCCAGAACAAGCAACAGTCCTGAAGAATTGTGGCGTTTGTCAGCAGTGCCTATTTGTTTACTTTGGAATAACATGAAACTGACAAAACTTGAACAGCAGTGGATTTTAACGGCCGCAAGTAAAATCAATCCATACGATGGAGATTTCGCCGGACCACACCCTTCCCTAAAAACTATCACACGAGTTGATATTTCGGGCAACAAACTGTCAAAGCTTCCTATTGTGTTGTTTCAAATGGCTGCGTTAAAGACCCTTAACGCATCGGAAAATGCAATCACCTGTTTACCATGTCTGTGGCTCGGAGGAAAGAAAGAGAAAAAGACGAAAGCTAGTAGTTTAAAGGTTGGGAAGAAAGCCTACAGCTCGTGCGAGGACATTTTGGAGAATCTTGTTTTTGAAGAAAGTGTGCAGGACTTCAGCTATGCCGAATCTGGTTGGAACTGTCCACACCTTGAAGACATTGAGTTACATCACAATTCCTTAGCAGACTTGCCAACGTGTCTTTTTGAATTGCCGGTGTTGAAGTATTTGAACGTTTCGTCCAACGATGTTCAGACACTCCCGTTTGAAATGTGGACTTCTCCCGCGTTAAAATCGCTAGATCTGAAAGGAAATTGGGTGAGGAAGTTGCCGGTAATGAAGACAAGACGCGCTAGAGCTGGAACCGGAAATAGTAAAACATCAAGTCTACCTCGTGCTAAAGTGCTGTCTCTAAGCAAAGACAATCTACCAAGTGACCTCAGGTGAGACTGATAAGTCTTGACGACTTTCTAAAGTCGCTCATTCCGACCTAGTGTCGCAGGAAGCCAAAACCAAAACAATCAGAACGACTAACCAAACACCGAAAATGTCACGAGTATCAATGACTACTTACAGTAGAAACAAGCAAACTGCCTAAAGTGCTGGAAAGCGCACACGCGTCGCAATCGGCTCCCTTTTGCATCTGATTGGATGATAGGATGGGGCGAGTTTTCTGTTGCATCTGATTGGATGATAAGATGGGGCGAGTTTTCTGTTGCATCTGATTGGGTGATAAGATAGGGCAAGTTTTTTGTTGCATCTGATTGGGTAATATGATAGGGGAGATTTTTCTGTTGCGTCTGATTGGGTGATAAGACAGGGCGAGTTTTCTGTTGCATCTGATTGGGTGATAAGATGGGGCGAGTTTCCCGTACCTAAAGTAAAACCAATTCTTTTCCAGAATTACTTTCGCCATTCAATCAAAAATTTCTCGGAAGGAAAAGTTGATTTGCACTTGCATCTCACCTTTTCTTTTGACACTGAGGATGGCGTTCTAAACTGCTGATCCCTTACTTACTCCATTGTAGCTTTTTGTAAACGTACTCAACGATTAGATTATGAGCTCAACATTCTTCTCCTGTGTTAGTGATAGTTAGGTGAACCTTTTATCTGAAGGTTTATTTTTGAGGACAGTGTCGAGAGGGCCGAAAGCTAATTGTGGCAAACATTTATTTTTATAAAATCAACCCTCTTACATAGAATCCCTGAGGCCCACTACTTGCGCACAACCGCGGTTTGGGTTAGACCTCGTGTAAATATCGGGCGCTTTAGGTTTTCCCGATCTGAGACAAGTCAGTGGAATGTGTATGTTTGTTTATCGATTCGTTTACCTTTGTTTTTGACAGCCATATGAGGCCATCGTTAGCGTCAAGCCCACCACATCAAAGTGCTGAAGTTAACGGCAAACAGAACCACCCTTTGAAAATGTTCCATCATAGTCAGCTATGGGGAACAAGGCATGGAGATGAAATCGAGGACTCTGACTCAGAGGAAGAAGACATCGATCTCTCAAAAGGAGCCTCTCTTCAAAAACTTGATTTGTCGGCGAACCAAATCGTAAAGATTCCTCTGGGTCTGTCGTGCCTAGCAACGAATCTCGTGACGCTGATTTTATCAAATAACAACATTTCTGATGTTCCATCGCTCGCTCTGTTTCCAACATCACTCGGAACGTTGGATTTATCGCATAATAACTTGACGCGGTTCCATCCCATAGCGGATAATTTCTTGCATAAAAATGCGACGGAAAGTCGGTGTTACAGTGTTGTTGAAGGCCAAAAACCAGGCATGCGCCGAAGGATCAGTGCGGAGAATGGACTCCAAGCGGGCAGAGCAAGACTCTGTCGGCATGCAAAACATAGAGCTCTACCGAATCTGAAGCGTCTCGACCTAAACAACAACAGACTTGAAGAAATTCACTTCACGCTTCCTCGGACTCGCCCCGCTTCGGTAGCGTCCGTCTCAGACCCTACACCGGTGAATTCAAAAGGTCCAAGTGTACTGTTCCCTATCTTACAGTCTCTAACGCTCAGCAACAATGAATTATGGAGTCTTCCAAAGGATGTAGGAGTCTTATCGAAGCTTGGCTCGCTGCATGTGAGTAATACAAAAATTACCCGTCTACCTCCCGAGGTCGGATTGCTTTCAGAGCTGTGGGATCTACAGTTTCAGGGTCTGCAGCTGCAGGATATCGAGCCGAGTGTGCTGGAGAGGAAGAAGACGAAAGATATTGTAGGATATTTGAGATCAGTTTTAGAAAGGTACGCAGTGTTAATGAGCTTGATGCTGTTCTACTGGAGCAGTTTTCAATTGAGTGTCAAAATGCGAAGTGCTGATGTAACCACAACGGCCAGTCAGAACGAAGGTTGACATTATCACGAGCCAATGAAAACTCAAATTTAAAGCAGGCAAACTGCCAAGAGCGCGGGAAAACGCGAGTGACCAAGTCGCGACTGGTTTTAACATCTTGCATTTGATTGGTTGAGTAGAAAGCGCGAGTTTTCTAGATCAATCACGGAGTAAAGTGAGGCAAAACCGATGCAATCCCGGATCAACCTTGATGCCCGATTGAAATTGCCATGAAAGAGAAATGTTTTTAATCTTACTTTTCTTGCGTTTGTTTGTCTGCCGTAGATCTGAGCCGCACCCGAGCATGAAACTGATGTTTGTTGGCGTTGCAAACATCGGAAAGACCACGCTTTTGAGCCAACTGAGGCAGGAGGGGACGGGAAGTTACCAAAACTCACCCCCTGTGGGGTGGACAGAGAGGAAGTACAAGAAAAAGAGGACTGCATCTACAATTGGTGAGTGAAAGACCGTGAAGTTTGTTGCAGCGAAGCTAACTTAACCCTTCAATCCCTAACATCAGAAAGCATATTCTCCTTACTGTTTCTAGACATTTCCTCTGGTATCGACAATGAGAATTTATTTAACAATCAAGAGCTTCTTTAGTTGGTGATCATTTCCTTTATTCTCGTGGCCCTAATGAGTGATTCAGGGGTGACATTGTAAGGAGAAATTAGATGCTAGTCACTCTTGGGGGTTAGAGGGTTATACCTCATGCCATTGTCTATTTGTGAACCTCTTCTGCAAATATTTCCTCTTTACCTTATTAGGTCGTACCAAGAAAGCAGAGGTGAACATCTCTACTGTTGGCGTGGATGTATGTGATTGGATTTATCCAAAGAAAACAGATTTTGCCTTCGGACGAGCAGACAATAGACCCAGCATTAAATTCAGCACCTGGGACTTTGGTGGACAGGTGAGATCAGATGGAAGTGTATAAGCTTCATAGGGTTGTATATTCTCCCCCTAATCCTGTAACTCCCATAAGTGATCAGGAAATAATTTCTCCTTACAATATCGATACACTATCAGACACACAAGTGATGGGAATGAAGAAAAATATCAAATAGGGGATTATTAGGTGATCCAATACCAAATTCTCCAACCTGATATCTTGAGAGTTGTACGGCAAAAAGCTAGGAGAATTACTAATTAGATCTTGGGAGCAAAAGGGTTCAGAATTAAGAAGCAATTAGACAAACATTCAAACAGAACTTCAAAACGTAATTGCTCAGACTCGGTCAAGTTAGGAAACTTCATGGCGTCCTTATATTCAGAAGTAGAGAAAACAGTTTTAAGAACGGCCTTTGAGTTACAGAGCTAACAAGAAAGCCCAAAAAAAGTGAAACGCCAGTGCGACTGTCGGAAGCGGCAGCTCTCTGTCTGAGATACGTAGTGTAACGGTTATAGCGCTTCACCTTAATCCGCTCGAAACATGTTGCATACTGCACTCTTTCGCGCTGAAAGAGAAGAAAAGCACTTTCCTTGTCAAAGATTTTTTCCTACGTTTTCGCGGGCCTTTTCAAAGTTAGAAGGTGAGCTTCCTCTCGAGCGGCGACCTTAATAGAACTCTGCTTTTGACACAACACTGACCCTATCGGGCTACCATTAGAGTTAAAAAAAAAACCATTTTGTTAAATGCGGATCTCTTTAAATCTTACAGCGCGAGTATTACGCTACTCATCAGTGTTTCCTGTCTCATCGTTCGCTGTACATTGCCATGTGGAAGGTTACAGACGGCGAACAGGGCGTCAATCAAATTGAACCTTGGTTGCTGAATATCCAGGTGCGTTTTCCGAAACTGAATTCCGTAGAATTTCTCTAAATTTTAACTTCAAAGGGTGCTTCCTTTACCCATCTAACTCCCATTAGTGACCAAGAAAGAATTTCTCCTCACAACATCGATACAAAATCAAGAAGATAAGTGATGAGAACAAAGGAAAATATAAATTAGAGGATTAGTAGTTGATCCAATACCAAATTCTCCCATATATATATACATCATAGGAATTGTATGACAGATAGCGAGGAGAATTACCAATAATATACATGAGTGAAAGGGTTCAAATTTAGCCGCATTTTCTGTAGCACAAAGCGACAAGTGATATTGTTTTACCTCTAAGATGTGTGGTCAGTTCATGGCCGGTATACCACAAGCAATAACCCTTATGCAAGATTACGTCATTTACTGAAAATTCATCATTAGGCCTCGTTTACACTAATCTTCTTCATTAATCTTTGCCACTTTCTAGTTGCTTTTCAATTGGGTATTCTTCTAATTCTAGTGTTTTGGGAATACTTTCCTTATAAAATTCACCAGTCCGCACCTTAAAAAGCGAGGCTTTGGGTGTGAAATGAGGTAATCCTACGTAAACATCCAAAAGGCCTAATAATTAGGTTTCCCTAACGAGTGACTGTTACCCGGTTTTACTCCTAGTTGGAGAGAGGCACTGTGATAGTAAAGTGTCTTTCTCAAGAACATGATAGAATGACACGGCCAGGGCGGCGTTGTACAAGTAAAATAGAAATCTCGTTTAAAATCAGGCTATTATTTCTTGAACCTTTCAGAATTTGGCCAAAGTAGTTAAAATACTCAGTTCTTTCTTTGAAAGGCTCGTGCCCCAGATTCCACAGTCATCATTGTTGGAACACACTACGACATGCTAGAGGACAAAGACAGAAGATCAGAATACCTGACAAACCTGAGAAGTATGATTTCTGATAACTATATAGCTGTCGAATACGGAGGAAAGGTTCTGAACACACGCGAACGAGGCTTGCCCAAGGTGAGAGCCATGATCGAGGTTAGCTGTAAGACTGGGTACCACATCCGGGAATTAAGGCAGCTGATCTACAACACGTCTTTTGACATTAAAGAGAAAGGTAAGTCAAACGAGTTTTCTGGACAGACAGATTCTTGACGGATTCTTGTTTAGTCGAACGAGGTCGAGGAGTTAAGAAAGTGAGATCGTCGGGAAATTTGAGTGTGTGGTAGTGGGCTTTATCTTGGCCACTGTGAAATTCTGAAAAAAAGAGGCGTGTATGAGACTCTATGGCAGAGATCGTCTTTGGAATCCAAACCAGTTCGATTTTGTGCGAGTTGTTTCGATACAAAACCCTCTTGCACAAGTGAAGATTTTGACTAAAACTAGGCCATGCCAATCGAAGGAAGCAGTCGCTGAGACATGTTCCCGCGACTTGTTGTCTGGGATGTTCCTCTGAATCATGGCTCATATATCATATCATGGCTCAATAGGTAGTCGCCTGCCTCTGCTAAAGACGCCCATTCCTGCCAGTTACATCGCAGTAGAGAACGCTGTGGGAGTGGTCCGTGAGAGGTGCTACCGTGACGACCAGACTCCGGTACTCAAGTCTGAACAATTCAGGTATTGAACAGAGTACGTCATAGTAATGTGGTGTTGATTGTCTCGGGGTAACATACAACTTCTCGCATGTCACCGTAGCACGTGTTCCTTTGGCCATCAGCTTAAGAATTGAACCAGTTTTACTAGGTATTGTCTCTTAAAGGGGAAACTTCATTCTCCTCCGCCATATGGTTCTACAAGAGCTGTATGTTAAAACTTTGTTTTGCTGAGGGTAGATCAGAAGGAGTAAGTTTGGGCAAAGAGAGAGGAGAAGCAAGGGAGAGGGGGTCTTACGGTTATCTTCTTCTCTAGATAAAGTTGGGAAGCTGTTTCTTTTGTAGCGCTGCAGTTGAAGCTGAGCTGTCAAAGCAAAATTTTCACCTTAGAGGACCAGAGGAATTACAACAAGCTACAAGTTTCCTGCATGACAATGGTACGAAATACTTACCAAGTTTGTTAGTGGATACTGAACACAGTAAAAAATAACTGGGTTGATCCCTAGAATTCTCGTCGTATTGTACTACAGCTGTCATGTTAGACTACACATAACACTCTCGCATGTCGTTCCATATAAATTTTACGTATAAAACGAAGATAAGTGTGGACTAGCATCTTAAACTTGACCCCATAAATCCCAAGTTTATCGAAATCTCAGAAGTTTCAGCCATGTGAGTCTCTCTAGACTTGCTGTTCTGTTTCGTTTCTCATTGTTGCCATCTAAGAACACTTTTAAAATCAGTTAAGGTGGTTTTAATCATAAACAATTTTTTTAAATCCTACGGGTGGGGAAACTAAGGTGGTTATGTTGGAGATTTTAAGGATATGAGATGTTTAGGTTAAAAAATCGTAAGGATATGAAGAATCTGGGGAGATGGGGGTAATTTACGTGATACCAGATACTTAAAAAAATATATGCCGGATATATGTTTTTGCCATCTTCCTTCAGGTGTTTTGTTACATTACGACGACCCACTGCTGCGTGACTTGTATTTTTTGGACCCTCAGTGGTTGTGTGACATGCTTGCTCATGTTGTAACGATTAGGGAAGTCAACCCCCACATAAACAATGGTAAGCATCGCTTGCGTGATATGAGAATTATCTGAGGCTACTGTTTTCGACTGGAATGTTTCTTAAAAGGGGTCAAACAGATTCCACGTTTATCGATTGCACTTCGTCGAAGAATTTTTGGGTTGGTAATTGCTAAGATAGCTCTTGTACTTTGGAGCCTATCAAGAGAGAACTACTCTAAAAAAGCTAGTGTCAAAGTTTGGATATAAGAATGTTATGATAACTAAAATTACATGCATAGAAAAGCATGAATAATTGTTAGTTATTTTTGTCTTTATTCCGTTGCCTTTCTTGTTCAGGTGTCATGAAGCGCTCCGACTTATCTCAAATTTTCCGAAGTGAACGATTCCCTGCCAATCTGATGAGCCAATACATCAACCTGTTAAGCAAGTTTGAAGTGGCCCTGCCATGGAGCCCTGAGTTCCTGCTCGTCCCATCCCTACTCCCAGATAGTCAGCAAGAAACTAACCTGCCTGTTGCGGCTGGCGTCAGCGCGGCAGTTGCTCAGGCCATGAATGTGACAGCTTACACTCAACCAAAGGTTCTGCGGAGACAGTACGTCATGTCCTATGTGCCGAGTGGCTTTTGGCCAAGACTGATCACCAGGTGAGCTTTCACGAATTTTTTACAGAGTATACTCCCACTTTTGTGACTTTTTACAGCTTTCCACGCTTTTTGCCTTTGTACATTCTCTTTCGCTGAGGACTACTGACATTTTTATCTTGCATTATTATTCCCTGTTGACGTTTTTCTACGTTAAAAAAACTGCTTACACTTTTATCCTACGCTTTTCGATGCTAACAGGTTCACCCGCCTTTACTTTACTTTACTCACAGATTGTCCCGTTCTATGCATGGCATACTCTTTTCCCGCCCTTGGCGCCACTTAAAAATTTTCCGTGCTTGTCGCTTCTTACGTATTTTCCCGTGCTTCACACCGCTGACGTATATTCCCGCGCTTCCCTCTGCTTACTTCCTGTTCTTGGCACTGCTTGCATATTTTCCCGCGCTTTGCTGTGCTGATAAATTTTTTTGGTGCTTGTAGTGCTTACAAATTTTTCCCGCCTATGGCACCCTATATGTTTTCCTACATTTCCACGCTTAGAACCGTTAACACGTTTTCGCGCACGTGGCACTACTTGCATGTTTTTACCACGCTTGGCACTGCGTACTTTTTTTCCGCGCGCTTAACATTGCTAACTTATTTTCTCGCGTCTAGTACTATTTACATGTTTATCTCGGGTTTACATCATGTTTCCCCCACTTCCCAAAATTGTCTATCATCACATTTCCGCTCTTCTGGCGTCGCCCAAATAATGAAGACGGAATAATTTCGGTGTTAGAATTCTAGAAAAACGTCTTGATATGTAACGTGTTTTATCAGAGTAATTCCAGATGAACGAATCCGCGATACAGTCAAGTCATGTTGTCAACTGTCTCCTGATGGCCCAGTACAGGAGGGTGACAGAGACAAACTAACTTCTGTGGCTCAACCAGAGTGGTCATGCTGGAAGACTGGAATTGAACTGTCATGTTTTGGAGTGAAATTGCTAAGGATATGTGAACTGGAAGGAAGACCTTTTTATGGTGCACCAGGTGAGCAGAAAAAAAATAAAGCCATCATTTGCGGAGACATTCCCACTAGTAATTGAATTTCATTTAAACATTTAGCCCTTCACTCCCAGGAGTGACCAACAAGTAATTTCTCCTTAAACTATAAATAAAAACCAGGGATTCTTCTTCAATCTACCACAAAATTCTAAGGGCTGAAATTGAAGGAAATTTTCGGTAGATAGAAGGGAGAATTTAATTTGAGATCAGGGGGAGTGGAAGGGTTAAACCCATGGCTCAAGGTAGATCTCGTGTGTCTCGTAGGTGAGTCATTGTTAACTTTTCTTGTTAATGTTTCGCAAAATAGCATTCTCATCAGCATGCCAAGTTACGAAGCGAGGGAATTCTGATAAAATCACAAATTATTTCAAATTAAAAAAAGAAAAGAATTACTGTATTCGTGAGTATGTGAGGGCAGTACTGAATGGAATATCACCTGTCATAAATTTCGCAATTTCTGGATGGCAATAGTGTTAATGAACCGTTACATTTTCGAGATTTCTCAGTCCTTTCTAGCAGAAAGGAGGCCGTGAATTCTGAATCAGATCATCAAGAGGTCTTTCGAGCCACCTAATGGTTGTTCTCCTCAAGTCGTTACCTTTCATTCGTATGAACAGTGGAAAAGGTTTATGGAAGTTACTCGCATACTCTTGATGGAAACCTGGTGCAATCCCTGCTTTATATTTAGTGCTACCTAGTTCCTTGATGAATATTAGAAAAAGACTAGTGATCTTAAGGTAATACTCATGGCTCGTCAGAGGCCCAGGCCTTCAGCGGTATTCGAACTCTGGACCTTCCCGATGCTCTCTTCCTATTGAGCTTTGAGAACACGCGCAGGCAGCCAGATGCACTTTCAAAACACTGCTGTGGATAGTCGTGTATTGTATTTGATAATTTCCTTCTGTCTTAGATGACATGGCCAATCCGTTGCATTACCGCCGCGAGGTACACGACACCACTCGTTATTCCACCATTGAAGTTCTAACGCCGTGTGTTCGCATAAGAATGGAAAAGTTTGAACAACGAAAGAAAATTACATCGAAAAGAACGAGCCTAAGGAAGGCTGGAGAAGGTTTGTAGTTGTCTATTTCCCAGTCCTATATATTTTGCTTCGGTCAATCTGCTTTATCTTCTTTGCGGTGTTAAAATACTAGTTATGGCGTACTATGAAGTTTTGCTCGCGGGCGGGAAAAATTGAACCGGTGGCATTTAGAAGTTGAATTCGCGCGAAACGCTAATACATTATGCAGACGCTGGAACACTATGTCCACTTAACACTTGAAAACGACCTCACCGGATGCTTGTATTTGTTTGTGATTGGTCCAATGCTCTGAAGATTTAACATATTTACAGTTGCTCAGTAAATTATGATTTAATGTTGTATTCACAGATCGCCGAGAGGGATCAAAGCTAATCGGATTTAAAGTCAAGTCTGTTTCAGACAGTAGCATCCAGTCTGCTGCTCGGTTGGTTGCTATCGCTGTGGAACACATGGACACGCTCATCACCGACTGGTTCCCAGGACTTGATGCAATCACAGTGCAAGGAAATCGCCTGGTTACCAGGATCATTCCGTGCCCCAAGTGCATCATGACCGTATGCGGGAACGATCGAGCCGAGTATGAAAAGGAAAGAGATAATGTACCGCCTGATGTGCTTTTGACGCAATCCTCAGGGCAGGATAGCGGCATAAATTTGTCTGCGACTGACGGAAGTAGTACGAGTGCTTCTCCATGGCCGAGCCCTGTGCACATTTCAAGGAGACCTGAAGCTAATGGAGAAGGTATGAATGGAGGGAAAATTGAGCCACAGACTAGATAATAAGCTACTCAACAATTTGTGGGTGCCTAATCTTTCCTCGATAATCTTTTTTTTTTATCGGCGGCCATTCTTGTTCATGTTTGCGCCTTTGGATCTTCCCTGGGTCTCGTAAGATTAGAACCAAACAAATCACAACGGTCAATAAGAGCAAAGGGAAAATTAGGAGCCAATGAAAACTCGAAATAAAAAATGTGTATTGTGCCTTGCGCGTAAAAAAACGCGAGTGACCAAGTCACGAGAGGTTTTGCTTTTGCTTCTAATTGGTTAAGAGGGTGGCGCGAGATTAATGGACCAATCATAAAGCGAAGCAAAGGAAAGCCAATGCATTATGGCAATTCTATACACACCCGATTAAAAATTGATCTTAAGAGTTTCTTTCGTTAGAGGACTGAAAATTACATTACGAGGCTCCTTTAAGCAAACAAAACGACGCCTTCGTAGGCACCGTAAAAGCAACTCTCAATTCCCCAACATTAAGTTGCGTATTTTCTTTACCGTTTCTATGGTGCTGACCAGGAGAGTTTGTCGAACAATTAAGAACTTCTTAAGGTGGCGTTCATTTTGTTTTGTTGTCATGTCTTTTGTGTTTGATTCAGCAGCGATACTGTAAGGTTGAAGAGCTAGGTTTCAAGTCGGGTGTGATTACTGAAGCGCCAAGATGGGTTTTTTTGACCTTTTAGTTCTATTGCCTACGCGCTTCAATGATGGAACTTTAAAATCTGTCAAGTGAAGGCGGCCATGTCATATCAAGATTCCCCTATGATACGGATAACATTTCGATAAAATTTTCTCCTGCTACTGTGCTATCCAAAACTCTCCTAGTGGCAAAGTGTTGACGTTCGCCCTGTTACTCCGTTGAAAGGTTTCAATTACACATGCGCGTAGGTTAATTACATTAAATCTGGAGATAAATAAGCATTTCACAATTCACTTCGTTATTTATCTTTATAGACAACTCGCTGTCGCAGAGCGTGGACTCCTCTGATATACAGCAGGGGCAAAGCTATAGCAGTCCTAAGTTCCCTTCTCGTGACAGTTTTCACTCGGAGCCCGAGAGATTCACGTTTGGGTATGTGAGCACTGAGAGAGAGACTGAGGAAGAGAGTTCAAGTTGTTTTGATTACACTTCGGATCAGGTGAGAGAATTTTCCTGACTGCATGCATTTTTGTTTTGTAGAGTGGTAAGGAAAAAACGAGAATACAGGAAACTTTGCCAAGTGATTAACCCAGACTCCTGAATCTCACTGGAGTTTTTTCTCATTTAGTGTTTCTCATGGTTTATTCTTTAGCTCTGATTAGCCATTGAGATATTTTTTACCTACTTTGGTTTTCAATTTAAGGATGCTCGATCGAAAAGCGCTCGAATTGCTTGTTACAGAAGAAACTGTTTTCCTTATTTTCAGAGCACGGATAGTCATGGTAGTGAAAGCAGCCAATCATTTTCTCCAGAGATGGGTGGCAGGAGAAGGAAGCAATCCGGCAAAGGACGCAGGCAACTGAGGAGTAGTGACAGCGAGGAAAGTGACGTCACTGATATGAACTCTAAGTCCAAGAAGTCGGACGAAACCAATCAAGAAGAACCCAACAAAGGTGCAGACGGTGAATCGAGAATATTTTCATGTGTAATAGTAATTCTTTTGACGCCGCAGGACGTTAACGTTGTTTCCGTTCAACGAAAGTGACTGAAATCGCAAACCACGCGGGTTTCTTCTGGTGTAACAACTCGCCACCCCAAATTCCCTCTAAAATACCAAAGCAGGTTAATAATTAGTCTCCTTCGCGGCCTTCGGGATATACTGCGAGTTATCTCTCCTTTTCGGCAAAGTCGGTCGCTTGAAGTCTACCATTGGAATGTCGCGCGATGTGCCCAAAATATCGTTTACGCCGTGAGATATCCCAGAGTGCGGCTGCAAAGGCGACAAACTAACAAATGGTTTATTGTACTCTGTCTAATTTCTTTTTTTTTGTTTTCCATATTCAGCAGGGAGCACCGACAGCGCTGAAAGCTTTCAACGTGGTTCCGGTAAATACGGCTCGTTCAGGAAGCGACCCACCGAAGATGACACAATCATTTATTCATTTGAGTTCGAAGAATGTGTGCTAGCTGCTTACAACACTGAGCCCGTGGAGTGCACCCTTCACGGTCAGCTGGGTCTCAAAGAGCTAGCTCCAGATGCTGTAAGTGTTTTTGACACCATAAGAGCTTGTCCTTTAACCTTTTAACCCCTAAGAGTGACTAGCATCTAATTTCTCCTTACAATATCACCTTTGAATCGATCTTTAAGTTAACAAGAATATAGGAAATGGTCACTTACTCAAGAGGCTCTTGCTTACTAAACGAAATCTCCTTGTCAGCGCCGTAGGAAATGTATAGAGGACAGTCGGGAGAATATGCATACTGATGTTAGGGTGTTAAAGTTTAAGTAATTTGCTATTGTATTTATTGTTTTACGCTTGACAGTGAGAGCATAAGCAACTAGTCAGTGTCTTTTCTTTCTTTTGATTAACATGGCTAGATTTTCACTCAATTTTGACGTATTCTAAGTTATTTTTCTATCGTTTACAGATGTTCGAAGACATAGCTCCTAACATGAACGTTCAGGCATCCGACATAACTAAAGGCAAATTCTTAGGCAAAGGAACGTTTGGCTCAGTATTTCGCGGGGAGCTGAGGCAGGAATCCGGGAACTCGATAACTATCGCCATGAAGATGCCGCTGAACAACGAAGTGGGCGATGATGCATCAGCGGAAGAAAAGCAAATGGCTGCAGCGGCTATGAGAGCGCTGAAAGAAAATCCAACGATGACATTGAATGATGCTTACAGGTGAGAAGACAGTGTGACTTTTATCTTTTTTTTTATTACTCAGTGAGAAGCGTCGCCATTAAAAAGTAAATCGTTACAAATCTCATCCGAAGAGAAGCTGAAGGTGGATCAGTTAATTAAGGGTTGTTCAGATGGATTAATAGAAAAATTAAACAAGACTTCCTTTTAATGTGAAGTTTGATTGAGATTCTACCGAGTTACACCATTGCCAAGAGATTACATACCCTCCCTCCCAACCTATGGGGTTCTACTGGGGAATCATAGTTTGTACTACGTTTAAAAGCCCAGCTTATGATAATCAGCCGCTTTAAGTCATTCAAAACCTGAGTTGAAGCATACGTTAGTTATCTCTTGTGAACCTGAAGGCACTGTTAACGAGGTCGATTTGGTCTCACTGATCCTTCAAGTGCTTGACGAACTGACTAATTATAGTTGACTGACTGGCCTCCTGACTGACCAAATCACCGCCTGAATCGAATTTTGACATCGATCTGGACGCTGTTGGTCCTTCAGGTGAAAACAAATTATAAGTGCCCCCCCCCCCCCCTTCCTCCAACGGATAGTACCGCACAATTAAGGTTCACTGTTACTGATCTTGATTGACTTACTTATTACTTATTGACACAGAAAGCTGGCTGACTGACTGACTCGCTGGCTCGGTGACTGCTAACTTAGAGACACTGACTGACCAAAGTTTTGGCTGGCTAATGAGTATACTCTCCGTAGCTGACTGAGTGGCTATCGTACTGACGCGCTGACTCATTGACCAAACTGGCTGACAGTCTGACCAACCAAGTAACTGCCTGAGTGACTGACTCACCCTGACTCCATCAGCGATAGAATGGCAAACTAACTGACTAGCTGACTGTCTGACTTAGCGACTAACAGACAAACTTAATCTTGATTTATCGATCGATTGACTGATTGATTGATTTGTGAATTTATTACAGGACCGTTCGTCAGGAGATGTCCATTCTCCTTCCCTTGAAGCATAATAACATCGTGTCGTTGTTAGGATACTGTCTAAACCCTTTCAGCATGATTCTGGAGTTTGCGCCGCAAGGGGCTTTGGACGGAATTCTTGCTAATTATAAGAGAGTTGGAGTCAGGCTGAATGCTTTCGTCATGCAGAAATGTATTGTGCAGGTACAAATATTAACGAGATAATTTTCAAATTGAAACTTATTTAATTACATTTTAGTTTTAGAAGTTTTTATTTTCGTTCATATCTTCTCACGGGCCTAGGTACCAACCCCCCATGTAAAGTGTACCCCGTTTCCCATATCACGAAGCGACATGTACCTAGTACCTGATATATATTCGGGAGAAGGGGGGGGGGGTATTTGAGTCAATTTTTGTTGGGTATATGACGTTGGCCTATTTTAGTCTATTCTTTGGCAAATTACAGATCCCACCTTAGTTGGTGGCAACTTTTTAATCGTGAATCTTCCCATTTTTAAATCCCTGCTTACCATAATTGATTTACCCCCAAAATCCCAAAAATGTGCGACCCTATTTTAGTAAATGTTTCGAAAATGGAACTCACCCTAGAAATTCTATTGAAAATGCAACCCCATTATAGTCAATGAAGTCATGAAAATGAGACACCATCCAACGGTACATCTCCATTAGCCCACTACTGAGAAGTACCCCCCTCCCCCATGTATATTCCAGAAGGTGAAGATCATGTTATGGGAGAGGAGTGTCTTGCTCAAGACCCTCAATGCAACAGGTCCATGACATCTCCCATTATCTAGAATTATGAATGCAATTCCCACATGAAGCAAACACACTGCGTTACGCGGTCAATATCTCACATCCCAAATTTTTAATCGTAATCGTAATCGTACGGTTTTTTATTCAGTGGAAACCTGCTTAGAGCCGACGTGGACAGCAACATTAGATCACATTTTCTTTCCTCCCTAAGTGTTATCTTGTCCGCCTGAAACAGCCAGATCTGATAGGTCCGATTGCATTTTCTTCCTTTTTTTTAATTTTTTTTTTCGGGCTTTTTAACAATTTTAGTTTCAACCGCTGTCGCGCAATTTACTTAACCAGTACTCAGCCTGCTTCAAACAGTTTCACTGTAATTCAAAAGTTTCCCTTCACCTTATCAAGTTTTTTAGAATTACAAAATGCACGTTTATTTTCATCATTAGTGTGCTTCAGCAATTAAATACTTACATCGCCACCACATCATTTACCGTGATCTCAAATCGGAGAACATTTTGGTGTGGGTGTTTCCAGCCCCCCTCAGTGCGGGCATATCACATCATCAAGTCGTTATAAAGCTGGCCGACTATGGAATCAGCCGGTCAGCGGCGCTAGCAGGAATGAAGGGACTGGGAGGCACTCCTGGTTTTATGGCCCCCGAGATCGAAAAGTACGTCGGGAAGGAGCTTTACACGGATAAGGTGGACTCGTTTTCCTTTGGAATGTACATTTATGAACTAGTCACGCTGCACCAGCCGTTTAATGATCTCAACCCAGCTCAGGTCAAACAGCTTATCGTTGAGGGTCATCGACCGCCACTTACTACCAAGGTATTTAATCATCTTAGTTTATTAGAGCAATTTTTAATTGAATCTCGAAAGTAATCCAAAGTTGCTTCGGTTTTGCTTTATTTCGTGATGTGATTGTTCTAGGAAACTCGCCCAACTATTTCAACCAATCAGAATCAAAACTAAAAGAAATCGCGACTTGGTCATCCGCGTTTTTCCGCGCTTCAGACAGTTTGCTTGTTTTTACTTTGAGTTCTCATTGGCTCATGGTGATATTTTCCTTGTTATGATTGGCTGTTCTGGTCTCTTTGGTTTTGGTTCTCGACTAGGGTAGACAGAATTAGCCAGTTCAATTTAGTATCGAAATGCTTCTGAATTTTGTTGGTTAGGCTTTCCTTCCCTTTGTGATTGGTTGTTGAAATTCGTGCTGCCTTCTCAACCGATCAGATACAAGACTAATACCATTCGAAATTTTCGTTTTCCCGCGCTTCTGGTGACTGTCTTTTCTCGCTGCTTGTTTGTTCTTGAATTTAAGTTTTTAGGCTCCTTGTAACGTTTGCCTTCATTCTGGTGATTGTGATCACTTTGCTTTTGGTTTCACAAAAAATTTCGAAATGCGCAGTAACATTAAGAGCATCTATATGGGGAACGGTTTACCCTTTTGTAGGATAAGAAAGCTCCAGTGTTTGTGCTCGACCTGATGGCGTGGTGCTGGCAACAAGAAGCGGACAAGAGACCCCCGTCTCATCACATCTCACAACTGTCTTCTGCAACAGAATTTCCTCGCCTCTCTGACGTCATCACTTTCGACAAACAGGTTTGTTGATCAAGGGTTTTTCATTGTTTCCACTTCTTGAAAATGATGGCTCGAATTTTTTCAATTTTGTTATTTCAATTCTCTTCTCTTTTTGGTTTAGTTTTTTCTCTTTGTCGTTTTTTTTACCCTTGGAAAAATACTTTTCCACTTTTTCTTTTTGTTTAAAGGAAATTTTATGCATAAAAAAAATCGATCACCTTAAAGTGTTAAACGATTAAACGGATACTCTCACAACCATCGGAGAAAATTTCTTATGTGCTTATCTTCTCTGGAAACTATGGGGTTGCCCAAAGCAATAAGTCTTTGTACCCGTTGTGATGGTAAGCTCTCAGACATAAATAGTTGTGACACTCCTTTGAACACCACTTGGACTACTCTTTTCCCCTCTCCGGACCCCTTCCGATGTTGTCAATTACCATTTTGTGAGCGGTATATCGGCAACCAACATTGACAGGGTTGCGGGAAGGCAACAAGTGGCCAAACAAATATCGATTTTTGTTTAAATTTACTTATTTATTTATTATCGTTGACGTGCAGCGTTTTCCAAGTTTGTTTATTCTTCTATTTTTGTTAACAGCTGGGCTTAAACTGTGCTGTCACTGCAGGGTCACGAATTAGTCAAAGCCGCGGGGCGGACGACAGGGCTAGCGTGGGGTCAGAGGTCTGGCTGTGTCGGAGCGAGCTGAATGCAGGGATAGGGATGGGGAAAATTAGTGTCCTTGGCTACAGCCGAGGGCGGTGCTATCACAAAAAGGTAAATGTATGTGAAAATGCGATGCTGATTTTCAACTTGGTATGAGTCTGTCAAACCGGACTAGGGAAGGGTTCAGATAGCAGAGTATCATCCAGCGACTAATTGCACTGAATGTAAATACTACTTCATAGATTTTGAGTTGAGTGCTCGCTCGGGTGACTGAAATTGAAGTTCAGTACTATCCAATAAAGCAATTTACAATTGTGTGTCGCTAGTAATCGGGATTGCTTTCTTTTTGTTTCACTTTGTTTTATGATTGGTCCAAAAAAACTCGCACCATCCTCTTGACCTATCAGACTGATGCATAACTAAAAGCAATCGCGTCTTGGTCATTCGCGCTTTAAACTGTCTGCTTGTTTTCCCTTAGAGTTCTCATTGGCTAATGATAATATCAACCGTTGTTCTGATTGGTCGCTGAGATAACTGGTTTTGGTATTCTGAAAACTGCTCTGACAAGCAATTCAAGGTCAGAGATTGTGTGGCAGTGATTCACATGTAGGCCATCAAGAAGGACCCATTTCGAGCGAATACTTTTCATCATAAACTGTGGGCAGCTTGCAATCTACTTCTCTTAATTTGTATTTGTTATTTATTTCTCAGGAGTTCTTTGTAGGCAAATCCTGTATTCGGGTTGCCTGTAGCGTGGGTAGTACGGTGTGGCTTGGGACCGAGTCAGGCACACTGCACGTGTTTTGTGCGATGACCTATAAACAGCTGTGTCAAGGATCAATCAAGTCCAACAGGTGTTTAGCATGATTATCTCTCTCGTAATTTTTTAAGTATTTTTCTACCATTCATTCAAAACATGACAAAAAGACAAGCTCATTTTTTTTTTCGTTTTGTTTTTTTTACAACTACACACTGTTAGGCTACTCACACTACTCGCTATCTATAATAGAATAGTGAGTAGCGTAGCCAATTAGATTGCAGCATTTTGTGATAGAACGTTAGTAGATATGAAACTTATTTAGGATAATCGACCTGTTGAAAAAATTATTGTATCATAAACTGATAAAGAAAACTGGGATTTATTCTGTGACGAAAGTTTATTCTTCAAAACATTCCAGGCTCAACAGATCCTTATTTTAAACAGGTACATCTTAAGCATGATCCACGTCCCCCGAGCGAACTGGGTTCTAGTGGCGCTTGCAGATGGCTCTGTTCTGGCCTACAATGATAATATCTCAAATCACTATCACTATCATTACACTCATAAGTCGGAACAAACTCCTGTTCTCGAGCTCCTACCAAACCGGGTCCACACCGGTGATGGAATTCCCATTCATTGCATCGCAGCCTTGATACTGAGGAAACCCCAGGATAATGAACCTCCACGGAACGCCGGGGCAGACTCGTCCGAGGACTCTGATGAACGAAACAGCCCCTGTGACGAGTACGTCTGTGAGGTTTGGTGCGGAAAAGAAAGAGGGACGTTAACAATTCTCGACGGTGAAGACATGGAGGAAATTTGCACCAAATCAGCCGAAGACAGTGAACCGGATTCGTCTTCACAAAGAGAACACAGTGTATCTCATCTTGAGACATGCCAGGCCACCGGCTCTACCATCAGTGGAGATAGTCCCTCGGGGAGGTCCGTGTGGGTGGCTTTGTTCCCCGGCACTCGCGTGTACCGATGGGACGCTCTAGAGAAGAAGATTGTGCGTAGTGTTGATTGCTCACAGTATCCACCGAGATTTGAAGGTTCAAAACCGAAAGCCCCTGTTAGGAGAGGCGCAGATCCAAATCCTTTGAGCCGTAAGTAGCGAAAAACTAAGATCCGTAATCAATAAAATTAATGCATCATTTCGTTTACAGTAGAGTCTGGTTTTTTTTTTTATATCAAGTTGTCCTGAGAGTTTGCCTAAACCTCCTTGGAGAACGTCTCAAGATTTGCACAAATTAAGCTGTTTATTTTTTTGTCACTAGCTTCTCGTGCTCAAGTGAACTCCCTCCTCGCAGTAGACAAAGAATTGTACATCGGCACAAGCTATGGCTGCATTCTTGTTTGTAATAATATCTCTCTTATGGTATATACTATAATACGCTGCCATGACGAGTCTGTTAAACACCTTCTTCCCTTGGTAACCACGCCTGTCGTTCCTTCACGTGGTGAACAGGCGAAGGCACTAGTACTGAGTTGTGGGCGAGGTTATCGCAGTCTTGGCGCCAGTCTCTACGGTCACGCATCGTACCCGAGTCGTCGAAGCAAAAAGACTTCCTTAAAGGACGAGTCTGTTGTTTTAGTCTGGCTTGCAGACGTCTGGGAAAGTTGATGTAGGAGAATTACCATGGTAATGATAAATCCTGTTTCAGAAGTAGGAAATATTTGTTCAGATATATGAGCCACTTTAAAATAACCGTAAATGAAGAGGCTAACATAGCTGATCATTAGTTATGATCGTTGCATTACTCGCGTGACCTACGCGCGTGGGAATGGATCCTGCTTCAACTGTCCAATGAATTAAAAGATTTATCCTCTCTAGGAAAAAATATTCTAAGAAAGGAAGTTAATGGTCCAGATAATGCACATCGAAAATTTGAAATAATAATAGTAACTCTTTTAGATCTTTTAATTCCTTGAAGTGCAACTCATCTTATCAAAAAATAGAACATTAACTTTTCATCTGAGATGTATGTATGACAATCGGTTTATGGGGTACCAAAAACTATAACAAGATCGATCAATTATAAATTCAAAGGAAATTTTTAGGAAACGAAAGTTCATGAGACTATCATGTGGAAAATTTTGTCGCCGAATCTTCGCTTTAAAAGAAAATCGATAGCTTAATAAATGAATGTATGGTTGAAAAGGGGCCAAAAGCTCTTATTTAGGCGATGAAATCGAGCGTCTTCAAAATTGTGTATTTGTGTATTAATTGTGTGCAGTTTTGGTCTAAAATCATACGTTTGATTCGAAATCGATCTCGCTCGGTGCACTCGGTTACAATTCAAAATATGTATGAATTCGGACTATGTTGCACTCCACTAGACTTAACTACAATTACAAATGGTGATTATTTTGGAGCAGGTACTGATTTTGTGTTTAGATTAATATTTGCTGCTTTTTCACGTTTTCATTCGCCATCCTAAGAACGGGCCTTTTATGATGTTTTCATAACTGATTATAACATTGATTGATCGAAGTTTTACTGCTTGAGCGTGTCCTGCGCGTGGGAATTTTGTATCCATCATTCTATGTTTACATGGGGGTATGATGTATATGTTATATTTAAGATTACGAAATTATTTTCATAATCATCACTTTTAGTCCTTTACTGGTTGTTGAGATCGACACTGAGTTGTCTTTTAATCACAGGTTGTTGAAAATACACTTAAGTATATTCATGATTATTAATTAGTAAAATCGATATTAAATTGTAATCTACTTCTCTAAAGAATTATACAATATATCTGTAGTAGTTTGATAGATTTAACTGAAAAATGAATCTATATATGCAAAATGGTCAATGATCATAAGTGTATGCCTGACTATTAGGATTAAATATCAAAATTAGTTGATTAGAGTCCCATAGGCGAGCTGTCTGGAAATTTAGGACGTTGTGAAGAGGCTGGAGCTGACTCTTCAGGCGAGAGTTTGTTCTTTCCTCTTTTTTCTTTCGTAATCGTTCTGGACTATGAATGTCTTTATTTCTTCGGGGTTTGTATCCTGAAAATCGATTGCAGTTGTTACCGAGCGAGTAAACGAGAGAATAAGCGCAATGGGTGTTGGGAAAAGAGTTGCTCGCAGTTTTCTCTCTCTCCTTCCCATGCTTCTCGCGTTTTGCTCCCTCGATTGTGTCACTCGCAGGTTTTGGACGGAAAAGAGATTAAAACTGTGAATAGCTAGCGGAATACGGCGACCGAAATGCTATCAGACCTAGCTTTTGCCAAATTTCTTTTGTGATAGAATTTATAGTTTCAGTGGTCTCGCCAGAGGTTTTCCAAGTCAATGAACGCAGGTTATCAATGAAACGTGAGAAAACTGGTCTAATCCGAGTAGAAATAACCACTATCGACTTTCGATATCCTTACTTCTTGAAAGGTTTTAAAGGAAGATTGATTTTTAAAATCCTCTTTTAACACAGTTTTATTATCTTGATTCATATTCCAGATGTGGTAATTTTAATATTTTTATATTTTCGATCATTAGTTGATATATATTTTACATTCGTTTCCAAATATTTTATATATTTTTTCATTGAAAGATTTAAATCCACTCAAATTTACTGTTTAGTGTAGGTATGTATTCTATTTAATTTCAAAAAGTCATCTATCTGTCACATTCGATTGCTTTAATTTGTAAGTTCGTTGTAACTTTTTACTGTTACTGATGACAGGACAGAAGAAAGAGAATCAATAAACATGAAATACCAAAGAATGAAACACACATGTGTTGCTTCTTTTGCCAGGTGCTGCCCGCGTAGCTTTTGTATGGACACACCCCATGAAATGAACGTCAATTGGTCTACTTGATGGCTAGATTTCTTGTCGAAAACACTGCGCGGCAGGCCTCCCCTTACTGAAATGAGGCCAGATCGACCAAAGCACCGGCGCCAGTTTCTCGGTAGCGTTGCATTGGCGTAGCGACGTAGAAGAACGCATTTCATTCACGTCGTTTTTCAGTTTAAAGGGTTTTATAATATCTTGCGGGTATCGCTCCGAAGCCATACCGTTTCAACTTTCCAACGTTTGACCGACTGACACTTATGGCCTCGATCTTATGCAGGTAACTAGACTCGCTTAGGTGTGGATGTCATGGGAAGATATGTATTTAGATATTGCAACCATTTGATCAAAAATGTCCATTCATTAGTTTACATTTATCGAGCTCCCTTTACCATCCATGCTAATTACTAGAGTTGTGATTAATTTCCATTTTCGTCGTATGTGTTTGTGGCGTGTACGTTAATAATTAAGTACATCTTTATTTCTGTGTTTTCCTTCCCGGGCCACTGAGCTGGACTATTAGCTTAAGACCAGGTCTGGGGCGTTCATAAAAGGGTCTGTAAACATCTATTATTTTGTTTTACGGCTTGAAGGTTTATAGGTTGTTTCAATCGATCTGTTCGATCTGTTGTGCTCGCTTTTATACAAGGATATTAAAATAAAACTTCCCTTAATCTGAGTTGGTGCTACCCGCCTTACGGACCCCCGGACGCACGGAAATATTTAACCACTCTTGAGACTAGGTTTACTCTATTAGAAATTGTTCCGAATTCGTGATGAGTCTTGTACGTTTTAGTGCCGGATTCGTTTTGCCGTCTACACACAAGTAGACAAATCCGAAATAAAACCTCCCCTTATTGGTCGTGTCGCCGCCAGAGATTTTGAATCCGAAATTCCAAGTTGGAACATCGAATCCGAAAACATTTGATTCCGGAATTTTGTTTTCATCGATCGAGGCAAGAATGCAGCCTTGTAACCACTCAGTCAAGAATGTTTGCGGATGTACTAACGTGTGTAAAGGGTTGAATCCGATAGCCGTAAAATTGATGAATTCAGTAACATTTATGAATCCGGAAAAATCTCCTCTCTTGTGATCCTAGTCTGAGTGAAGAATCTTTCCACTTTAAGGAATTCATGAGTAGAGTTATTAACCTCCATAATAGTGGAGGTGACGTAACTGCCCAACCATGTAAACTTCAGGTTCAATTAAATTTTACAATGCTAATGGCAAGGTGGATTTGAAAAATGAAATAATAGTTTTCTTTTCAGTGGTTTTCCACATTCGTACGAAACATAACATCGTTATTCTCTTGACATAGCGATTTTTATGGCTAATCAGTTAGTGCTTGCAGGGCATGCTAAAAATTATACCCGATATTGCACCGTATCGACAAATTGTCGGTGATTCTCAGCCGATCCGAGGATGGCGGGTGGACGAACAACTGATGATGCAAGAACAAATATATCTCAACATTGTGCAAGCAGTAAAAAATGAAATGGGCATTGAGGTAGGAACAATACGCCCACGTTAAAAGTTCTGTTTTTCGTTTGCCCCATGAGACGAGACACTTCAACTCCAACTCGCCCGGCATTTCGATAACTTTTGAATAATAGTATGAATAATGCAAGAACAAATAAATCTCAACATTGCGCAAGCAGTAAAAAATGAAATGGGCATTGAGGTAAGAACAATACGCCCACGTTAAAAGTTCTGTTTTTCGTTTGCCCCATGAGACGAGACGCTTCAACTCCAACTCGCCCGGCATTTCGATAACTTTTGAAGCTCATTTGATCGAGGCCATAAAGTACAATAAGAGTAAAACACTTTTCACTCTTAGCGACCAGGAAAAAGTTATTCCCCGAATACGCTACCTCGTTTGTTTGTCAGCCACGCTGAACTTAACGTTATTTTTGAAAATGACGAAGTCCTCTTTTACTCCCACAGATGACGAATTTAAGCTCTGGCTAAGAATATGTGAAAGTCATATATTTGAACTGCGGATAAAGACGTGAATATGAAAGTGATCCTCGCAGTAATGTACACTACTTAAGCAGTAGTGAAAATAAGGCCTGAAAAAAATTCAGGCCTGCACGGGATTAAGCTCTGTTGTACTAAAAGGTGTCTTCCAAAACAATGAACATTAATTTGGTATGCAGTTGACGGAAATGTAATTACAAAGCTCTTTGGCTCGCTTACGCTAGAGGCTGATTGATTATTCAACAGAATTTTGTGGTTGTGTTTTCCTGGCCACCCTATTAAACTTTCTGGAAGCTGACAAGATACAGGTTCTTTTTTGAATGAATTAATAATTTGCTTACAATGACAGTCCCAGAATTAATTACAAAAATTAAAGATGTTGAACGATGCTAGTGATAATTAATATTTTGGAATAACGCATTCGTTACGTTATGAAAATGAACTCAGCATCAAAGACTTAAAGTTTGTTTCCTCGTGTGTCGTCGAGAGTCTATGCCTAAGCTGAGAATTGTAATCAAGGCTCAAAGTACTAAAGTACGGTTACTATAGTAACCAGTGTTGATATGGTGAAACTGGTATGTTTGTTGGATACCACAGGCTTACATGGTTGTGAATGGCTGTCAATAATGAAGACATGTACTAGAAAACATCAATTGTCTTGAATTCGTTCATGTTAACTGCCCAATGAAAGGGCAAAAAGAAACGCTTAATCAGCCTTCGACCTTTCATTTTGCCACTGCTTGTCTCGATTGATTGTTTTCACACAGATGGAGAGTTGGACATAGGCTGTATATTCGATCTTCCTGAATCATTTGACAGGCAGCTGTTTCAAGGCATTAAAACAATAAAACTCTGTTCCACCACATTTAAAAACCACAAGCGTCGCAAATGATACGATAAAGAAAATCAAGCGATCTTCCGCTCAACCGTGGTGATTCCGAAATTAAAGTTCGCTAGGCACTGTTCTGTAATAAGAAAAAAAACTCTCGTCTATGACCGGTGCTTTCAGGTCCCAAAAGAATTCGTCATGAGCTCATGACAATGCGATTCAAATGACCACACAAATAAGTATAATGAGTCAACCTTTCCGACTCAAAATTTGCATATTTCTCTGGAAACGCGCTATGTTGGTGCCGCACTTTTTATCCCCTTTGCTCACACAGCCGTGCCTAAATGTAAGGAAGGCGAGGAATTAATGAAAATGCCCCTATGCTTCACGTAAGACCCGAGTTTTCTGAAAGCTAGGAGAGATGGTAAGATTTTAGATAGGCGGCAAAGCGATCTATTGCTCCTAAACCATTTTTCTTGCATAACATCTCTCCTTCATGACAAAAGCGCGCTTAAACATTGTCTCGCGACGAGAAATGATGTGGGGAGAATTATACAGAGCGCTTCCGAGAGTACTTGACCATAGTTCTCAAAGTGAACAAATATTTATTTCAACAATGTTTTACACAAGTCAAAGTCATCGACAATTTCTTCCAGCTTCAACAAAATTACCATCCTCACAACTGAAATTATCCAACGCCCGACAGCGCCCAAAAGTAGGCGACGCACAAGGCGTTGTTTTTCAAGACAAGATGGTTCAAACTCATACAAGATTGAATTAAATGACACACGAAGGAAAAAGAACGATTCCCCTACGAAAACTATTCACGCCGACGTTAATATTTTATACTAAATACGCCATTTTATCCTACAGCGTAGTAACGGAAGGCCAGTACATTTTCTTACAAAATAGAAATTTAGAGCAGTGAAAATGCTTAAATAATTATCCGACAACAACAATTTACAACACACTAGTATAGACAAATAGCGGATATGAAAGAAAGCTTACAGTTCAAAGGAGATTTTTGCTTAAACAGTGCCGCTGAAGGCCACGCCATCTACATGCGTTCGCCAAGTGTCAGTTTCGTAAACGCCACATGGTCCAAGAATGGCCAAGAAGCTAGAAATCTTGAATTAAATAAGTTTGTCTGAGAATGTCAGGATTAATATCCACAACTCTTGTTTAACCAAAGCTTGAGGAAACAGGTAAACTGAACGTTAGAGGTGCAAAGTTCTTCAATTCAGGAAGGTGTGGCGGCAACCGTTCTTACATGTACCATTGAAAAAAACTTTACTTGAGAGCAGCCACCAAGAAAGCTGCAATCAAAACAAGAATGGAGGGAAAAATATTGAATCCAAAGCTTGCTGCGGTCGTTGTGGCTGGCTCAGTCGTTGGAGCTTGCGTTGCGTTCGATACAGGAACTGCACTCGACACCGGAGTAGGCACTGAGCTTGCATTAGCGGCGACTACCGATGATGAGGCATTACAGTAAGCGACCAGAACGGCGCAGAGGACAACAGTGACGACGTACTTCATTTCGCTCTCTTCTTCTTTCAGGTTCTCGTGTCGAAAACGGTCTTTCAGGTCTGCTTAACCACTACAGTCGACAGTGACAGTAAATAAGATCTCCGTGAAATGATTTCGCGCGTTCAAATAGTGCAATAGCGACAAGATACGTCATTACAGTAGTCGATTTGATTGGTTGATTTTATTGTCATACATTTTTCACCAATGGAAAGCTGCTGATCACGTTGAAAGCATGCGGTTTTGGCCTCGATTTCGTTCAGCTCGAGTCAGAGGTCATAGCCTCGATCTCGCTCTCGCTCTCTCCTTCAAAATGGTGTCGATGAATATCCCAAACGAATATGGCTATGTTGTTCTCACATCTGTTGCCTCTGGCGTGATGATGGTTTACTTAGGGTTAAACGTGGGAAAAGCACGGAAACTCTACAAAGTAAATGTATGTACATATGTTATGTCTGCCTTTGGTCAATAATGATCGAATATAGTTCTGGCGAAGCAAATGTTAGCTTTGAAAAAGAGCGCGATGCAGTATCTGTTTACGATAGTCGTGATGGACCGCACGTGTTAATACGAACCATCCATATGAAAAGAGATTTCTCGTTTTACACGGGTAATATTGCAGTCTAGCACTGCACGTGTGGAGTGCATTTCGATCATAAATGATTATGACAATTTCAGGTGCACTCTGTATATTTCAATATGTAGATCCAAGTCCATCCAGTGGTAAATATGCATATCGAAAGAAATCAATATATTTCTTCTTGAACTTTTATGAAGAAAAAACTCCATTTATTGTTGGTGACAACTTCAGGAGACGCAGTTGACACCTGTCAAAACTTCTTTGAGATATAAACTTGTCAAGAATTCAAACAAAGTTTATTCCATGTGCGATAATTCCTTTTGTTATTATTTATTTATACTCTTCATCCCAAGCTTACCATGTAAGGTTACATCCATTGTTATCTTGATTGACTTGGTGTCTGCAACAGATAATAGTGGAAATTGTTCTATTTAAAAAGTCACCCTAATGTTTAGATCACTGAAAGAAAGGAAATCTCCCTAATTTGTTTTGCTACATTCTTGTGAAAACAATTGAAAAAGGGTCTTTAGTATGATTGAGGGTGTATTGCACAATTTATGCCAAATTGAAATTGACTGGTGTGAAATTGGTGGTTTTTGTAGATTTGTTTTCAACATTGATTTTTATCTTTATTTACTCTCCAAATAATGAATTTTGTCCTAGAATTTGGTTTTCAGAGCAAAAATGAATAGCAGTTAGTGTGACAAACCCAAACTTTTTGTGTTGAAATCCACTGAAAATAGTTTCAAAGCTGTACTGACCAGTGTAAACAAACCAAAAAAATATATTGCAAAACTATAAAAAATTCATTTAAAGCTGTTAAAATGTTATTTTGCATTTTGTCAAAATAAAGGTGTCAAGAAACTGTTGAATATGTTTTTACCTTAAAACTAGCACATTGCATTTCAACCAAGAGTTTATACCTGAAAGAAGTATTTTTTCATTTGCAATATAGTTCCACCCTCTTAACATAAGGGCTTTTCAACCAACTGACAAGCATACATCTAGTCAACTTTTAAGCTAATTCAACATCATAATATCTTTTGGAGAAAAGTTATTATACAATGTTACAAATTTTATCCATGGCACTTTTATCTCTTATTTGGACAGAATTGATATTGGGTAATGTGTCTGTTCTGTAAGCACGGTTTCAGAATAACAGTAAAGATGTACAATAATATCAATTAAACATGGACAGAAAAGATGACCATATGTTACAGAGGGAAATCCAATATCTTTTTTGGTTTTGTTTTGTTGTTGTTTTTTTAATCCTTTCCAGAAAGCTACTTGTTATTGTATATAACAAGAAGTGTCAACTTGTTCTGTGGAATAGCCAATATCTAATTTGCTGTATCATACGCAAAGCAATTTTTATTGAAAATGAAAATTTCTGACTTGGGATAGTTTCCTTTGAAACTTGAAGTTCACTCTGCTTACATCCACCAAATTTGCTTTTGCCTTTTGCTTGCCAAGCCATTCCAGTCAACAGTATCGATGAGTACATTGCTTAATTGATTCACTGATAACTTTATTTATTCATGTTTAAAAATTCCTTTAGCAAGATTTATGTGTAAAACATCTAATTCTACCTTGCTAATCTAAATAATAAATTAAGATAAAACCTATTATGTCTTCCGGCTGCTTTTCAATTGTGCTGTGTCTCATTTGGAGCTGTGGTGTCATAGTTTGCATTTAAATTTATTTAAGGAAGCTACAGTATACAGATCTTGGGACAGCACTTTTGTCAGAGAAACTTCTTCTAAACTAATTGATTTGGGCTGTGGAAGAGCCAATTTGTGTTTTGAATTCCTCAATTGGTAAGAAGACTGAGTCATTTTGAAATACAAATCAAGATATTAGATATTGGATAAAGTCATTTTTGTAGATTCTTGTTCATCATAATGGATGGAGCTACTCCCCTGTAATGATTGAGTTTTTGCCAACCTAGTGCCTGGAATAACTTATTGATATCATTTCCACTGCTTGCAAGCATTAGAATATGAGCTACAAGATTTTGGAGCTTCTGCAGCTTTTCAGGAAATTAAGGCAAATACTGCAGTTGCCCCAAACAACATCGCAGTAACGAAAATGTGGTGGGTTTAAACAATTGTACACATGTATTATAAGGAATAAGATGCCATATTCTTTTGATTGCACCCAAAGCAGAGCCAATGTTTTTACAGATACTCTGTATGTGACTTTCCTAGTGTAAGTTTTTGATCAATACAATAAGAACAATATTTGATATTTATATTGTACATTTTCTTTTAAAAGCAATCAAAGGCACATTACAAACATTACAATAAATACAAAATAAGAACCTATTTACAATCACCATAAAATCAAAGACAAAAACTACACTATTACAATTGGCTATAAGAAAAGCATATAAAAATCTAAATATAAACTAATTTTACCAACAAAATGCCGTGCTGAATAAAAATGTCTTAAGTTTTTGTTTAAAATCTCTTTTGGTGCAAGCAGATCTAATGCTTATGGGAAGACTGTTGCAAAGCTGCTGGGCTGCTGCCATGAATTCCCTCATTATTTTGCTGTAAATCATAATGGGATGGTGTTAAAAAAAAATTAAATCATTGAGATATTTATCAAAGAATACCCATGGCCAACTTGTCGTAGAAATCAAGAAATGAAACATGTTTGTGAACTTGCAATTAGTGGTCTTGATGAATCATTTAAGGTTGGTCTTGTGGTGCAAAGCCAATGCTTTATTTGTCCACTTTTCCACACAAAAATATTGGTGGATGAGGCTAGGTTGAGTGAGATATTTGTTTATGCAAACTTTGCCATGGCAGGCATAACTGAGTAGGAAGCAGGTAGAATTTCAGTATTTTTCTGTTCATTGTTGTGCCTAATCTTTTATGCAATTTCAAAGATCAGAGTTGTTATTACTTTCAATAAGGGATGAATGTTACAAAGTAAAATCACCAACAAATGGGTGACATATTGCTTGTGTTCCATTAGTGATATAATGATTATTACACAATAATTTGTAGTATATTAGGAGCACAAGCGTAGCAGTTGCATCTTCACTCCCATGACATAACTTGCAATCTTAATTGAGTACACTAGTTGTTTTATTTATAAAAATGTTTACCATGTTACTTTATCTTTGAAATGGGTGAAGTAGTTAGCAATCATTGTGTGGGTTTGCTTAACCAACTCAAAATCAATATGATATCAAGTGGACAAAAGATGATAATAAAGAAATATATCCAAAGGGGATCAATAGTTGATCCAATACCAAATTTTCGAAATCAACATCTTAAGAGCTGTATGGTAGACAGTAAGGAGACTTACTAATAAGATATTGGGAGTGAAAGGGTTAATACTCCCAATACAGAGGAGATATAGCAGTTTTCTTACAAGGACTGTCACATTAGTATCTTGCACATGCTCAGTTTATTCCTGTATTGGATTGTTACATTAGTGTCTCGCACATTCTTAGTTTATTCCTGTAATGAATTGTTCCGTTAGTGTTTTGCCCGTTCTTAGTTTTCTCCTGTAATGAATTGTTATGTTGGTGTCTCATGCATTCTCAATTTTCTTTGGAAATGGATTGTTACATTAGTGTCTTGTGCATTACAAACATTACAATAAATACAAAATAAGAACTTATTTACAATCACTATAAAATAAAAGACAAAAACTACACTATTACAATTGGCTATAAGAAAAGTATATAAAAATCTAAATATAAACTAATTTTACTAACAAAATGCCTTGCTGAATAAAAATGTCTTAAGTTTTTGTTTATAATCTCTTTTGGTGCAAGCAGATCTAATGCTTATGGGAAGACTGTTGCAAAGCCCCTGGGCTGCTGCCATGAAGCATCAATCCCCCATGGTAGCTTTGGGGTGCTCTTAAGAATGCCCTCATTATTTTGCTGTAAATCATTATGGGATGGTGGTAAAACAGAAATTAAATCATAGAGATTTTTAGGAGCTGAGCAAACTATAGACCTATCAGTAATCAGTTTAAAACAGTGTGATCAAAAGGATTTTAAATTGTCGGAACTTGATACAATAGTCTAACAGACTGGTTAGGTCCTTTTCATTCTTGTCCTTTTCTGTTGTTATTTAGATAAAAGAATTTTTTTTTAATGACCATAAAACCAGGAGCCCAAATTTTTTTCTGAGTATATGGGAATTACATCAATGTGTCAACCTTAGTACCACTAACAGACACTTTAGATAGCTGATTTGATCACCATGTTAAATAATGAATGAACATCAGTTTGAAAAAACTGTATAACTATCTAAAGCTGAGTTTGAAGCCTTGCTTTATTTGGTGGACTAGGAAAATCTGACATCAAGACTGTACATAAAAATCTAAATATAAACTAATTTTACAAACAAAATGTCTTGCTGAATAAAAATGTCTTAAGTTTCTGTTTAAAATCTGTTTTGGTGCAAGCAGATGTAATGCTTATGGGAAGACTGTTGCAAAGCCGCAGGGCTGCTGCCATGAAGCATCAATCCCCCATGGTAGCTTTTGTGAAATGCTTTGGGGTGCTCAGAAGAATTCCCTCATTATTTCGCTGTAAATCATAATGGGATGGTGATGGAGTAAAATAAGGAGTTTGAAAAGAAGCTGAGTCTGAAGCCTTGCTTTATTTGGTGGTGTAAGAAAAGCTGACATCAAAACTGTTGATGTTGAAGGTATCCTTACCTCATGACTAGGAAGCATGTAAATGTACCTGTAACAAATTCAAATTAATTATTGTCCCCCTCAAGTCACATATAAATCTTGGTGCTTCTACTGAATAGCCATCATCATTCTCTTGCCCATTTAATCTATATTGTATGAGAAGAAAATCACATCATTTTTTAAATGCATGTGTACTTTTCCTTCAACAGTACCCTAAGATGTATGATGACAGCAAGCCTATTTTCAACTGCTATCAAAGGGCACACCTGAACACGTGAGTGTGTACCCAACTTCTCACTGAAACTTGTGGAAGTGTTAGTAAGACTTCAACTGAATACATACATACATACATGACCTTTATTTAAGTGTCTAATTGTTCTAGTGCCTATTGGCACTAATTGGGGACACCTTTAAGACTAAAAAATCTAATTAAAAACTATGAATCTTAAAAGCAGGAAAATAACATTATTCAGACTAAGTACTCTTCTACACTTTAAAACTAAGTTACAATTTTACTCTATAACACTTTGAAGCAGGGTGCTGAATTCACAATGTAATATATGAGCTCGAACACTAAAAATGAATATGTATAAATATGCGTACGTCAAGTTAACCTAAGCATAAGCGACATTCACTCCCACATCCTTCGAGAAATGATGTTATATCCTTCTTACGTATAGTTGTCCTAAAAGTTGCCAAAGTTCCAATATTTCTCTCTTCCTTGCTTAATTTTGACCACAATTGTGGTCCAAGAAATCTAAGGGAATGTCTTCCATAAGTAACACTTTTAAACCGAGGTAAGACAAAATCTGCATTTCTTAGGTTGTATCCCTTATTATTAGTATTCTCATCGTTGATATTAAAAATGTTTGCAATTTCGTTCGTTGTTAATTTGTTTTTAACTTTAAACATCAAAATTAGTATATCCTGCAACCTCCTATTTTGCAAAGTAGTTAATTTAGCTCTTTTTAGTAAGGCGTCATAACTTTCGGCAGTAGTATTATACACTAATCTTAAGGCTCTTTCTTGTAGATGCTCCAATTTACGATTATCAGATGCTGTGCAAAAATGCCACACTAGGTGGCAATAAGTAAGGTGTGGCATGATAGCTGATTTGTACAAAAGTAACTTGGCATTTACTGGGATAAGATTTTTAAGCCTTCTTAAAACTCCGATCTTACAGGCAACTTTCTTATATACACTACGTAAATGATCTTTAAAGTTTAGGTTTTCGTCTAGGGTTACACCTAGGATCTTGATGGGTTGTGACTGTTCAACTTTTTTGCCACTTATATCCAGATCAGTGTTCCTTTCACCTTTTGGATTTCCCAAAACCATAGCTTGGTATTTATCGCAATTGACCTTTAAAAGATTATCTTGATACCATTTAGTCATCTTCTCTCCATTGTCCACCAGTATCTTCTCCACTCTTTTCATTGTTTCATGTGCTACAAAGACCTGATGGTCATCCGCATACATCGAGACATTGGCATCTGATATTATGTTAGGCAAATCGTTCTGGAAAATATTCCACATAAGTGGTCCAAATGTGCTTCCCTGTGGACATCCTCTCTTCATCACAACCCAGTCGCTTATTACAGAACCTATCCTTACTCTATTCTCTCTTCTTTGAAAATATGATTGTATGAGCTGTATGGCTTTGTCAGAGAAATTGTAGGCTTGCAGTTTATTTAAGAGTAACTGAGAGCTAAGAGAGTCAAAAGCCTTGCTCATATCTGATGACAATATACCGACAATTCTCTTGCTATATAGTTCTGCTCTCCATGTTTCAGTCAGCATTATCAGCGTGGTCTCACAGCTATTCTTTGTACGATAGGCAGTGATAGCATCACTGAGTCTGTCATCCATAAATTTACTGACTTGTTGGCCTAGCAATATTTCATAGACTTTATTTACGCATGACAGCACCGTGATAGGTCTATAGTTTGTATCCCTTTGTTTGTCATCCTTCTTATGTACCGGTATCCATTCTCCATGCTTGAGCTTTGCTATCCATTCTCCATTTCTAATTGCTTGGTTAAAAATCACAGCAAGAGACGAAGCTAACTCAGTGGCGCCTACTTGAATGAGAATGAGAGTGCTCTTGTAAAATATGCTTTGGTTAAAATTTTTTCCTGCGTGGAACTTTTTCAAAATAGTTTGATTTTATATTTTTCTCTGTTTTTGTGATTTAATGATAGATTTAAGATAATGAAAAATGAAAATTCAATTAGTTTGAAACATTTTAAACCTAGGCAAAATGGGTGACAAAATTTCCCCATTGTCTTATCATCATAAATTTTCAAGGTATTTATGACCTATGCAGAGCTATCTGTCACCCTATAGTACACTCCATAGATTGGTCAACATGCTGTGTCAAGCAGTTTAGACTGGCAATTAGAAGGAAAAAATTAAATGGCTTGTCTGGCTGGTTGTGCAATAACTCAGAAAATCTGCCTTTCAAAATGAGTCATAATTTTTTTGATCATCTGAACACTCGATTGTTTCTTCCCATGTTAAGTGTAATTTGCTCCAGCAGTGAAGGTTTCCTTTTGCACACTTTTCTCCAAATAAACTTATATGCATACTTATCATAGCCATTACAATTTCTTCAAATGCGTTTGGTGTATTAGCTGCTTTATTTTTCACTTATCATTCTGTACAGTTGTAATTGGTCAGTGTAATTGGATAGTTGGCTGTGATTGGACACCTGAAATTGGACATATGAAGCAGCCTCTCATACTAAGTCCTCTCAGCTAAATCTACCAATCACAGAATTGATCACAATAACCATAGAAACAATCACTTATCCTGAAAAAAAACAACAAACAAACAAACTGGGGAAAGTTCCAAAATGGAGGAATTTTTAACTTTACACATTTCCTCTACCCAATATGTTTGTCCTAAGTGTATTTGTTTGTTTTTTTGTAATGGTTATGATTAATCGGTAACAGGATTTTGTGTCACCCAATTCTGTCTGTAATCATACTCATGATTGACAAATTGGACTCCCACTTTGCAGTTGTCTGATTTTGTTAATGACTTGTATGATTATAGACAGAAGTGGATTCCACTTGGTCCTATTACCATTATTAAAACTGCTATTACTGCTGCAACTTTCTCTTGTATCATGCATTTTTGTCCACATAGTTCAAAATAACAATTCCAAAAATCCATTAAGAAAGTTTTACATGCTGTACAGTTGTTCACTGGAAGGTGATTCTTAAGTAAGAGATGTTTGATGAATTATTATTTGTTCTCTTGCACTTGTCATTTATTTATTTCAATTCAGTTTTGAATATCAGGCCCCATTTGTGTAGTGCATTGCAGGATGTGCAGTGCAGTGTAACACTAGGAAATTGCCTTGGTTATTCAGAACACATGGAGATTTTAAAACAAATTTTACACTTTAAAACATTTCAATTAATTCTTTACTCTAGGGTTGAAGTTTATCCCCAGTTCTTGCTTTTTCTGTTGCTTGGAGGATTGGAACATCCTGTAAGTTTAGAAATCATTATTTGTTCGGGAACACTAGAATGAAATATTTGGTAGGGTAAATTGACAGGGGTAGTCCAGATTAAAGTTGAAGGACCCAGTAAATGCAATTTTTTTTCTACTATGAATCGGAATAAAGATATATATTTAAATTAAAAATACTTGTTTAGTTACCATCTGATATGGGTAGCATACCCTTTTATCACTGTTTGTCTATGAATGATATAACATTAACAGAAAATGTCACCAGAAAAACAAAAAATACTGGTACATTCTTTGAAATAATGCAACCATGCTCTAATTTCGTTATTTGTTATTTTTGTAGGTGTTAACTTCTGCAGCAGGACTTGTCTGGATTGTTAGTAGATTCTTCTATGCCCATGGATACTACACTGGAGGCAAGTAATACATTCTTGTAATGTTAAATTTCTAACTTGCAGCACTGGTGTACTGAAAACGGAAATCCTTGAAGAAATCAGTGGCAAAGAAGTTATCATGGTATATCTAGTCAAATTAATGGGCTATATGTTCATGGATAAGTGGATTTCCCTTCCTTAATCCTGGAGCCACATTTGCTTCCCAAAATATTTTAAATGGAGTTGTGAGGCGATATGAGAGTGACAGGAAATGCAATGAAACATGGAAATACTCTAATGCCTCATTACTATACACTGCAGAAAAGGAAAAATATGAAAATGATTGAAAATTGTAATTATTTCTTACAATGAATGTAAATGGAATAGGGTGCCTTTATTCCTTTGTTCCAGTTGTGGGATCTTGTTAACCTTGTTGTGTTTTATTTCAGATCCCGAGAAGCGCTTGCGTGGTAGCTTTGGTTACTTGGGTTTCTTCACCATGCTTGGATGCACTGTGAAGCTGGGACTTCGCTTGCTGGGTTATTTCTAAACCAGTGTATCACCCTCAAGAACATATATCATACTACATTCGTTTCCTGACTCGCCTGTTTGTTTCACCAGAACAATTCAACCACTATAGATAATCCCCACAATGAAATGAATACTTGTATTTTTTATCAGTAGGAATTCGTAGGTCTTCAATTGTATTCAATTAGCACCAGATTAGTTAGCTTTTTTACAATTTTTGTATTTCTGATTTAAACTAGATAGTAAACGTACAATGTAAACTTAAGAAATCATCAAACCAATGAATAATTTAGGTTTAAGAAACCATCAATGCAAACCAATGAAATAAAGTAGACAGATCTACCGGTAATGGTTGCCTCATTTTGAAATACAAAGGAAGCGAAGACGTCAATCGAAAGGCGCGGTGGCTAAGCGTGTTTTTTCGTTTTTTGTTTTTTAAAGAGAAGTGACTGTTTGAGTAGTACCCAAGCTCCAGGCCAAAAAACCCTACCTCAGCTAAGGTTTGATATCCACCAGAGTGAGGAACATGGAGTCCAGTTAATTTATACGGAGAAAACCAAACAAATGTTTAAATCACTATGTGTTCTGTAAGTTTTCCATATGACAGGGCACTAATGGTGCAATTGAGACTTATTAAACCAAAGTCAAAGGCATTAAACAGCCAATCAAAAATCTCGAGGGCACGAAGGTATGGCAGATGTTAAAAAAAAATGAAAAAAGGAGGAGTTTGCAAGCCTTACGAGGTAGTCTGTTTCCAAAATAAGCTCACCGAAGTTACCCATTCTTTGCAAGACAAAAATGGTGTTTCAATGTTTCTATAAATGGCTATAAAGAAATTAAACAGTAAGTATCCAGCTGTCTATGGGAAGATTGAATAACCAATCTCAAAAAAACAGGCAACGGCTTTTTTGCAGGTCGTTTCGTGTTCCCTTTTAGATCCTCCTGGGTCTATAGACTAGATAACTTCGTGTGTTTTGTTGAGTACCTTTTTGGTATCAACTGAACTTCCCTGTGCACGGCATTGCCTATGTTACCCAGACATGATGCAGAACTAACTTCTCGCGTTTTCAATTTTTATTACTCTGGTCGGCTAATAGGTGACGAAAAAAGACTAAGTTACGAGCTTCAGAGTTTTGTCTTGATGCAACAGCAAATTAGGGGGGTCTAGGCTAAGAAATTTCTCTCTGCCTTTCCTGCTTTTATACCAATACCTCCCCCCATTGGATTTAATTTTTTTGGCTCAATGTGGAAGTTGCTTAACCATCCACCCTCTCTCGAACTCATCAAAGACGGAAATAAATTTCTCATAAATTTCGCAATTCCCATAACTCTTTGCAAGTTTTGACTGCGGCGGCCATGTGATGCCAAACGGAGATTCTTCAACCGAATTACTACTTTTGCTAAGGTTTGCTATTTACTTTTAGCACCCCAAAATACTTCTTTGTTTGTGTTTAACCTTATATTACATTACTATAAGGTTGAATTGAAAAACACTAAGTATACCAGTGCACCAACCTCCACCAACGATGAGTCTGGATGACCTCAACCAGAAAGACTTAATTGTGCCCGTCTAACTCGGTAAGGTTTACACATTTTTATAACATTTAGTTTAATGCTGTGTATACAGTTAGTTAAGATTATCAGTGATCTATTTTAGATAAGCTCTGAAAGTACTATTACACGAGTCATTAATTTGTCAATATTTAAAGAAATTATCCGCCATATTTGAACACTACACACTTGCGAAATCATAAACGAAAACACACAATAAGCCCACCATGTTTAAATTCAATAAATCTGACATAACAAAGTTACTGGTTATTTGACTGAATTACAAACAGTATGATTGAATGAATGACTGTTTTACTGATAGTTTGATTGAATGATTGAATTAAATAATTACTAACTGACTACTTCAGGTATGATGTGATGGGTATTTAACAAATAGATTTTATGGGTGTGTGGGTCTGTTCTGTTATAGATCACAGATGATGTCAAAATATGGTAAGAACAAAAGAGTGACATGCAAGGTGCACCTGAGAGTGTCACTGATATTCCTACCACATTTTGAATGACTGAATAACTTACTGACTGATTTAATGTATGATGAAATTATTGAATAACTTACTGATTGACTTAAAGTATGATGAAATGATTGAATGACTGACCAACTTACTGACTGACTTAATGCATGATGAAATGACTGAATAACTTACTGACTAACTTAATGTATGATGAAATGACCAAATGACTGAGTAACTGACCTAATGTATGATGAAATGACTGAATAACTCACTGACTGACTTAATGAATGATGAATTAACTGAATGACTGTAGATTGGAAGTCTGACTGGGTGGCTTTGACCAACTGCCTGACTGAAATTGATATGAAATGACTGGCTGACTATATATTTTTGAGTAAATGACCATTGACTGACTGCCAGATGGAGCTACTTTTTAATCAAAGAATACCCATGGCCAACTTGTGGTAGAAATCAAGAAATGAAACATGTTTGTGAACTTGCAATTAGTGGTCTTGATGAATCATTTAAAGTTGCTCTTATGGTGCAAAGCCAATGCTTTATTTGTCCACTTTTCCACACAAAAATATTGGTGGATGAGGCTAGGTTGAGTGAGATAATTGTTTATGCAAACTTTGCTATGGCAGGCATAACTGAGTAGGAAGCAGGTAGAATTTCAGTATTTTTCCTAGATGCCTAATCTTTTATGTAATTTCAATGATCAGAGTTGTTATTACTTTCAGTAAAGGATGAATGTTACAAAGTAAAATCACCAACAAATGGGTGACATATTGCTTGTGTTCCATGAGTCATATAATGATTATTACACAATGATTTGTAGTATATTAGGAGCACAAGCATAGCAGTTGCATCTTCACTCCCATGACATAACTTGCAATCTTAATTGAGTACACTAGTTGTTTTATTTATAAAAATGTTGACCATGTTACTTTATATTTGAAATGGGTGAAGTGGTTAGCAATCGTTGTGTGGGTTTGCTTAACCAACACAAAATCAGCATGATATCAAGTGGACAAAAGATGATAATAAAGAAATATATCCAAAGGGGATCAATAGTTGATCCAAAACCAAATTCTCGAAATCAACATCTTAAGAGCTGTATGGTAGACAGTAAGGAGACTTACTAATAAGATATTGGGAGTGAAAGGGTTAATACTCCCAATACAGAGGAGATATGGCAGTTTTCTTACAAGGACTGTCATGTTAGTATCTCGCGCATTCTCAGTTTTTTCCTGTATTGGATTGTTACGTTAGTGTCTCGCACATTCTTAGTTTATTCCTGTAATGGATTGTTACGTTAGTATCTCACCGCATTCTCAGTTTTCTTCTGTAATGGATTGTTCCGTTAGTGTCTCACGCATTCTCAGTTTTCTCCTGTATTGGATTGTTACGTTAGTGTGTCGCGTATTCTTAGTGTTTTTTGCTATGGATTGTTCCGTTAGTGTCTCACGCATTCTCAATTTTTCCTGTATTGGATTGTTACGTTAGTGTGTCGCGCATTCTCAATTTTCTCCTGTAATGAATTGTTTCGTTAGTGTCTCACGCATTCTCAGTTTTTTTTTGTTATGGATTGTTGGGTTAATGTCTCGCACATTCTTAGTTTTCTCATGTAATGGATTGTTACGTTAGTATGTTGCGCATTCTTAGTTTTCTCATGTAATGGATTGTCACGTTAGTATGTTGCGCATTCTCAGTTTTCTCTTGTAATGGATTGTTCCGTTAGTGTCTTGCGCATTCTCTGTTTTTTTTTGTATGGATTGTTCTGTTAGTGTCGCGTTCATTCTCAGTTTTTTTTGTTGTTATGGATTGTTATGTTAGTGTCTCGCGTATTCTTAGTGTTTTTTTGCTATGGATTGTTCCGTTAGTGTGTCGCGCATTCTCAATTTTCTCCTGTAATGGATCTTTTAGTTAGTGTCTCACGCATTCTCAGTTTTTTTTGTTATGGATTGTTACGTTAGTATGTTGCGCATTCTCAGTTTTCTCGTATAACGGATTGTTACGTTAGTGTGTTGCGCATTCTCAGTTTTCTCCTGTAATAGGTTGTTACGTTAGTGTCTCGTGTATTCTTAATTTTTTTTGTTATGGATTGTTACGTAAGTGTCTCGCGTATTCTTTGTGTTTTTTGGCCATGGATTGTTCCGTTAGTGTCGCACACATTCCCAGTTTTATTTGTAATGGATTATTACGTTAGTGTCTCGCGCATTCTCAGTTTTCTCCTGTAAAGGATTGTTTCGTTAGTGTATCGCCCATTCTCAGTTTTCACTGGTGTTGAATTGTTACGTTAATGTCCTGCGCATTCTCAGTTTTCTTCTGGAATGGATTGTTACCTTAGTGTCTCGTGCATTCTCAATTTTCTCCTTTATTGGATTGTTCCGTTAGTGTCTCGCGCATTCTCTGTTTTCTCATGTAATGGATTGTTACAGTTGGTGTCTCGCGCATTCTCAATTTTCTCAATAATGGATCGTTGCGTTAGTGTCTCGCGCATTTTCAATTTTCTCTTGTAATGGATTGTTCCGTTAGTTTCTCGCACATTCTCAATTTTGCTCTTGTTATGGATGGTTACTTTAGTGTCTCGCGCATTCTCAATTTTCTCAATAATGGATCGTTACGTTAGTGTCTCGCGCATTCTCAATTTTCTCAATAATGGATCGTTACGTTAGTGTCTCGTGCATTCTCAATTTTCTAAATTATGGATCGTTACTTTAGTGTCTCGCGCATTCTCAATTTTCTCAATAATGGATCGTTACGTTAGTGTCTCGCGCATTCTCAATTTTCTCAATAATGGATTGTTCCGTTAGTGTCTCGCGCATTCTCAATTTTCTAAATTATGGATCGTTACTTTAGTGTCTCGCGCATTCTCAATTTTCTCAATTTTCGCGCATTCTCAATTTTCTCTTTTAATGGATTGTTACGTTAGTGTCTCGCTTATTCTCAATTTTCTCAATAATGGATCTTACTTTAGTGTCTCGCGCATTCTCAA